CGGAAATGCAAGCCAGGGGCACCTGCCGAGCCGAGGCTTGTTAGTCTATCATGTAGTGCTTCCCTGTAAGAATCTAACAGCCGAAGCCTGATCAAGCTCGTTTCCTGGGAAGCAACCAGTAGCCTTCACGCCCACTCGGAAGGCTGCTTTGGGGAGGCTGGACCCCCACGCGTGGCCCTTTTCCGGCCTGGCCTAGCGTGGTGGTGCAGGTACAGCTAATCCCACACCCCCCCCCCCCAGGCCGGTGACCTTAGGGGCGTGGCCAGACCCAAGCCCGGGCCGGGAAGAGGGGCGGGGCTGACGCTCGGGGACGTGACCCCCGGCAGTATGGCTGCCGGGGTCCCCAAGCCCAACCAAGCTCGTCGCCTGGGAAGCAACCAGCAGTCTTCACACCCACTCAGAAGACTGCTTCGGGGCGGCCAGTGCGCCAGTTGTCGCCAGGCTTTGCCTGCTGGCCGCCCGGCCAGGGAGCCCTGAGAAATTGGTTCTCTGTATGCTGCTCAAGACGGCTTCATGCTGAAGCTACGGCGTTTTGGGGACACCAAGCAACCCTAAAGATTTCCAACGGCTGTAAATCTCCCTCAGACGAATCTGCTGCTATCATGGTTTCACTCCATAAGTTCCGAATGATCGAATGATCGTAACTCCCAATATAATGCCAATTCCTTTCCTTACGATACACAGTAACTGGGTGGGAACATAGAGAAATCTCTCATTTCCCTTGAAAAAGCTAGGAATCCACGTAGTGTAACCTGCAGGAACTGGATAAGTATCTTAAAGTTGATAGATCCAGATCAGCATTAGACAATAGCAAAAGCTATAATGACACACAGGGGGAATTAGGAACGACCCAAACAGTCTATTAACAAGTGGTCATTTGCACAGAATAGGGGAGAACCCCAGAGCGGAACAGAGGGACTGGAGGAGGCTTATCCCCCACCCATACGGACTCCCGGACTCCCACCAAGGTCTATCAGAACGGACACAAGAACGTCAACGCAACTGCCAAAGAGAACACGGGGATCTGAAATGCCTCCGAATGCTGTGAAACCAGAGGACAGACACCCCCTCTCTTTGGACCAACTACACGAGATGGAAGAAGCCCGAGTCCTTCCACATAGGAACCAACGACATCAGAACAACAACTAGGAACCACGATTGGTCATCAGAACCAGAAGATCAATAAACTTCCGGCGGGACAGTGGGGGAGGAATCCTCTCCAGTCCTTACCTAGGTCCAGCTCTGGGCCTCCACCCCCTATAAAGACCAACAAGGTTCCTCCTAACCCCCTCCCCCCTACACACACACACACACACACACACACACACACACACACACACACACACACACACTCATATACACACACTAATAGGATGAGATAACCAAAGAACAATAAAGATAGGTCATCAAGGACTCACTCATATACTATTAGATGGAACATAAAGAACAAGTACTCATTAGCAAGGTATGAGAGATTTCTCTGCAACAGCCCCCAAAATCGTTACACACCTCAATTGAGGAGGTGACATTGAAATAGTTGTAGAAGGTAATCAAGAACTTACATGCAATTTTAACATATTGTCTACTCAATACTATGTCAGATATCTAATGTTTGCCTGGATTTAACCTGTAATTTATGCTTGGTTGATTGTTACTTTTTGAACCTGTCACTGATACTGTCTAAACCCAGAGGTGTGGAAGAATTGAACTTTTTAAAAAATTTTTATTTATCTATTTATTTTTTATTTAACATATTGTTCACTCAACACTATACCAATTAATCCCATAACATTGTATATCGACGCTGATGTTTTGTTGGGGGTTTTAACTGACCGGAACTTTACTCTGTTAGCTCTACCTTCAGACCAGAGAAGGTCTCCCCAAGAGGCCACTGAACTTATCTGGACAATAAGACATTGGACTTTATGCTAGGTACATGCTTACAATGAAGGAATTTCAACTGAACTTGAAACGCGGTTATGCAGCAAGATGGAGCAATCCACTATGGGAGGAGGGGTGTGGTAGGGGTGGGGGGACTCCCCAGTGCTTATAAAACTGTATCACATAATACAATGTTAACAAGAATATATATATAATAAAAAAGAAAGAAAAAAAAAAGAATCTAACAGCCTAAGAACTTTTTTTTTTTAATATTTTCTTATTTTTATTGGAAAGTCAGATATACAGAGAGGAGGAGAGACAGAGAGGAGGATCTTTCCCCATGTGGCCGCAACGGCTGGAGCTAAGCCAATCCGAAGCCAGGAGCCCAGAGCTTCTTCTGGGTCTCCCATGTGGGTGCAGGGTCCCAAAGCTTTGGGCCATTCTCAACCGCTTTCCCAGGCCACAAGCAGGGAGCTGGATGGGAAGCAGGGCCACTGGGATTAGAACCGCAACCCACAGGGGATCCTGGTGTGCTGAAGGTGAGGACTTTAGCTACTACGCTATCATGCCAGGCCCAGAACGTTAATTTTTAAAAATGAGGTGCCCCCTCCTGAGCACCATCTCAGCTTCTTTTCCAGCTTAACTCAGACTGCTGTTCCCAAAGCCGAGTTCTCGACGTGGTCCTCACGTCTCAGTCGAGTTCATTCTTTCAGCTGTTCTTGCCTTTTACTCTGTCACAGATTTCTGTGAAAGGCAGACAGCCAGAGGAACTTCCCTCCTCAGTGGCCACAGCAGCCAGGTCTCACAGGCTGAGCAGGAAACCAGGGGCTCTCGGTGAGGAAGAGGCAGTGGCCAGGGCCCAGCTGCATTTCGGCTCACAGGAAGCCAGGTGGGAAGAGGAGCACCTGCATATGGGACCCCAACATCACTGGTGGTGGTTCTACCCACTGCACCACAATGCCTACTCATGCTTAGGACTTAAAAACCTTGGAATTGGGCCTGGTACGGTAGCCTAGCAGCTAAAGTCCTCGCCTTGCATGTATATGGATCCCATATGGGTGCTGGTCCTAATCCCGGCGGCCCCTCTTCCCATCCAGCTCCCTGCTTGTGGCCTGGGAAAGCAGTGGAGGACGGACCAAAGCCTCGGGACCCTGCACCCACGTGGAGACCTGGAAGAGGCTCCTGGCTTAATCAGCTCAGCTCCAGCCGTTCTGGCTACCTGGGCAGTGAATCATCGGATGGATCTTCCTGTCTCCTCCTCTCTATATATCTAACTTTCCAATAAAAATTATATAAATAAAATAAACCCTAAAAAAAAAACAACAAAGAAACAAAACGCTTGGAATCTAGGTTATTTATCCATGTCCAGCGCGTCATCAACTCCTACTGGCCATTTCCTGCTGCCTACCTGGTCCGACACTGCCCTGCTGCTCCTGTCTGTAGCAACAGCCTTCAGTTGGCTTGCCTAACTCCAGAGACAAATTTTAGAAGTTTTAAAATGTGCAGCAGGGGCCCTGGCGCTGTGGCCTAGCGGCTAAAGTCGTCATCTTGAATGCGCTGGGATCCCATATGGGCGCCAGTTCTAATCCTGGCTGCTCCACTTCCCATCCAGCTCCCTGCCTGTGTGGCCTGGGAAAGCAGTCAAGGACGGCCCAAAGCTTTGGGACCCAAAGCTTTGCACCCGCGTGGGAGACTCGGAAGAGGTTCCCAGTTCCCAGCTTCGGATCGGTGCAGCACCAGCCATTGCGGCCACTTGGGGGGTGAATCATCGGACGGAAGATCTTGCTCTCTGTCTCTCCTCCTCTCTGTATCTGACTTTGTAATAAAATACATAAATAAATCTTTGAACAACAACAAAAATATGTGCAGAGGCAAGGCCTACAGTGCCAGCATCCCACTTGGCATCCCAGCTGCCCACCTCTGCCGCAGCTCCCTGCCACACCGCGGAAACAGTGGAGGCCGCCTCCGGATGCACGAGGAGGCAGCTCTGGTTCCCGGGCTCCTCGGGCCCGCCCGGCCATCTGCGGCGTGAAGGAGCAGAGGGCAGACACCCTTCGCTGCCTTCAGTGTTAACAAACAAAAGCTTCAAAACTCCAGTCAGATAATAGCAATCAGCTGTAAACATGTGTGGCTCCTTTTTCAGAAAAAATCCGAAGCTTTCCAATAGTCCACAAGAGACCAACACACAAGCCTGGCCTCACCGGAGGGTCATTTAGAAAGCCACGGAGGGGCCGGCCTGTGCAGCAGCAAGGAGCCAGGTCGAGTCTGGCTGCTCCACTTCAGTCCCAGGGGCCCGGGAGCCTTCAGTTTCTGCCACCCGGTGGGAGACCAGATAGAACACCTGGCTCCTGGCTATTGAGGCCATGCAGGGAGTAAAAACAGCAGAAGCGTGTAACACCACTTTTCCATAACTTAAAAAAAACAAAAAAACAAACAAAAAAAAACTATGTGAAAGTTAAACAGAGAGAGATTCTCCATCTCCTGGTTCACTCCCCAAATGGCTGCAGCGGCGGGTGATGGCAGGCTCCACATCCGCTCTCCCACGCGAGTGCGGCCGAGCACAGGGTCCATCCCCCCTGCCTTCCCAGGCGCGCTGACAAGACATCTAGCTAAGCCGTGAACAGCCGGGACTCAAACCAGCGCCTCTGGGATGCCAGTGCTGCAGGCAGTGGCTTTACCTACTGAACCACAAGACCGACCTCTCTTCACTCACTGCTCTGTAGCCACAGGCCTTCGCATGCGGTCCTCGTGTTGGCCGAGCTGTCCCATGGATGCCACATCCCGGCACGAAGGCCTTCACCAGTGACAACAGCCACTTCGCTCTAAAAGTTTCACTTACTTGGAAGGCAGAGTGAGAAGCAGACAGCTCCCACCCTCTGGCTCACGCCGCAAGGCCGCAGCAGCGGGGCAGGGCTAGGGCCGGCCGGGAGCCCGGGCGAGCGGGAAGCAGAGCTGCTCTGGGCCGGCTTCCCCACCTGCCCGCATCCCCTCTCCCCTCCCAAGGTGCTCTTCCAGCTCATCAGCTCGGCGTGCATTCTCTACACCTGGAAGCATGGAGAGCGGCTCGGCCGCCTCCCCGCGCCCCGTGGGACTTGCGGGGGCGCCAAGTGCCCACCTACCTGGGCGATGGGAACCGCACAGAGGGTGACTCCAAATCCAAAGGCCACCGCTTTGCGCCAGGGCCTCCCCAGCTCCGACAGGCAGCGCTTCCTCAAGCTGGCCGCGGCAGGAACGCAGCGCCCGTGCCTGCAGAGACGGGGGTCGAGGTCGGGGATGGCGGCCAGGGCTCCCCACATCTTCCCTGTAGTGCTTCCTGCCCTACTTCGACGCCCTGGACTTCCGAGGGGTCCCCCGGAGCAGCCCGGGGTCGGGGTGGGAGTACGAGGGGTCACCCAGGGCAGCCCGGGGTCGGGGTGGGCGTCCGAGGGGCCCCCGGAGCAGCCCGGGGTCGGGGTACGAGGGGTCACCCAGGGCAGCCCGGGGTCGGGGTCTGAGGGGTCACCCAGGGCAGCCCGGGGTCGGGGTGGGCGTCCGAGGGGTCACTCAGGGCAGCCCGGGGTCGGGGTGGGCGTCCGAGGGGTCACTCAGGGCAGCCCGGGGTCGGGGTGGGCGTCCGAGGGGCCCCCGGAGCAGCCCGGGGTCGAGGCCCGGTCTTCAGGGGCCGAAGTCACCGGAAAGCGGCCGCGAGACCACAGTCCGGGGCTTGACCGGGAAGTTGGGGGGCGGAGGCCTCAGAGGCTGGACGCCGCGGCTCGCTCGGGCCCGGCCGAGAAGGGCGCGTCGGGAAGGCCACGGCGCTCGCCAGGTCGCCTCCCACCCACCGTCCCCCCACGGCCGCACGGCTACCTGAGCAGGGAGGACACGCTCCGCGACAGCCAAGTCCTCAGGGCCGCCATCCCGCGGCGGGTGGACGCTGGACGCACGCGCCGGAAGTGACGCGGCTCCGTGGGTGGGGAGAGGGCCAGATCTCATGGCCACGCCCCCGCAGAGAACGCACTTGGGATTGGCCGGGCGAGCGGGCGGGGGCGGGGCTTAGGGTAACGGCTGAAACGGTCGCGCAGGGACTCCAACCGCCCGAGGCTCGACGCGGACTGGACGGGGCCGGGGCCGGACGGGGCCCAGGCTGGACGGGGCCGGGCGCGCGGCGCTGTCACTTCAGCACCAGGAAGTAGGTGGTCCAGCCGGCCAGCAGCAGCGCCCCGAGGAGCACGGTGTAGCTGAGCAGCACGAAGGCCAGCAGTTCCCGCAGCAGCTGCAGCACGTGGAGGGTCGACGAGCCCGGCATGGCCCTGTGCGGGAGCCGGGACAGCCCGTCAGCAGGGCGGCTGCGGCCCCCGAAGGCCGCCTTCCCCGACACCCGCAGGAACGCCTCGCGACCCCGAGGCGGCTGCCCGCCCCGCCGCCGGGACCCTCCCTCCCGCGCCGTCTCCTCCAACCATTCGTGCACCGTCAATGTGGTGGGAGCGCTTCTTTCCCACCGCTCAAACCGCATCCCCAGGTGTGGGTCCCCACGCCTGCCAGCTCCCGGGTGACCCCCACGCCTGCCCCCGGCCAGCCAGCTCCCCGGGTGACCCCCGGCCTGCCAGCTCCAGGATGACCCCCCACGCCTGCCCCCGGCCTGCCAGCTCCCGGGTGACCCCCACGCCTGCCCCCGGCCAGCCAGCTCCAGGATGACCCCCCACGCCGGCCCCCGGCCAGCCAGCTCCAGGATGACCCCCATGCCTGCCCCATGCCTGCCAGCTCCAGGATGACCCCCCATGCCTGCCCCCGGCCTGCCAGCTCCCGGGTGACCCCCCATGCCTGCCCCATGCCTGCCAGCTCCAGGATGACCCCCCATGCCTGCCCCCGGCCAGCCAGCTCCAGGGTGACCCCCATGCCTGCCAGCTCCCGGGTGACCCCCCACGCCTGCCAGCTCCCGGGTGACCCCCCATGCCTGCCCCCGGCCAGCCAGCTCCAGGATGACCCCCATGCCAGCCAGCTCCAGGGTGACCCCCCACGCCTGCCCCCCGCAGCGGTGTGGACCGCACGCACTTCTCGGTCTGGGCTCACCTCCCCTGCGCCCGGGCGCACCTGTCCCGGGACCTCCCTTTTAATCCCAGCTCCGGCAGAAGCAGGCGGCAAGCACCCCTCAGCTTGTTGGGCTACATTGCTGCCGGCCTGGGCTCCCGCTCGCAGCGTTGCACTCACTCGGTCAAGTTTGCGGGTCCTGCCCCGCGCTGCTCGCCTTCCTCTCCTGCACACTGCACGACTAGGTGTGGTCGACGGCCAATTACACCCAATTATTCCCCAGCTGCGCAGGCGATCACAGGCCGGGCGGGGCGCTGGCAACCCCGCCCTCCCGGGTGGCCACCGAGGCCCACGGGGCTCTGACAAGGCGGGCGGAGCAAGCAACGTGAGCCCGCGGGGTGGGCTGGAGGCCAACATTTCCATTTCTGACCAACTCCGGAGGGAGAGCAGTTCCACTGACTCAGGCCGGCCCAGCTACAGTGGGGGGCCGGGCGTCCTAAAACCGGGCGAGGGCGGGCAGGCCAGCTATCCGAGGCCCCATTCCAATTTACAAAGAGCTTAGCACTTCACAAGCTTACACAGGCACTGTCCCCGCGCGCCCAGTTGCGATGTGGGTTCCTCCGGCTAAGATTTCAACAAGAAAAGCACAAACTGTGTCACTGCCTATGTCGCCTGTTGTAGTCTTCTAATTATTAAAGGACAATCCTCCCCCCCGCCTTCCCCGACCTTTGCAAACAGCAGGCACTGTGGACATCAGCCCCCTTCATGAACATCATCATCCAGGGCCGATGGCCCCTTAATGCAATCCGGATCTCATTATCGGATCACTGGCTCTGCCCGGGCCTGGCTGGAAGCAGGCGCAGCATTAGCGGGCGGGCGGCTCAGGAAGCAGCCGGCAGTGACCGCTCCCCAGGGAGGCGGGGTGGAGGGGCTCAGAGGAAAGGGAGGCCGCCAACCCAGCCCTGTAGGAACACAGCCAGGCCGTTACTCGCAGTAAGCCCAGTTCTGCAGGACCTGGGGCAGCCTCCACTCACCTCCTGATTTGGGGTTCTTCACTTACAGCACGGTGGGTGACTGGGGTGGGGGGAAAACTGGAGCTAAGCAACATTACACTAGCTTTAGTTGTACCAACCTCCCATGGCTGCCTTTCCCTCCATTTGCCATCCGGTGAGATGCCCAGTCCTCTGCAGCGTGACCCCTCAATAGAGAGGGGACAGCACGAGTGACCCAAGGCCCCTCTTCCAGTCTTTGTTGACACCTCATCCATTTTAGGGATTTTAAAATATTGCTTCTTGGGGCCAGTGCTGTGGTGTGGCGAGTGATGCTGATAGCCTTCATGGACCTGGGTTCGAGTCCCAGCCTGGGAAAGCAGTGGGGCATGGCCCAAGTGCTTGGGCACCTGCACGCAGGTGGGTGAGCTGCAGCGGGCTCCTGGCCTCAATGGGAGGCAGCACTGTAGCGTTTACAGGCAATCCAGCAGATGGAACATCTTTCCCCATCTCTGTTTCTACTTCTGTCACTCTGCCTTTCAAATCTTTTAAAAACTTATTTCTTCTAGGACTCAACTCTCCTGAACACATTTTGACTTGGACTGCCATCACAACTGAGAGGCCTGCACGTTGGTGCTACTCCAGATGGGTGCTTGTTCTGTCCCGACTGCTCTGCCTGATCCAGCTCGCTAAGGTGCCTAGGCAAACAGCAGGGGATGGCCACTTGCCTGAGTCCCTGCCAGCCACCTGGAAACACAAGGGCTGCCAGGCTGCTGGCTTTGTCCTAGCTCAGGCCCGCTAGGGGCTGTGACAGCAGGTGGAAGATCTCCCTCTCTCCTTTTCTCTGTAACTCTGCTATTCAAATAAAGGGTTTTTTTTTTTTTTTGCTTTTTAAATGTGCAGTTGAGCAGACACAGATTGGCCTAATTACAAAGAGTTCATCTAGCACTAGTATGCAACGGAACTCACGTTACATCTCTCCAAAAACTGTTGTCTATTTGCTTTTTAAAGTTAGTTATTTTGGAAGAGTTACAGAGGGATTTGCCATCTGCTGGATCACTCCCCAAGTGGCCACAGCCACCACGGTGGGGCCAGGCTGAAGCTGGGAGCCAAGAGCTTCATCCAGGGCCCCACTCAGGAGTATATGAGCCATCTCGCTGCTTTCCCAGGCTGTCAGTAGGGAGCTGTAACGGAAGTGGAATAGCTGGACACGAACTGATGCCTTATGGGATGCAGTGTCCAGGCAGCAGTTCAAACCACCAAATCTAAACGTCGTTTTCTAAGAGTTCTGTATTTAACTTTCTCTTTTTTAACTATTACTCTGTCTTCTGCCACAATTACACCAGAGTTATAATGCTTATTTCACTGTTGGCTGAAATTTAAAACATGTAGTAAAACAAAGGCAATATAGACTTTGGTTCAAAGGACTGCAGGTGGAGCAGAGCTGTGTGCCTACCCAACTAGACAAAGGCCCAGACATTCCTGAGCAAGCAGAACGGTGCCACTCTCCGGCCCTTTCTCAGAAAGGGCACACTCGTTGGCGTCAAAGATCATTTCAAGAATTTAATGAACCTACACAAAGGTGCCTAGTATTTAATTATCTACTTGCTACTTACATTCAAATGAGGTAACTGATGGCAGGAAGTTTTCCACATGCAGCGTCTGAAGGAGCCCCAGGTGAGCGGGGGACACTGGAGTCCGTGACCGGCATCTGTTCACAGGGCAGAAACCCCAGGGGCCCAAGGGAGACTGAACTGACCGAGGGAAGGTGCGCTTCATGTCCACAGCAGCTCGGGCCGAGTATCAACTCACTTCCCTGGGAAAGCATGCATTTGAAAAAGGCTTTTCTAAAGAATGATTTTCCATTTGAGAGATGATTCCACATGTTCAAATCCTAAACGTCAAGGCCAAATGCCTTCCATGAGGAGCACATCATTTACATATTGCTACCACCACAGTTCACTTTTTTTTGTTAAAGATTTATTTTTATTGGAAAGGTGGATAGAGAGGAGAGAGAGGAAGATCTCTGTCTGATGTTCCTTCTCTCTGTCACTTCTCAAATAAATAAAGCTTAAAAACATGTTGAACTCCTTCACTCACAACATGCAGAGTGCTGGACACATCAGAAGTCCACCAATGAAAAAGGCAGAGAAGTTCTCACTTTGCACACTCCAGGATCCCATATGGGTGCCAGTTCGTGTCCCAATGGTCCCACTTCCCATCTAGCCTGTGGCCTGGGAAAGCAGTTGAAGATGGTCCAAGGCCTTGGGAGACCTGGAAGAAGCTCCTGGTTCCTGGCTTCAGATCAGTGTAGCTCTGGCCATTGCGATCACTTGGGGAGTGAATCATCGGATGGAAGATCTTCCTCTCTGTCTCTCCTCTCTGTATATCTGACTTTCCAGTAAAGATAAATAAATCTTTTTTTAAAAAGGCAGAAAATCCTCCTGCTGGTTACTAATTACCAGTAGAAAACATACTGGGAGTGATCAGTGACGTTATCCTTTAGGGACAAAGGGACTGACCACTGCTGCTGGAGACTGGGGCTTGGGCCATGATGCTGGCGGCATGGTGCCCTCCTTGCTGCCCTGCAAGCCTCCAGATCCCACTGTGGAGCAGGAGGGAGCGGATTCCAACCTCTCCATGGGCTCCCGTACCTGCTCTCCACCACAGCCCGGGTCTCCTGTGGGAGGGGAAGGAGCTGCAGCCATTGAACTCCAAGGTTGGAATGGAGGCATGCCCGGATAGGGGGTGGACACTAAATCGGGCTGAAATTCACTGAATAGAGGCTTACAAGCAAATGGACGTGAGAGCTCCAGGACAGAGGGGCCAGAGACTGCTGCAGAAATACGGGGTGAGGGGCGGGCGGTGACCAGGGAGGTGCGGCACAAGTCACCACTGTTCACGTTTGGACCAGCTGCATATTGGCCCAAGGACGGACATGGGAAAAAAAAAAAAAGACCTCACAAGGCCCCTTGCGCAGGGACACTAACACGCATGCAGGAAGCTGCTCTAGACAGCAGGACAGTCGGAGAGCTGCTCCCCTTGCATCTGGGGAAACACCGAACTACACAGAGAGCAGCCAAACTGCTCCACCCTCCTGCTCGGTGACATGACAGAGCCTGTGACAGCAGGCACACTGGCCGGTTCGAGGGGCGAGCGCTGCCTCGCCACCGCCTGGGCTCTGGCCCTGCACACACTGCTGCAGTGAGAAGCCTCTGGAATCGCGCCTCGTGCTCCAGGGCATGCAGTTCCCCTCTGCCGTCCTGCCTGGAGCCCTGGCCCAGCGTGCGGCCAAGGGGCTGTCCCTCACCACCCCATCCACCCTGAGTTTTCAGGTGCTGCCAGGGAGCATGCCAGGCTGGGAAAACACATAACCAGTTTTTCTTTTCTCCAGCCTGAGGCCTCCTGGTCTGTCTTCATCAGGTCAGGATGGCTGCGTGCTTGGGGAGGCCAGCCCCGCGGGGGTCCTGTCAGCGTCCCAGCCCTGAGCGACTTCGCCACCGCAGCAAGCACTTCTGCGGGAGGTCACCTCCAACGGCCTACAACGGGCTCTCCATGAGGGCCTCGAGCCAGCTGCTGCCATTCACGAGCTTTGTGGTGGCGATGACATACTCCGTGCCCCCGTCCTCCAGCTGCGAGAGGAACCGCAGGGCCGCGATCTCAGCAAAGGTCACACCCCCGAGGAAAAAGACCAGTGTCACTCGGTTTTCTCCAGGTTGACCTAAAATGGAAATGTTTCAGAATTAAAAGCCATTATCAGTGCTTCTCTTTCCACTTCTTTTAAAGATTTATTTTTATTATAAAGTCAGATATACAGAGAGGAAGAGAGATAGAAAGATTTTCCATCCACTGGTTCACTCCCCAAGTGGCCACAACAGCCAGAGCTGAGCCGATCAGAAGCCAGAGGCCAGAAGCTTCTTCCTAATCTCCACAGGTGCAATTCCAAGGTGTTGGCACTTCCTCCACTGCCACAAGCAGGGAGCTAGATGGGAAGCGGGACCACCAGGACACGAACCAGTGCCCATGTGGGATCCCAGTGTATACAAAGCAAGGACTTTACCTACTAGGCCACCACACCAGGCCCAACAAATAATTTTTTAAAAAACACTTTTACCATTGGTGCTGTCATCTGTGAAGGCAGCGGCCCACATGGGCGCTGGCTGCAGTCCCAGCTGCTCCCCTTCCAATCCAGTTCTCTGCTCACAGCCTGGGGAGGCAATGGAGGAACCCCCAGTTCTTGGACCCCTCAGACCCAGGTGAAGCTCTGGGCTGTGGCCTGACCAGTGCTAAAGCCATCGTGGAGTGAACCAGAAGACGGAAGGTCCTTCTCTCTATATAACTCTGATTTTCAAAATAAATATATATTTTTAGAAGATCTGTTATATTTTTATTTGAAAATCAGAGTTACACAGATGGAAAGATCTTCCATTCACTGGTTCTCTCTCCAAATGGTTACAACAGCCAGAACTGAGCCTACAGCAAGCTGGGAGCCCAGAGGCAGGAGTTTATTCCAGGTCTCCCACGTGGGTGCAGGTCTTGGGCCGTCCTCCACTGCTTTCCCAGGCCAAAAGCAGGGAGTTGGATGGGAAGCGGAGCTGCCGGGACACAAACTGGTGCTCTTATGAGGTGCTGGTGCCACGGGTAGAGACACTTTGTGACAGAACTGGCCTGAAAATAATATCTTTTAAAAATTCGGGCCCGGCGCGGTGGCGCAAGTGGTTAAAGGTCCTCGCCTTGCACGCCCGGGATCCCATATGGGCGCCGGTTCTGATCCCGGCAGCCCCGCTTCCCTTCCAGCTCCCTGCCTGTGGCCTGGGAAAGCAGTCGAGGACGGCCCAAAGCTTTGGGAACCTGCACCCGCGTGGGAGACCCGGAGGAGGCTCCTGGCTTCGGATCGGCATAGTATCGGCCCGTTGCGCTCACTTGGGGAGTGAATCATCGGACGGAAGATCTTCCTCTCTGTCTCTCCTCTCTGTATATCCGCCTTTCCAATAAAAAAATAATAAAAATAAATCTTTAAAAAAAAAAAAAAAAAAATTCACAAACACCAGAAACCATTTTTACCATCCATAAGAACCAAAAAGCCGTGTCTTGGTACTGACACTGGATTGGAAAAGGAGAAGCACTGGTGTTGATCTCAAGGCTTTGTCCACACAGGTGTCAGCTGAGGGAATGACACTTCCTGAGCGACATGCCTCAGTGCCTGAGTGACTCAGCCTTTTACAAGTGCACGTCGCACGGCCACCAGGCACACCCACGTCCCGTCCACACTCACGCTTCTTCTGCAGTCCTGTGGGCAGGGGCTGTCGTTCCTCGAAGTGGGGTCCCGGGAGCATGCGCAGGACCTCCTCAATGCTGCGCCAGCCGGGCCGCGAGAGCAGCTGGGCCAGCCGCACGCTGAGCGGCGCGTAGCCGCTGTACACGTAGGATATATCCGTGGGGTTCTGTGCAAGAAAAGAGAAACCTGTCAAGACAGAGCCTTAGGCCACCTGACCAAGCCGGGGGAAGTCCATGAGGATCTGATTTGTAGCTGCAGACAGACACAGGCGCACTCCCCAACACGCACACGCACGCAGCCCTTACAGAGCCGTCTGTCTCCTGCGGAGAGCCCAATGACACAGCATCTGAAGCACGCCTTTCTCAGCCACGCTGGGAACCAGCTGCAGAAGGCCTGGCAGCCATGCCGTGACACGACACGCGTCATCAGTCGGTGAGCAGTGACCGGAAGTGCTGACATGGCGGTCCGACTCACCTGCTCGTTGACGTCATCCATCCAGAGGCGCAGGGTTTTCCGGATGGTCGGGTAGTTGTTCCTGCCCCCGGTCTGCAGTTTCAGCAAGCCGGCCTTCTCCAGGTTGTGCAGGCTCAGCATGTGCTCGTAGCCGTAGGTCTGCAAGAGAAGGCGTTTGGCCTGGAGGTCAGATCAGATGCAGAGCGGAGCATTTCCAAGCAATCCATTTGTATCCCACAGTCCATTACCGGGGTCCAGCCTCGGCCGGCAGAGGAGCGAAACCTACCCAGGGCTGCCTGCCTCGCCATGACCCCAGACCTGGCTGCAGATGGGCATCCAATACTCCACAGGTCAGAACGGGTGGATCCAACCGGAGCAAGCATCAACTGAGCAAATTATAGCAGGTTCAGCTGCGGGCAGACGCCCTGCTCTCATGGGGAGAACTCACAGATGACTCTCACGGTCGGACTTTATCTCTGCCGCTAAACATAAAGCCAGCATCTGTCTGACACTTTCCACACGGGACGGGGCATGGTGCAAGGATGAGGATGTCCCCCGAGCAAGCCACCAGGAGGGAAATGAGGCCCACGGACAGGAAACGAGGCCCACGGACAGGAAATGAGGCCCACGGACAGGAAATGAGGCTGGACCACAGACAGGAAACGCTCAAGTTGTACTCCACGTGCTTCCACGTTATTTGAACTGTATATGGTAAGGCCACATCTTCTTTATGCAAATGGGAAAAAAGCCAAAACAAAACCAACTTTTTAAGCTTATCAATAATGAGCTTAACTAGGGGCTGGCACTGTGGCATAGTACACTAAACTGGCCACCATATCACGATGCCCATGTGAGTTCCAGGGCCACTTAGAGAGTGAGCCAGCAGACCGAAGATCTTCTCTCTTTCTCCTTCTGTCTGTGTATCTGCCTTTCCAATCTTAAAAAAAATTTACTTTATTTTTATTGCGAAATCAGATATACAGAGAGGAAGAGAGACAGAGAGGAAGATCTTTTGTCCATCAATTCACTCTCCAAGTAACTGCAACGGCCAGAGCTACACCAATCTGAAGCCAGGAGCCAGGAGCCTCTTCCAGGTCTCCCATCCAGGTGCAGGGTCCCAAATATTTGGGCCATCCTCGGCTACTTTCCCAGGCCACAAGCAGGGTGCTGGATGGGAAGTGGAGCCGCCGGGACTAGAAGTGGCGCTCATATGGATCTTGGCACAAGTAAGGTGAGGACTTGAGCTGCTAGACTAATGCGCTGGGCCCCCAAATAAAATAAATCTGAAAAAAAAGGAAGAAAGAACTGTGGGCTTTTCCCGTTATAAAGTAACGCTGACTTAAGTCACCCTGGAAGGGATGCTGCCAGAAATGTGCAAACAGCTCTCTCCCCATCTCCCAAGCTCGCAGGCGGGAGCACGGGGACCAGACCTAAGTCGCCTGGGACCGTGCGCTGGTGCTGTCACTGACAAGCTGGGTGGCCCTGTGTGACCAAACAAGCCCATGCCTCCGTTTCTTCCCCATGAAATGGGGACTGTCAGCAGTATGCAACTTGAAGGGTGTTGTGAGGGTTAATTAGAGGTGCAGGAACAGCCTTTCCCCGGAGAGCTCGACTCGGTCACTGTCATCAACGCTGTTACAACAATCTCCGGGCTGTCACTGACAGTGGCAGCAACACAACATCACAGCAGTCTGCTGAAGATTTCTTTCTCAATATGCTCTCCTTCTTGGCAAGTTAATAATTTACACTGACCTGGAGAATTTCTCGTTTGTAATAATCCAGAACTTTCTGTTTGAGCCCACTGTTGCACACGGACTGGAGGCAAATCAGCCTTAACACCTTGATCAGCGGGTGCTTCTGGGCAATACAGTCCTCGATGTAACTGTTCACCTGGAAGTGAGAAAAGTATTTTTGAGTTGAATAATCTGATGTTTATTCATTTCCAAAGCTGTGCGTAGGAGATGTGGGGGAGCCTGGCTCACCACCCCCCCAGCCGACAAGACGCCACCCCGGGGGGAACACAGGAGCTCGGGGTAGTGGCTCCACGGTCAACTCCAAGGCTGGTCTGTGGACAACCTCCTGCAAGGCTGCCGCACAGCGGGGTGTGGGCAGCTCTGTCCACCTCAGGGAGAGCCAGCCACGGGCTCAGCACAGAGTAACAGCAATATTTTTAGAAGTCAGAATTTTCATAAGTTGCGATGTAAACTTTACACGTATCCATGACAGCCCTCAATGGCTAAGGCTCATCTCACACGTGCTGCAGAAGGCATCTTACAGAGAGGACCTGCCACTTACCAAATGTGCATTTTCACATTTTAGATTTTCTCCTAAAGATATTTATGCAAGACACGGGAGCCACAGTTCTCTCTGGCTGTGTATGTTGGATAAACATAAGCAACGGTAGAACAGCTTCAGCGTCTACATACCTTATCGGTGTCGATTCCAGACATAAACTCCTGTTCCACTGTTAATTTATCAAAGAAATCTTCAGAAGCTACAATGTAACAAGCAAGATTTTAACACAGAAATGAAATGTTGACTTATTTGGGTCATTTGCTTTATACACAGAGCACAATTACAAAATAAGATGTGCAGAAAGAAAGCAAGCCAAAGTCCAGACCCTTCCCAGAGAGAATCTTCGAAGAAACACGGAAAGTCCTGGCCGTCCGAACTGCTGACTGCAGCTCGCCAAAGTTGTGCTGGGGACGGCGGCACAGCGCTCAGCGTCACGCAGGAAAGCCCCCTCCCAGGAGCGTGTCAGCTCACCGCCACCCCAGTCCAGGTCCAACTCCCTCCACTTCTGCTCAGCTGGGGACAGGGCCTGCCAGCACTATGTCATCTAAATCTGACACGGCCCCTAGCTCAGCCTTGCTAGCCCCTGTTCTGATGGACAAATGCGTGGGACGCCCCTTCAAAAGACTCAATCTGTGGTCCCGCACTGAGAGCTGTCAAGCAGGGAAGCGCAAGGGGAAATCTATATCCCAAAGATGGGAATGGTCATTAACGAAAAAAGCTGACATCAGTGCAAAAGGGGCAAGCTTTCTTTTTCATACCCCTCCCCCCGGAACAACCTTCACCATGAAGATGTGTGCCATTCCCTAACACCGCAAGTCAGGCAGACCTCCCGGCAAGGACTGTGGTGGGCACAGGGCACTCACTGGTGATGTCCTTGATCAGCTCGGCAATGGACGTGTGGTTGGCCAGGGAGCCTCTGGCTGCCTGCATGTGTGGCAGCTGGGAAACAAACTGCTTGATTTCCCCCACGGTCTTGGCGTTGTGTCGCTCCTGAGAATGGCACATGGGCACAGCTGTCACACAGGCCTGAGGTTTTTATTTTTTTAAGATTCATTTCAAAGTCAGAATTACAGGGAGAGAGAGGGAGAGACTGAGAGAAATTCTAGCCCCTGGTTCACCCAGGAACAGCCAGGGCTGGGGCAGCTCAAGTCAGGAGCCTGGAACTCGATGTGGGTCTCCGAGGTGGGTTACAGTGACCCACGCACTTGGCCACCCTCCAGGGCTCTCCCAGGCACACGTGCAGGGAGCTGGATGGGAAGGGGAGTGGCCGGGCATTGAGTCAGAGCCCAGAGAGAACGCCAGTATACAGGTGGCAGCTTAACGCCCTGTACCACAACACTGACACAGACATGTCACTATTTTTCTCTAATTTCCATGTTCTTGCTTTTTTAAAAAGATTTCACTTGAAAGTCAGAGTTACAGCTTTCAAAAAACTCCCAATGTATGTTTCCAGTCTAAATATCCAGTCAGTCATGTTGCTGAATCCCCATGTTTTAAACAAAAGCTTAAAAACCAATGAACCGAGAATGGGCAAGTGGAGGCAGGAAGGTGCTAACGAAGCAGGGACTTCAGAGCTCCAGGCTGCGGGATGCGATCCCATCACCTACCCCTGGCACTGCCACGCTGGCTGAACCCGGCTCTCACCATGAGCCCAGGCCTTTACCCAGCATCCGCTATTTATAGCACAGCTGGCTTCCTTTTGGGCAAGGGAGCAAGTAATGTAAAATAAGCTACAACAAGCTGCAAACCGCAAATACCCATGCCCTACCCCTCTCCAAACTGCAGACAAACCCGGCCCGACACCTTTCGTCACGGGTCTGGGACAAGGCGCACAGAGAACGAAGAGGTGGCGGCCACTGACTGGTGCTGAAGGTGACGCCAAAGGGCCAGTGCGGTGGCACAGCACAGCAGGCCGCCCTTTGGAGGCATCCTTGTCCTGCACGGGCGTTCCTGTTCAAACCATGGCCTCGTGCTTTCTGCCAACGCCTGTGGGAAACGGCAGGCGATGGCTGCAGTACGTGGGTCCCCAGCACCCACGCAGATCACAGTGGAGTTCCGGATCCTGCCCACTTGTGGTGGGCATTTGGGGAGTGCCAGATGGAAGATCCCTCTCTCCCTCCCTGTCACTGCATCGCCCTACCTTTCAAGTGTGATAAAAGGGCAGAAAGCGTGGCCCCGCTGGCTGGGCTGGCATTCATAGTGGATGCCCGTTCACGAATGGGAGTGCCTGGTTTCAGTCCCAATTATTCTGTAAGATTTTCATTAATTAGTGTGTTTCCCTGAAAGGTTGACTAACACAGAGTGAGAACACGGAGCTGTTGGTTCACTTTCCAAACAGCCAAGGAAGACAAGCCCTGGCCGGCTGAACCAGAAGCCAGGAGTGCCATCCATGTGGTGAAGAGGGGCCCAAGAACTCGGGCAGTCACCTACTCCCTCTCCAGGCACACTAGTAGGAAGCTGGATGGGAAGTGGAGCAACTGAACTCACACTAGTCCTTGGGAAGCCGGCAGCATGAGCAGCAGCCTGCTGACAGGCCAGGAGGAAGCAGGTGAGGCGCCAACGGCCACCAGGGGAAGACCTGAAAGGAATCCATGGCTCCTGACTCAACCTGGCCTATCCTTGGCTACTGTGGACATCTAGGGAGTAAATGAAAGATCTCTGCCACTCTACCCTTCAAATTAGCAAATCAATTGAAAAAATCTGATTTCCGGTACCTGCCATCCACACCAGAGTAACTGGTGAGAATCCCCAGTTTTCGTTTTTTCTTCTTTTTTAAAGATTTATTTATTTTTACTGGAAAGGCAGATCAGACTTATGGGGAAAAGAAGCGAAAAAGAAGAAAAATCTTCCTTCTGTTGACTCAGTCTCAAGTGGCTAAAATATTCAGAGCTGAGCTGATGCAAAGCCAGGAGCCAGGAGCTTCCTTTAGGTCTCCTACATACGCACAGGGTCCCAAGCCCTTGAACCATCTTCCGCTGGTCAGAAGCCACGAGCTGGATGGAGCATCAGGGACACAAACCGGTACATATATGGGATCCCACCACTTACAAGGTGAGGATTCAGCCACTAAGCCATCTCGCCGGCACCAGCTCTAACTCAGAACCTTAGCTTCCTGCTGACACATGTGGGGGATGGTGATGGTGGCTGGCACAGCTACCTGACTAGGTTTTTACTAACCGCAAGAGATGTGCCCTGGGCTCCTGGCTCCCAGCTCCCGCGCCAACCACTGCAGGCATCTAAGGAGTGCATCAGCACACGTGAGTCTTGCCTCTTTCTAGCTCTGTCTCTCAAATAAACCCAAAGAAAGCCTTGGGGCCGGTGTTGTGGTGTAGCAGGTCAAGTTGCTGTTTATGAAGCCTGTGTTCCTTGCGGTACCGGCTCATGTCCTCACTGCTCTAGTTCCGATCCAGGTCCTTGATGGCTCGGGAAAAGCAGTGGAAGATGGCTCCAGTGCTTGGGATCCCACCACCCACGTACAAGGCCAAGATGAAGCTCCCGGCTTCAGTCTCACCAAGCACTGGCTATCTGGACAATGAACCAGTAGATGGAGCCTCTCTGTCTCTCCCTCTGTAACTGACTTTCAAAATCAATCAACCAATCCTGGGGAAAAAAGATTTATTTAAAAATAAAAGACAGAAACACTTGGGGCCTCCCCCCGCCACCCCTGGCCACTCGGGCTCCGCCAGCGGCCCGCCTCACCTCGAACGCCGCGGAGATGATCTTGGCCTTCTTGCTGAGCACAGAGCCCACGGCGTTGAAGTTCTTGTCCCGGATCTCCGCGTAGAGCTCCTCGGCCGAGTTCAGCTGCAGCTTCTTCGCTTCGGCGGGCAGCTCCTTCCCGTCGCCCTGTTTCTTGGGAGCAAATTTCTCAGGGGGCAACTTCACATAACCTGGCAACAAGAGGGAGAGGACGCACCTGTCATTAAAGTGCCCAGCCCCAGACAAAGTGTGGCCTGGCAAGGGCCCCACTTACTGTTCTGAATGCCGTAGAGCTCATCAATGAGGCCTTCGTACGTCAGCTGAGTGGCAAGAGGCGTCAGCAAGTCCACATTACGATCCAGCAACAGGAGGTTATCAAAAACAGGAAACACTGAATTCTGGCTTCCTGTGAATTCTCTCTTCATTCGAATCATCATGTTGGCCACTTGCTGGAAAGTGAACACGGGATCACACAGGGCCCTTCCGGGGACTAGCAGACTTCAGAACTGAACCAAAAACAGGAAGATAATTGAGGGAACCTCAAGGGCGATCGCTGTGGGAGAGCGAGATGGGCAAGAAGGCAGCTGGCACGCAGGAGTGCCTGTTGCTGGCCTCTGCCCCAGCAGCCCAGCAGGACTCCTGAAGCTGCTGCAGTCTGCCCACTGCTGACACAAGAGCTCCTTCTGCGTGTGCGTCCCCTGGAAGGCACCAGGTTCAGCTCACACTGCCCGCTGCCTGGTCCCCCCAGCACCTATGTCTCCCAGCAGGGCACTTGACCCATCGCTGCATTCAGGACACTTCAGTGCTACACTTGGGACTGTACTGAACAGCAGAATCAAAAAGCACAGCCACGTGGGACATCGGTTCAGGGACTGGTGTGTGACACGGCAATTTATCTCTTCCCTCACTCCCTGCCAGGCTGGCCACCAAGCCCCAAAACACTGACACAGGGCTGTGAGTTCACCTTGGTGAGAAGCACACGGCGTGTGTGCACGCATGTATATGCATGTCCGTCACGCGAGCTCCCCACTCTGCCCTCCTGGCGCTCACCCGTGCGCATTCGCCTTTCCCGAAGATCTGGGGGATGGTTCCGTACAGGGCCTGCAGCGTCATCAGCCCCTTGGCCGCGTGGTACAGGCTTGTCTGGTCGCCGTCCAGGTAGCACTCCTGTGGGCATGGACAGAGGCCAGTCACAGGCTGGGGCCAGCCACACACCTCCATTTTCTCTCTGTCCTGTTTTGCTAGGGAAGCTGGGGACCCAAGCGCCTTTTGAAAGTTGTTGGCCAGGGTTCAGGATGATGTGATGGGTGTGATAAAGAAATTACAGGAACCGCTGTAATGGAATGGCAGGAACAAGCTGGAGGAGTCACCTTGCATGAATCTTGAAAACATCATGCTAAGTGAAAGAAGCCAGACACAAAAACCACATGATAGGATTCCAACTGAAGGTTCCAGAAGCAGCAAGCGCACTCAGACTGAAGTGCATGAGTGATGGCCAGGGTGGAGGAGGGAAACATGAGAACAGACAAGCAGTCCAAGTGATTAAATTGTCCCAAGGCCACTCGGTGGGGACAACTGCCCAACTCTGCGACCACACTGATCACTGCTGAGCAGTACTCTTGCAAGGAAGGCAGCTTATGCTATGTGAAACTCAACAAAGCTATCATTCAAATATGTAACTACTTTTAAATGGACAATGCTTACTTATAAAACACATTAAAAATTGACATCTAGACTATAGACTGGGAGAAGATATTTACAGCTTTTATAACCCCAAATGATTAGTGTTCAAAATAAATAAAGCATTCTTGGGGCCAATGCTGTGGCACAGGGGGTTAAGCTGCTGGCATCCCATGTCAGAGTGCCAGTTCAAGACCGAGCCCCTCTGCTTTGATCCAATGTCCTGCTGGGAACACACACTCTTGAGTCCCTGCCTCTTACACAGGAGACCCCGATGAAGCTCCTGCTTCCCGGCTTCAGGGGGCTCAGTCTCAACTCTAGCCACCACTGGGGAGTGAACCAGGGGGTGGAACATCTCTCTCTCTCTAACTCTCTGTGTCACTTGGCCTTTCAAATAAACAAACAAAAAATACTTGTCAAAAAAGAAAAAAATGGGCAAGTAAATGAACAAGTGATTGTTCAGGCAATCTGACCACGAATAAGAAATGAGCCAAGGGCCCCTCGCCCATCAGCACAAGGCGGACAGGTCCCAGCTGCCGGCCTGGCAGGCAGGGACTAGGCACTTACTCTGAAGGCCCCCTCCGACTCCATGGACAGGAGGTCCCCGTCGAACGGGATGAGATCCAGGCTGTACTCCTCCCGGTGGATAAAGGAGCCTAGGACGCCCAGGTCCTTCAGCCGCTGCTCGCACAGCAGGCTACGGCGGGGCACAAACAGGATGTGGAAGTCTCTGGCAGGGCCACGCCGGTCCTCACTGCAAAGGAGACATCTTCAGAGTCTGAAGCTCCTAACGTCCACGGCCACGCACGCAGCTGGCACTCCCTGAGACCGGATGGGCAGACCATTGCCTACCGACTCTCAGACCCAAACTACAGCAGCTGCGTGCCACACCTCTGCCCCAGACCCCAAGCAGGGCAGCAGCAACAAGCCACAGCCCACATTTGGTGGGCAGCATCTTCCAGCACCGTTAAACCCCCTGTGACTTCCCGAAAGCAAAACGGTCCTCCTCACGCGGGCCAGGACTCGCCCCGACAAGGAGTGTCGGGGAACAGTCCGAAGGCTTTCATGACGTGAGGGGCTCCATCGACTACCACAAGTGCAGAGTCAGAGCCAGCTTCCTCTGAAGAGGATGCTCTATGAAATTTTAATCAGCTCTTATTTTGCTTAGGCAATTCAAGCACAATATCATGAAATATATATTGCGAAATAACCATTAGAGGTTTTGTTTTGATTGATAGGAGTTCAACTTTCTAGCTCAGGACATTAACACTATTCTTAGCAGCAATCCAGCGTCTCCGGGGCTGCAGGGATACCTGAGCACGTTGTCAGCAATTATGTCCATCAGCTCGAGCCGCGGTCTGACAAAGAAAATAATGTTCTTCACATCAGCTGCCGGCAGGCGGCTTCCCTTGAGGGTGAACATTTTTTCCACTTCATGTTCCTAGGGAAACAAGAAAAAAAGATGAACCCAAATCCAAACCATGCTGAGGCCGCATCTGCTGACTCACAAACTACACACACACACGTTAGCACTTGATTGATTAAAATTTAGATTCCCCAAAACCAAATATGAGGCCGCTTTCAAAGTTTACGGAAAGTGCGATTAGAAGCCGAGATCAGAAGTGCGTGTGTACACACGGTCCTTGATATGGCACGGCTGGTGAAGCCACTCCTGTGACGCTGGCACTGCACGCCAGGGCAGCAGCTGGAGTCTTCCCTGCTCTGCTTGCGATCTGGCTCCCTGCTGGTGTGCCTGGGAAAGCAGCAGATAGCGGCCCAAGTGCTCATGCACCTGTCAGCCCTGTGGGCGCAGTTTCAGCCTCCTGGCTATTGGTAGCCGTTTGGAAAATGAAAAAATGAATAGAAGATCTCTTCTCGGTCTCTCTGCCTTTGACACTAATAAAATCTTGAAAACAGCTTATAAAAAACTGCATATTGGGCCCAGCGTGGTGGCCTAGCAGCTAAAGACCTCACCTTGAACGCACCGGTTCTAATCCCGGCAGCTCCACTTTCCCTCCAGATCCCTGCTTGTGGCCTGAGAAAGCAGTCGAGGACTGCCTAAAGCCTTGGGATCCTGCAACTGCTTTGGAGATCCTGAAGAGGCTCTTGGCTCCTGGCTCCAGATCAGCTCAGCTCTGGCTGTTGAGGCCACTTGGAGAGTGAAACAAGATATGCAAGATCTTTCTTTCTGTATCTCCTTCTCTGTGTAAGTCTGCCTTTCCAACAAAAATACATAAATCCTTTTAAAGATTTTTTCTTGCACCAAGATAAATCTTTTCTTTTTTTTTTTTGAAATTTCTCTTTACATGAATTTCTGAAGTGCCCCATACCTGAAAGATAAAATGTCTAGATAATGCCACTATCTTTGCACCAGCGTTCAAATGACTGTCATGTAGCAAGCTATCAGACACTGAGTAGTGGTCATAGACTAGCACGTCAGGACCAGCACACACCACTGAACACAGAATGCTAGTTGCGCCCGAGTGGTGGTGCTTTTGCTTATTCTCCGAGAGGCAGAGTCCCCCCAGCCAGTTTACTCCCCAGGCACCTGCGATGGCTGGTCAGCAGCCAGCTCCCCAGAGCGTGCACAAACCAAGCTCCTTGCAGCACCACCACTGCCCACCAGGGCCCACAAGCTCAGGGGCAGAGCTGAGGACTGAACGCAGGCGCCCTGACAGGGGACGCATGTGTGTTAACTGCTAGGTCAAAAGCTTGCCCCAGCCAGCGTTTACACAGACCCAACAGCTTTGCCACCCATGGACTCTGCAAAGGCAGAGTTACTAAACCCGGAACAAGCCCCAGACGCCCGTTTACCTTCAGCAGGGAGTACTGGGCAATCAGGCCAAAAGGTCCAGTCAGATATTCATCCCAAACTATTGCCTAGAAAGGAGAGAAGCGTTATCTTGTTACAGCTCATCTCAGTAATTTCAACATCAAAGGAAAACAGCAGCTGGGCACTAGGAGGGACGTTTCCTCCAAATCCCGGGTCACAAAGGCGAACTTGGCTCTGCTCGCCAAAGAGAAGCAGCAGCAGAACAGGCAACGCCACTGCAGGTTCGAGGTAAGAATGAATCCCTGTTCCTAACAGGAAGAAGTGCGAGCTGGCTGCACATCTATGTCACGGCATTATCTCACAGAACTGTGTGGAAAAGTGACATTCACGCAAAACTGGACATCTTAATTGGACAGGAAATCCTAAATATCCAAGAAACAGCTGTAAACTAAGGCTGGGTTCCTGGACGCTGTGTTCAAGTACTCTCAGACGTAGTAAACTGCAAGATTGTTGGGACCCTGACACCCACACATCCATGATCTGTAGACGTCTGTAGCACTGTACCCCACGGCCAGGGCCCCGAGCACCCCATCAACCTCTCTCATTCACATTCTCTCCACACCGGCTCCGTTACAGCTCAGGTGGCTGGTTCTCTGCCCAGTGGTACCGCCAGGTGCTTAGGGAGCCTGGGAAACCCCAAAGAACGGCGAGGAGTCGCCGCTGACCCCCGGCCCCCTCCTCGGCGTGCACAGCAGGTGGCCGAGTGTTGGCGTTTCACAGGAACCTGGGGGGCCGACGTGTCGCCCAGGCGCTGCCTCCGTCCCCTCCGCCTGCCTCGGGGCGCGGGGAGGCCGCTGGAGTTCCCTTAGCGGCTGACGTCCGGGGACCGCCAAGGCCGGACCGAGGGCGGTGTCGCTGCCTCCGGTCCCTCCGGTCCCTCACCTTGCTTCCCGCGCACTTGTCCAGGAACTCGCGCAACTCGCGGCGCACTGCCTCACGCAGCACATTGAGGTTCACTCGCCCGTAGGACAGGTGTGCCGCCATCTTACCGCACCGCCCCCTTTCCCCTCGCGATTCAGCCGGGTCGGCTCCTCAGCCCCTAGGCCCGCCCAGACCACGGATGGGGTCATGTGATCGTGCGTTCACGTGACCTGAGCCGCCGACGCAAGCACGCACAAACCCGGAAGTTCCAATGGATTCGTCGAGTTCTGCAAAGGGAATTTAAAGTTGAAATTGTGCTCACGTGTCCCGTCCAAAAATCGCGATGGTGTTCTGGTATAAAGCGTCATTTAAATGAAAATCGTTTAAATTCTGTTCATCAGACGGTGCTGAACGTTTATGAGCTAAGGTTTTACGGTCCAGGGCCGGGGCACAGCTGACAGGACAGTGATGCCGAGCCTGCGTGTGAAAAGTGGCCAGCTGGGACGGAGAGGGTGGAATATGCCGGAACAGGTTCATTCGTGGGGTGTTGGGCCCAATGCCACGTGGGGAGTCTGGGAAACGATGGGGTGGGGGAGGGAGTCTCCATGTCACCGCAAACGTGTGGATCCCAAGATGACATGCCTTCTGGGTCGTCCTACCACCCGCGGGAACCCACGCAGAGCTCAGCAGGAAGTGGGGTGCACTGGGCACCAAGACGGACCGGGAGGCGCCCGGGGTCCCCCCCCACTGCAGCTGGCCTGCCTCCAACATTGATCTTTACAATGTATTCCTGCGTGGTCGCTCATCCGTACAACACGGGAAATGTCACGGATTGACAAGCGCTGGCTGCCAAGCGACACCGTTTGGTGCCACTTATTTTTGGCGTGGGATGGTGGGTAACAACGTTATGGGTTTATTTCATCCCGAGTAGGTCACCCATCACTTTGATACAACTTATTTCTAAAAGGCTGTTTAGCAGCAAGATCGCTATTTGGGTCTATGAAGTTTGCATATTTTATTTTTTTTAAAGATTTATTTTTATTATTTTCCCATTGGAAAGGCAGATATACAGAGCAGAGACAGAGAGGAAGATCCTCCGTCCGACGATTCACTCCCCAAGTGAGCGCAACGGGCCGATACTATGCCGATCCGAAGCCAGGAGCCTCCTCCAGGTCTCCCATGCGGGTGCAGGGTCCCAAAGCTTTGGGCCGTCCTCGACTGCTCTCCCAGGCCACAGGCAGGGAGCTGGAAGGGAAGCGGGGCTGCCGGGATTAGAACCAGTGCCCATATGGAATCCCGGGCACGTGCAAGGTGAGGACCTTAACCACTGCGCCACCGTGCCGGGCCCAAGTTTGCATATTTTAAGAAAACCATTGTAAGCGATAAAGCAAGGTAATGACGTGCTGACTCTGACAAAAAAAATACTCTTTTATTAAAGTGGATACAGAACACTTTTTTTTTTTGCTTGAGTTTTAACACTGTTTTACATCATGTTTTGATTCTGAAACAAGTCCTCTTGGATTTATAACTAAAAGTTTCATCTGGGAACAGATTTACTTAATAGTCACTTAGCCAGCACACAGTTGATAATCTGGAGGGGAAAAATACATCCAAGGCATATGTACAGTTCCAGCTGTTCGTATGGTACATGGAGCGTGGAAGATACACTCTGTCACTCTTTACATACTTGAGGAGACATTCAAAGAAAGACAAACAGATTCAGACTGGTTGATAAACACTCCCCTTCACTGAGGTCCTTCACTCTTTTTGTGATAAGAAAATCCAAAATTGTTGTTGAATTTCTCATCATACATTCATGTAAAAATAGTTTTTAAAAACTTCTAAAGGAAGACGTTAGATTAATTTTGGTGTCTTCTAGTGGTCTGCTCGGCTTCTGGAGACAGTACTAGAGAAAGAAAAACAAACTCTCCTAGATAAACAAAATGAAACAAAAGGGAAGAAAACAGTTGCAACGCCACTTGATGCTGTCTCGGGCTTAGTTTATTGTATCCTGATGATCATTTAAAGGTAAAAATCTGCAAAGAAAGACACGCTGTGTATGTTTTGTTCCAAAATATAGGTTTTTTAAAAAAAATATATATATATACACAATACTATATGGAAGCTGGAAGTACGCAAAATGGATGCAGAACAGCCCAGGAGGGTGGTGGGCACACGCATGCGCGTGCACCCGCGTGTCCTCACGCCGCCTTCTGCTGCTTCAGGATTCGATCATACCTGCTCATTGTCAAGCCTGATAAAAAGGCACCACAGATAACGGGTAGTGCAAAGAGCTCAGCTATTTCTTTGATTAGGAATAAAAGACTTATTAACGAGTCAGTGAAAAAGCAAAATAGCACTTTTTTTTCAACTCATTCCAGTGTCAAAGATTCATAAAAAAAAAAAAAAAAACAAACTTCTAAATATACAAAAAAAAAATGCAGCCTGGAAATATTTTAGTGCAAATATGAAAAATAACGGCATAATTTAAAGGTATTTAAATAAGGTAGGGGTGAGGATTGCTTTGTGAGGTTTCTCTAGGGACAAACAGGTGTAATGGCATCTGGTACGATGTCTCCAGACCGAAAGATCCAGAGAACAGGAGAGAACAGGTGAAAACTCACCTACCCAATGTTTATTAGTCTAACTTAGGAGTGGGGAGACTAACAGGACGATTTGTTGAAGACCAAAATATTTCCTTAGATTTGTCGAGGGACGGGGGGGAGGGGGGGGGTCAAGGTAGCATGAGTTCTCCGGGCGTGCGCCCACCCGCGATGCTGGACTGCGGCTCCGTCAGAAGGTCTCGTCGTCGTTGCAGTTGGTGGCCCAGTGCCCAAACATCTCGCAGATGTCGCAGTAGGGGCGCTCCTCGCTGCGGCTGCCATGGTGCGTGGAGTGTGGAGGGTCCTCCGATGTCTGTGCCTGGGTGGGACAGTCCTCCGTGTCATGCAGATCAAAACAGTCACAGATGTCACAGAAGAGGCGGGGTTTCTTCTTGGACTGCCTTTCCTGGTCATCACTGCAAGGTCAACGTGGGAAAGGGGTTGTGGTCAGAACAAACTCGGGGAGAGTTACACTTGAAGAGGATTCTTCAGAATAAGCAAGAACTGGGGCTGCGATAATGTTTTAATTGGCTAATCCTCCGCCTGCATGTGTGTGCAGGATCCCAGGTGGACACCGGTTTGCATCCTGGCTGCTCCACTTCCCATCCACCTCCCTACTTGTGGTGCGGGAAAGCAGTCAAGGATGGTCTAAAACCTTCGAACTCTGCACCTGTGTGGGAGACCTCGCGTGGGCTCCTGGCTTCAGATCAGCTCAGCTATGGCTTTTGCAACATTTTGGGGAGGGAACCAGTGGATGGAAGATTTTTCTTTCTTTCCTCTCTGTAAAATATGACTTCTAGTAATAAGTACATTTAAAAAAAAAAATTAAAGCAATAAACTCAGTCCAGTCTGAGTTTCTGCTCTTAGGGTGTCTCCAGCCAGGTTTGCAGGCATCCACTGCCAGCAGGATAACCACAAGCGGCGTGGCCTGATTTTGCTTTCCACTAGCCTGACTTTGAGAACACACGGACACGGCCGGACACGCTGTCGGGGCTCAGTGCGTGATACCTGTCGTAACTGTTCAGGTCCTCGCCGTTTCCGTTCAGCGCTGCCTCAGACATCATCTCCACCTTCATCTTGAGGTCTTGGTTCTTCCGCTGGAGGTCCACTATCACTGAATTTAGGAAATCAATCTGATTTTAAAAGAAGAAAGATATGTAAGACATCTAAGACACATGTAACCTTGAGTATGGAGAAGGCATCATGTGCACCCTCCTGCTGGGATCACCCAGTGTGGGGGCCTCACAGAGGGGCCACAGCGCCGTGCGGGGGAAGCAATGCTGAGATGGCCTGTGAAGAGCCACACTGGCCCCGCCGTGCCCTGGGGATGTGCTACAGCAGCTGCTCCCCTTCTACCTGCCAATTTCTTGCACCTGTTTTCACCCAGCAAGCACTTTCCCATATCTGAACACACTGAAAGTTACATTTCAGTATGTGGCATTCTTCAGAAGTTCTCTTACAATTCTAGGCACGTGGGGTGACGTTTTCCTCCTCTTGTCTGATAAAACACACACACGATTTTGGAAAGGTTTGAGTGCTTGGTTCTCTGTGGGAGACTTGAAGTAGCCCAGGATGTTAGACATGAGGTTCAGACTCCGTACAGTCAGGGGAGAACGAAGTGCTGGGTTTTTGGAGGGGAGCAGTTTCTCTCAGCTGAGGACAGACACTGTGTGTGCTCATGACAGCACCTGCGTCGGGGACTGGGCAGGGGGACAAGATGGCCCCAGGAAGGAGCACCCTTGGCTGGATAACCACTTCTGAATCGGGCGCTTTCCCATGTGTATATAGAAGTTCTTCCCCTGCTACAAACAATAAAAACGCCAGCACACAGAGTCACACATATTCACACGTGGCCTTGTATTTCACTTTTCGAAGACACAGTGGGTGTCTTGGGGCAGCCGCCCCTGTGGTCTCGCCTGTGAAACACTAGCAGCTCCCAGCATCCGGGAGGTCACCTCTGAGGATGGCCACCCTCGGTCACCAAGAGATTTCATGGAAGACTATTTTGGTGCAAAAAAAAATTTTTTTTGAAATCTAAATGTTCTTTTTCCATAATGCACACTTTCCACAAGCTTCATTGAGGCTCCCTGTGTTTTCCCTTCTCAAGCTGCACTTTTCCAAAGTCATTCTCCAGCTGCAAGCTCTTTTATAGGAAAAAGCTACAAAAGCGCATATGGTTGGAACTGCGTGGCTGCACACACACACACACACACACACACACACACACACACACACACACACACAGAAATTAGGAAACATAAAACAAACCATTTGCTGATGGGAAGGAAAGTGTTGTCAGCAGCAGATGAAACAAACGGAAGCAGAGAGAGGAAGGGGGAGAGAGGACAGTGTTAATCACGGTCCCGGCGGCTCCACTTCCCATCCAGCTCCCTGCCTGTGGCCTGGGGAAGCAGTGGGGACGGCCCAGAGCTGTGGGACCCTGCACCTGTGTGGGAGACCTGGAAGAAGCCCCTTGCTTTGGATCAGCTCAGTTCTGGCCACTGTGACCATTTGGGGAGTGAATCAGCATATGGAAGATCTGTCCTTCTCTGTAAATCTGCCTTTCCGATAAACAAATCTTAAAAAAAAAAAAAAAAAATTGGTGGGTTCCCTGCTCACATGCAATTGCGCTTCCAAATAGACAGAGCTTTACCTCCAGGTAATTCTACCTTGAAAATTCATTTGCTTTGTTAATTCTGACCTTAGGGGATGGAGTTTTCTAGAATCCAAGTTTTTTTACAGTCAAGATTAGCCATGGACCCTCAGCCAGAGCAGTTCCACTTGCTGCAGAAATACCAGTCCAGGCACAAAAGGACAGCTGCTCAGTGTGGCTGTGTGACAGCTGACGGGGAGCAGGCTGCATCAGATCCAGCGGCATGAGAATGCCCTTACACTGCAAGGAGTGGGACGGGAAGACAGAGCAAGGCCCGGCTTCTGCATGACCCTCTACAGTAGGCAGTGCTTGTCTGGGGGCCTGGCAACCGAGCAGAAAGGGAGGAGGCTCTGGAGGAAGGCATGTCACTGTCTGGCATGGGCACTACGGCTGCGCTGTGTTCCAGAACCCGCGCCTCGGCACCTAACAGGGAGGAAACCACACGTACCTGGCTCTCCTGGGCCCGCTCGTCCTCTTCGGCCTGAGGATCAGTGTTACCTTATATTGAAAGGAAGGGGAAAAGGGGAGGATGATTTTAACAACTCCCTCGTTATCTTGTTCCCCCGTCAGAACTCTTCAGGTGGACATTGTGGGTGTGGGTACACAGGTGACAGCAGCAGGAGGTGCTCCTGTCCTCTTGTAACCAGCCAGCCCCCCTCCATGGAAAGAAGCAACAGTCACTCTCCACCTAAGCACCGCCCCCTTGCCTTGGCTTTGCAGTGCCGCGATGGCAGCTGTCCCCCACCCTCTCAGAATGACAACACCCAGCGGCCTTCGGGAGGCCTGGCAGACTGGCCCTTGCGGTCCCGGGGCCAGGTGGCTCTCGTCTCACCTGAGGAGCTGCTCAGCTGCCTCTTGTTCTCCTTGAGCTGAAGTTCCAGGTTCTTCACCTTGAGCTCGAGTTTGACCTTGTCTGACTCCAGAGACTGCACAACAGAATGCAGGGACTTGGCCGAGGCGTTCTCTCCCCTGAGCACGGTGACCTGGAAAACAGGCAGGTTCTGGAGCCCGGGGGCCGCGAGGGCGGCCAGGGTGGCCCACGCCAGTGCCAGCCCATGCCAGCCCACGCCAGCCCACGCCGGCCCACGCCGGCCCACGGCCACAGTCCTCTACCTCATTCCTCAGCTTCTCCAGCTCCGCGTCCTTCTCTGTGAGCAAGGCACTGGTGATGCTGATGGATTTCTGCAAGGAAGCCTTCTCTTCGTCCGCATCTTGGATGTACTTGGATTCTCTAAAAGCAAAGAGTTCAAAGATCCAGGAATCAGCCAGGAATAGGCAGTGTGCAACCGATTCCAGTAACATCAAAATGAAAAAAAAAAATGTATATACATATATATACTAGGGGAGTTTCATAGGAATTAGGCTAATAAAGGCTTGCAAAATTTTACTCGAAATTCTACTTACTGTGAGGGGAGAAAAAGTTTACCTACGTATAGACATGTCAGAATCTGCATATCACTGTATCCATTTGAACTTAAAGAGACAAGTTAAGAAATCTGGAAGATGTAGAATTAAAAAAAAAAAAAAAAAAGAAAGAAAGAAAGAAACTGTTGCACTGCTCCAAGCACTATACCAAAATCTAGCCCCAGATTGAATTTTGTTACTTCCAGAATAAACCATCACCAGGCAATAACGACAACTGAAATACACGCATGCAAAGCGGTTATACAGATGACATGCAGAGCGTGTTATGCTGGAAATATCACTTGGTTCTCACTAATTTCTGTGACGTTTGAGCAAGTTCCAAGAATGTTTTAGGATCTTGTGGGCCAGGGCAGTGGCGCGGGCTCAGGCCTCAGCCCCTGTGGAAGGGCTCTTCTCCAGCCTCACTGAACCGCTCGTGGGAATGGGACAGGAACAGCAGTGTGGTTTGTCAGGTGGGGGTGGGAGGCGGGGTCAACAGAGTGAGGGCAAGGCCTGGGAGAGGGCAAGGACAAGGCAACGGGGCTGGGGCTCAGCATGTGCTGCAGACCAGGAGAGACCGGGGCGGCCAGGCCGTCATGGGAGGAAGGAGGCCGAGGGGGTGGGACAGCTGAGGCTGGGTGCTGTCCCAGCCTGGATCTGAATGGGGAGAGGCTTCAGGGGCCACATGGGGATGCTTCAATAAAGCCTGTGCCGATGTGGTGTCTTGGTTTCGGTAAATGCACGTGGTTACCTAAGACGTGCATGTTAGGGGCAGGCTGGCTTTGTGACCCATGCAACTCTCCCGTGAGCACCTTTTTTTTTTTTTTTAAATTGTGTGCCATGTGAAACAGATGAGAAGAAAGAACATGTATTGCAAATATTCTTCAGGAGAAACGAAACAGGAGGAGACAGTCACAGGCTGACCCCGGGGGCGCAGGCCCAAGACTGGGTGTGATGGCTTAGCCTGTCTTCCCACCAGCTGGAGGAACACGAAACTGAGGCCCAGGTTAGAAATGGCAGCATGCGTGTCTGCTTAGTGAGACCCAAGATATCCGGCACACAAATTACAGAATTCTCATGGTGCGTGGTGGACTGCGACTCTCAGGGTGAAATTATACCGTGTTGCATTTATCTCATCGTGTGGCTTACACGTTAACGCTCCAGAAGCAGACGTAGTAAGAAAAGAATCTCAGACTGACACATTGCTCTCTGCCTGTCGGCGCTCTCACTCCGTGGAGATGCAACTCGTTCACAGATGTCAGTTCGTAAAAAATGTACTGGCATTTTTATTTTAAAAAGCAAGACAGACAGGGTTCCTGCCTGCAGCTTCGGTCCTCCCATGCCAACAACACCTGGGACGGTCTCCCGTGTCAGTGGCAAGGGCCCAGGTCCTGGGCTGCTGTGCTGTCACCTCCCAGGGCATGGCGTTAGCAGGGAACGGGGATGAGAGCAGAGCTTGGGCAAAGACCAGGGATGGGTCTGCAGGTATCCCAAGTGGCACCTCAACTGCTGTGCCAAATGTGCACCCCAACGCAATTTAAATGAAAGAAATTGAGGAGAGGGGCACAGCACTGTGGAACAGCAAATTAAGGCACTGCTTACAATGTCAACTTGTGATGTCAGAGCAGCAGTTTGAGTCCTGGCTGCTCTGCTTGCGATCCACCTTCGTGCTGATGTGCCTGCGGAGGAAGCAGGTGCTGCCCCCCTCTGGAGGGAGGCCCTGCTGGAGTTCTGGCTCCTGGCTCCAGTCTGACTCCTCCAAAGCTGCCGGGACTATCTGCACACTGAATCAACATATAAACAGCTCTTTTTCTTGACCTCCTTCCTGACTTTTTTTTTTTTTTCCCTTTTTAAACATTTATTTATTTTTATTGGAAAAGCAGATATACAGAAAGGAGGAGAGACAGAGAGGAAGATCTTTTGTCCAATGATTCACTCCCTAAGTGGCTGCAATGGCATGAGCTGAGCCAATCCAAAGCCAGGAGCCAGGAACCTCTTCCGGGTCTCCCAAGCAGGTGCAGGGTCCCAAGGTTCTGGGCCATCTTCCACTGCTTTTCCAGGTCACAAGCAAGAAGCTGGATGGGAAGCAGGGCTGCTGGGATTAAAACCGATGCCCATATGGGATTCAGGAACATGCAAGGCTAGGATTTTAGCCACTAGGCTACTGTGCCAGGCCTCACTTTGTCTTTTAATTAAAATTTCTCAAAATAAATGGAAGAAATGTCAGACTTTTTTTTTTCCACATATCTGATGTTACCCAGTGATGCCAGGAGTCTTGGGCTCCCAACGTTTCCATTAAGCTTGTTTGGCTGTTTAGTCTATCCAGAGCCTCACTGGCTATGAGTTATGAATACAACAAATCTGAGAAAAAGGGTTTTTAGGTAGTGTCTCATGGAGCAACCGCAGGAACTTAGTTGCAGCTGGAAGATCCCGAGGTCCATTGATGCCAGGTGCTGGGCAAGAGCTGACGGCCGCTGGGCACACAGGGATGGGCGTTGCCTGGTGCTGCCTCCCCAAGTCTCCACCCATCATTTGCACACCTGCCAGCTAGGCCGCTTCTTAAGAGTGCCTGCGGGACACTGCTGCAATCAGAGGATGCTGCCTTCAGATGAGAGCTGTGAGCCACAGAAAGGGCAGGACGCGCACACCATGCCAGCTGCCCTAGGTTACAGAGCATCATCACTGGCTGCTTTGGCCGCTGCCAAGCCCTGAGTGCTCTGTACGGACCAGGAGGGGCCTGAGTCACATGTTCTGCTCTGCCTGGCTACAATGACTCAGCAGAGCTGATACAAAGAAGGCAGGAGAGGCCTAACTTGGAAGAGCTAGGAGGCCAGAACCCTTTTCCTCTCTCGTGCCCAGCAGCGGAGAGGCTACCCAGATTCTTTTCTTACTACTTATGCAAGAAATAAACTCCAGTGATGCAGCAAATACCTTAAACTGGGCAAGCTTTTAAAATGCAAGGTAACAGGAACCAGGTATTAGAAACGCGAAGAGAAATGCAAATACAGTAAGGAGAGTGGGTTTGCACTGCAGTTCCCGCTGTGGACGGGTACCCAAAGAAGTCTGTGTGCTCAGGTGTGTGCGCGTACGGCTCAGGATATTTTACAAAACAAAAGCAAGACATGGAGGGACAAAGGCAGCCAAAAATATATATACGACAATTTGGTTTACTAAAAATATGTGAAATTTATTGATTATAACGTGGATAGACTTTCTTTAGTCTTACCATTAAAGACACACAGATATAGCAAAGGAAGCAAGAGTAGGGAAGGGAAGAGAGAGGAGTGAGATGAGCAGTCATCAGGAGCGCCAGCTCAGAGACAGACAGTCAGCAACCCACAGCGGGGCCAGGCACGCGAGCCCAAGGAGCACATGGGGCATGGGCCAGGCACACGAGCCCACGGAGCACTGACTGGGCATGAGCCAGGCACACGAGCCCACGGAGCACATGGGGCATGAGCCAGGCACACGAGCCCACGGAGCACCAACGGGGCATGGACCAGGCACACAAGCCCACAGAGCACTGACCGGGCATGAGCCAGGCACACGAGCCCACGGAGCTCATGGGGCATGGGCCAGGCACACGAGCCCACGGAGCACTGACGGGGCAGAATGGTGGGACCCTGGGCCCACGGAGCATTGATGGGGCAGGGTCCAGGACCACAAGCCCAGGGACTACTGAGGGGCCAGAGCAGCTAACTCAGCTGAGACCTCACGCCCGAGGAAGACCTCTAGGTGGCTCTAGCAGAATTCTGGCTCCCAAAGTCGGTGCTGAAGATCCTGGTGTCTCCACTGACCCCACACCCCACAGCTGGGGATGGGTGAGGTGGGGGCAAGGAGGTCCACCGCTCGGAGGCAGGGCCCTTCCTAGCACCCACCCCCATCCTGCACTTCCCCTGCTCTGTCTGCTACACGGATGCAGGGTGTCTGGAGAGAGGTCGGCTCAACTTGCTGACTTCTTGTTAACAAATGGCTTCATCCTAGTCAGGAGTTAAGTTCTGCCCTTCAGCATCAGGACCTGAACAAAGGGATTCCCTACTGTCTTACCTGCTGGTGAGCGGTTAGCACTTCCAAACAACACTGCTGGCTACCTGCTCTGTTTCTGAACAACTACCGTATCAAATGCTTTCATGATTTAAGTTCTTGCAAGGCTTTTACATTAAGAGTGCATCAAGTTTTTCTTGATGTTCTAGGCTCAATAAACTAATTGAACTGCTTTTCATCTAAACCCAAACAGGAATTCTTTACCAAACTGACTTTTAGCAGGCATGTAAAGGTCTGAATTAGCTCCGGTACACTGTGGTTTTTACTGCTGTTTTCTGGTCAACACTGGCAGGACTGTCCAAGAGACAAGCTCCTGAACACGAGGGTGTGAGAGGGAACAGAGCGAGTCAAGTCAGGAGAGGAGATCTCACAGTCCCCACATTCGGTTTCTCTGCAGGCCACGGCTGCAGCCATATGCCTAATCCTATTTTGAGCAGCATGCAACTGAGTTAAAGTCACACCAGCACTAATGGAGCTAGTATCTTTTGTTTTTAATGGTAATTAATAACTACAAGTCTCCACAGATGGGAACTGCACAGAACCTGGGCCCTGGGGCCTGCACCTGCCACTTCCTTAGCCCTGAGTGCCTGGCCCAGTGACCTCCTCTAGTCCCACCAGGTCAGCCCTTGGGCTGTTTCCAGATAAGACACTCTGTGTGTGTGTGCCATGGAGGAGCCAAGGCCACATCTTCACCCGTGTCTGCAGAAACCACAAGACCAACCCTCCCATTGCTGCACGTACCCTCGCTAAGGGCCGACATGAGGCTGGTTTGTTTAAAGCAACATAAACTTATTTATGTAAAGTTAAACACTCTCCAACCAATAGTGGGGAGGTTTGAGGCAGAGCTGACCCTAGGCAGGGACTAGCCTTAGGCCCAGGCGCAGGCGCAGGCCCAGCTTGAGTCCCTGATCCTTACAGCCCCTGTCCAGCTAGCTGCAAGGGGCAGTGCTGAGACACAAATGCACCCTGGGGTGTCCACATGGGCTTAGTGAGACCTGGAAGGAGGATTAATCTGAGTAACTCTGAGTGGAAAACAGAAGAGGGAGCTGATGGAATTGAGGTGGACCAAGCTGATGGAATCGAGGTACCTTTGTGGGCTAAATAAATAAGGTCCCAACACCTAGGTGACCGCTACTCTGGCTGGAGGGGACAAGGGACCTGTCTGTCCTGGGTGGGGCAGAGACACTGCCAGCTCTGCCTTGACCAGGAGGAATAAAACACTTTACAGAGGCATCGAGGAACTGGACTCTTAGGCGCTTATTTTTGCTTACTTTTAATTCAGTTTTAATCAGCCAGAAAGCATGCTACTCTTGTGGCGTACACTGTGCAGCAGCCTAGTGGGTGGGGAAAGCATCAGGCACTTGCAGATCCCACCTGCCCAGGAGTGTGGGTGACGGGCCACGCCCCCCCCCCCAACAGGACTGGGAAGTGACACTGCGAGCTGTGACTGTCATCTCAGTGTCACAGAGCAACAGTAAGTCACAGCTGTTTTTAAAATCTATTACCTATTATTAAAAACTTCAGCTTTTTCTAGAACTGAAATGAGTACCTGTGTGCAGACGACGGCAACATGTGAACTTACAGTGACTGGGACAAGGAGGTGAGAGTGGCATCATCGTCTGATTTGAGGACATTTCTGAATAAATGAAACTGAACACGGTTTAAAAACTAAAATCTTCCTACTTCAGTGACAGTGACACCTGCAGATGAACTTTCATGAACTGTCCGTGATGAGCAACGCAACTACCACGATGCTGCTTTCTGAATTTAGGAAAATCACTGCTTTCTACAGCAGGCTACCACATGCATCACGCTGTGGCATTCCACACACACACGCACACACACGCACACACACACACACACACACGCACACACACACACACACGCACACACACGCGCGCGCGCACACACACACACACACACACACACACAAGCTTACCTCTTCTTCATTTCTAACAACTGATTATTGAGCACAGATCTTTCTTCTTCCAGCTGGGGAAAAAAAAAAAAGGTTCAGTTCATGGCACAGTCCCAGAGAAGCCAGTGCTCACAGCACTCCCAGGCTCAGGGTGCGAAGGCAGGTGCCTGCACCCCCACCATGACACCCCTCACCTCACCCCCAGCAATGCAGCAGCGGAGGGGCAGTCACTAGTTGACAAGTCCAGAAATGACTTGCCTGGCTGCCATTCCTCATGGACCTGGGTTAGAAATATTCAATACGAGCATCCTGAGTAACTCCGGGCAAATTCCAAGCACTCCGTGAGTGATAAACAAATGAGTAAAATGTCCACAGGGAGCGTCCTGGTTGCTCCAGCCACACAGCACGGGTCCAGCATCACAGCTCACAGAGAGCTGAGACAGGTTATGTACCGGCTAGAGGACTCATTTGACCCAAGGGTTAATCCAATACCCACTGGTTACTACAGTCCCTGAATACCTTGCTTGTCTACAGGACAATGAAGTTATAGAAAAAGTTCCAGTCCAAGAATTTTTAGTTGAGGAAAGATTAAAAAGCAAAGAGATCTAATAGGTTCATCTCAAGACAAGAGTCATCCTTATTCCCAGCCTGTACCCTGACACAGACTTCAACTCCCAGAACAACAGGGTCAGAAAGCTGAGCCGGCTTTGCTTTTCGCAGCCAAAGGCTAACTCAGAGTGCAGCGGTTTGCAGGAGCCCAGGAGCCCAGGCCACAGTCTGCAGTGACAGGTTCCATACGGATGTCAGGGATCATACACTTTGAGGGCTTTTTAAAGGAGACTTAAACACATGTGTGTATAACACAGCCATGCACTTATCGTAAATCCAGAGTCAACGTACTAGTTTGCCGCTGTAGGCTCCTTGTCTTCCTACATGTTTCTGATGCATGAATAATTCACAGAAATAGTAAAAAATGTTTGAATGAAGGGAAGCAAAAGGAATAGGAGCCAAACTTAAATGTTTTTATTATTTTAAAGATTTATTTTATTTTTATTTGAAAGGCAGAATTACAACTCTGAGAGAAAAGAAACCAGGAGATTTTTCATCCCACTAATTCACTCCCCAAAAGGTTACAATGGCCAGAGCTGGATCAGGTCAAAGCCAGGAGTCAGGAGTTCTGTCTGGGTCTCCTGGGGGTGCTGGGGCCTGAGAACTTAGGCCATACTGTGCTGCTTTCCCAGGTTATGAGGCAGTTGCACCAGAAGTGGAGCAGCTGGGACTTGAACAAGTGTCCACATGGGATGCCAGCACCACAAGCTGAGGTTTAATATACTATGCCACAGTACAGACCCCCAAACATGTTTTTAATTTATTTTTATAACTTGAAAGGCAGAGGTTACAAGAGAAAGAAAGACAGATCTTCCATCCACTGAGTCATTTCCCAAATGGCTGCACCAGCCAGAGCTAGGCCAGGTGGAAGCCAGGAGCGTCCTTCCAATCCCTGACATGGAGGCAGGAGCCCAAGCACTTGGTCCATCCTCCCAGGCATATTAGCAGGGAGCCAGATTGAAGTGGAGCAGCCAGAACATGAACTGGCACCCATATGGGATGCCAGTTTTGCAGGCAGTGGCTTTACCTGCCAGCAAATGGAAGATTCTTTCTCTTTCTCTCTTTGCCTCTTGCCATCTCTCCTCCTCTCCCTAACAAGCATGGCCCTGAGTTCAGTGCTAATGGGACTCGATGGGAGCAGAGTGCGGGGGGCACTGTACTACTGCGTCTGTTTCTGAATGGTGACACTTTTCTGTAATCAAAGGTTGAAAAAGAGAACATGGAAAAATGGGGAAAAAAAGGTTGTAAGAGTGAAGACAGCTCATCAGTGACTGGGGACCACTGGGCCGGAAGATCTGAGTCTACAACACTGCTTTACAAACAACAATGATGAGAAATTTGAGCTTGGGTGTCGGTCACAGATCCATACCTTGCTTTTCCAGGCTCTGTGAAAGCAGCTTCATGGAGCAGCAGCATGTTCTGCTCTGGGCGTGGCTCACAGCAGCGCTGCGAAGCTGCACGGGCACATGGGCTGAGAGCTGGTGGGCTCTGGGTGGGTGTCAGTGAGGTCGCACTGGACGCGCACCTCTGCTGAGCATGTCCTGTTGGCCTGGGCAGGTGGCTCACTGCTGGCCTGGCCCCGTCTCTTCCTACACCTTCTCCTTGACAGCCTGTGCTATCTCATGACAGACCACACCCCACGGCTGATCCACGTGGGGAAGATCGGAAGGGCCTCTCCCACTCCAGAGCTGCCCGGCGCCCATCAAGGTGGTCCTGGCTTTGTAGCTCAATTTCTTCCTCTCCACAGCACCACTTCTGTCCCGCCTCTTCCACAGTGGTGGCCCCAAGGGACACAGCTCCAAGGCCGTGACACAGCCGACACTGTCTCAGACTGCAACAGAGCACTATGGGCCCCCAGAAGACACTGACAGAGCCGCAGGCATCAAAGACTGGCATAAGTTCATGTGACCATATTCATGTCCGAAAACACACACACACGCACGTGATCACTGTCTCATTTGATAAAGAAAGCTGCTGAAGATGCAACCGCTGGGCGGGCGGCAGGGGGAGGGAACATTCGCACAGAACCAGGCCACCTCGGCTGGGAACCCTCCCTCTGGCACCTGGCACACAGCAGCTCTCCGAGCGCATCTCTAACACAGTGAAATGCAGAGGACTCTACTGCCTAGAGGAATTGCAGCGCCAGGGCAGGCCTTCCTACTAACCCCTAGAAGCTACACAGGACCAGAGGACTCCGGCCAAATTGAGAGGGATGCCTGAATCAGGAAACAGAATCTGCAGGAACTAACCCCACCTTTTGGTCATTTCCCAGAAGATGCCCAAGGAACCCAAGAAAACTAAAGTCCTCTAAGTTGCAGATTAAGCTACCACAAATTAAAATAATAATAATAATAATAGTTTCATTTTAAAATTATTTCATATTGAATGAAACAGAGAAAACACAGAAATCTTAAATCTACTGGCTGTCCTTGACTGCTTTCCCAGGCCACAGGCAGGGAGCTGGATGGGAAGTGGAGCTGCCAGGATTAGAACCGAGGTCCATCTGGGATCCAGGTGCGTGCAAGGCGAGGACTTTAGCCGCCAGGCCACCACGCCGGGCCCCTTCTTGTATTCTTTAACTGCAATAACAATCAGAAATTTTTGTGTACATCCAGTTCTTTCTTTCTTTTTTTTTTTTTTTTAAGATTTGTTTATTTATATTGCAGGGGCCCAAACATGTGGGTTCTGCTTCCACAGCTCTTCCCCAGGGTCGTTAGAATGCAGCTGGTAGAGCTGAATCAGAAGTGGAGCAGAGACTGGCACTGTGGCATAGCAGGTGAAGCCACTAGCTGCAATGCTGGCATCCCATGATCGCCAGTTAAGAGTCCCAGCTGCTCTACTTCCTATTCAGCTTTCTGCCAGCGTGCCTGGGAAATCCAGAGAGAATGGCCCAAGTGCCAGGGCTGCTGCACCCACATGAGACAGCCAAAAGAAACTCCTGGTTTCAGCTCAACCCAACCTGGCCATCACAAATCATTTGAGGAGTGAACCAGAGGATGGAAAATCCCCCTCTCTCCTTCTGTCCATCTCTAACTCTGTTTTTCAAATAAAGTAAACATTAAAAGGCAAAAAAGAGAAGTGGAAAGCTGGGGCTCAAAACGCCAGTATGCCAGCCCACCTTCTCCCCTAACAGTGAATCCTGCGCTCAGTGAGGCCACGACACTCGTGTGCATCACTTCTACTTTCCCACGGTTATTATCTTTCCTTTAATTGTTTTAACATCTTCGCTCTGCTATCATGGCTACCTTCACACTTCTGCTTCTAATTTAGTGCTGCTGACTTGGTGTGGCTTTGGGCCTCACTTTGTCTCCTTAGCTCTCTGTGGCCGTCAGTGTGCTGGGTGCCACCTCCTCCTGCAGCAACTGATTCACTTAAACAGCACTGGGTGTCATCTTCCTCATGGCCCACTTGCTCATCTCTTTCTCTGGATTCCTGCATTCCTTTCTTCCGCTTCTGAGCTGTTGATCTTTGTGGACGGCTCCACCTAGACTCCTGTGTGCTCACGCACAGAGTGAATTTCCCACTGACCTCCTGCCTTCGACCCTCCTCTCCAGGCTGTGGCTTATACTGCACCTGTTTCTGCAGCCAGCGGGACCTGCGCCAGGCCCAGGGTGGAGCAAGTGCTTTGTGCTTACCGCTCTGCTGGGACCTCGCCGGGGACCAGTGCACAGGAGACGAGGTACTGTTTTAACGGAACTCGGGTCGCCAGGCGAGCTGTACCCTCACATATTAAGCAAGCTGGGGGCGTCAGTGCCGCCCCATGGTTATCAGCTATCCTCCGCAAATGGAACAAGGGCAAGGTCTGGGAGTGACGAAGTGGAGCCTCAACAGAGACTACCTGAGGTGGCCGCTCCCACAGAAGAAAGAACATGAGTTATTTCTAGGACTCTCCATGAACAGAAAAGAGCACTGTGTGTGGTGACCAGTTGTCCACACAGCAGAGTCCGGCCTGATTTGGCACCAGATGCTGTTGGCTTTTTTTCTTTTTTTAAGGTTTATTTATTGTTATTGGAAAGGCTGATTTACAGAGAGAAAGGGAGAGAAAAAAAAAAAAAAGAGGTTCCAGCTGCTCATTCACTTCAGAAAACGGCCACAACAGCCAGAGCTGAGCTGATCCAAAGCCAGGAGCCAGGAGCCTCCCCTGGGTCTGCCACATGGGTGCAGGGTCCCAAGGCTTTGGGCCATCCTTGACTGCCTTCCTAGGCCACAAGTAGGGAGCTGGATGGGAAGTGGGGCTGCTGGGATTAGAACAGGCACCCATATGGGATCCAGGTGTGTGCAAGGCAAACACTAGCTGCTAGACTACCGCGCTGGGCCCCTACGTTATTGTACATGGTGACTCTCTGCACTGCTTTGAAATATCTGTATCCTGGGAATGTGACCTGCAATATCAACTCTAGTAGTCTATCACCTAAGCCTATCACATCTTTATGTCACACCCACTTGTTTCTTCAGAGTAAAACACAGGAAACCACAAACACCTTAAAAATGTACGCATTCCCCAAAAGGAAGCTGCTTTCTTAGCTGCTCTTTTAGGTGCACAGTGACTGATTTTAAACTTTTAAAATTTTAAACTCTCAGCAGAAAGCCGACTGAAGGCCCTCTCTGCTGAGAGTGGGGTGGCCAGGACGCAGAAGCGTGCCAAACGCTTGCCCATGGTGCCTGTCTCTCCAGAGCTCCTTCCACTGCCATCCACAGGGACAAGAGTCCAGCCAGGGTCAAGGCACAGGAGCAGAGGGTGGCCGGAAGAGGACCGTTGCTCCTATTTTCAGAGCCCACTGTTTGCACAGCGACATTTGACGAGTGAGAGAAAACAAGACAGGAATGGACTCCTTGCTCAGCCAAGCCGCTTCTCACCCAAGTCCTCAGAGATTCCACACACTCCGGGTGTTCGGGCTGGCACCACGGGCAAAAGGAACCACTTTGGACCAGAGGGCATCTGTTTCACATGAGCTTTGATGTTTCATGTACAGAGGAGAGTATAGGCACCCTAACTCAGCACCCTCTGATTCCCGTCTGTACCCAGGTCATACAATGACAGCTCCCACCTTGGCACCAGCTAAATGACACTGAGCAGGTTTCCATCTGCCTTCTGCTTCCATGTGCCCTTTTCTGCGTTAGGATAACACTTGTGCCACCTGATCTCAGAGATGGCAAAGATTAACTGCTGTTTGCGAGAACTACAAGATGCTGGTGACCAGCGACAGCCGCGGCAGCAGCAGCTGCTTGGGGGCCTGGAGGGAGGCAGCACTCCTTTTACTGGTCGAGACAACAGCGGAAGCTGTAACCACACTTCCAATTCCGACAAAGTATTTCACCAGACCGAACTATGGCAACAAACTACTCCAGCCCAAGTGAGAATTAGTTTTTGTAGTTTATAAAGAGATGGGAGATGGGGGAGCAGCTGCAGCTCTGAGGACAGACGGAACAGCTGTGAGAGGATGCAGGTGCTCCCCTGAGCGACCACCTTCTGCAGTTCCGACACAGAAGCCAAGGGGCTGGGGGCCGCTAACGTCCGTTCTGGTTCCAACACACACACTGCACCTCCACCAGTGCACGTGGAACAAGACTCCAGCAGGAAGTGCTGTTCTCTTCACTCAAACAAGGAAAAACAGACTTATATTTAAAAGTCAGCTGCCAACCCTCATATCAAGTCCATATTTTTAGAATCTTTTTTTTTCCAAACCCAGTTTTTGAAGACCCAAAAGACCAAACCAAAAACAAACAAACAAAAAACTCAAAAGAGTCACAGGGAGAAGAAAGAGGCTGCCCCTTCCCAATTAATATTTAAGTGGGATCTCCGGGCAAAGCTCTTGTTTTCCAGTCCTCAATGTCCCAAGCCCACGTTCCTTTCCCCCTAAGGACCTGTCAATCCCTCCTGCCCTAAACCCCAAGGCAACACACTTGGAAACTGGGGGTTGGGGGGTGGCGCCTGGCGCAGGGTCCTCTGGATCCTGTTGGGAATGACGCGGCCGCGGCTCCCGGGAGCCTCCCAGCAGCCCGTGCACAGCGGCAGAGCTGGCACCCACTGACCTTCTGGTGGCTCGTGACTCCGTCCCTGCTTCTCCCCAGCTCCTCGGCAAGTTTGACGTTCTCCTCTTGCAGTGCTGAGAGCTGCTGGGACTTCTGAGCTGCTGCCTGCCTCAGGGTTTCTCTGCAAGGACAGTGAGTGCAAGGTTACCATGGAAACAAGGCAGGCAAAGAAACTGTGGGAGACAACCAGCTTCACAGCACCAGGGGAAAATATATCTGGGTCACGTGCCCACCGGGAGCCACGATAACAGGAGGGGCTGAATGGCTGGGACCCCTCAGCTGAGAGCTGTCGCCCACAATGACTGCATTAAAAAAAAACTGATAAACACCATGCCCACTCTCCTACCACCCACGCTGACCCAATATGTAAAAGGAAATTTTGCTATAAAATGACTCACGAGATGGTCAGTATAGTCCTGCTGTCCCAGGAGTATGTCTATTAGATAATAGCTAACGTCATCTAATGGGCTGCCAAGATCCTCTATTCCAACTACACACATCATAATCTGGTTTTCTCTGGCAGAAATAAAAACCTAACGGTCCCATTTACCAATAGCTGCCACAGTTAAGCCCTGAGGGGAATCTGAATATATTTTTACAACCACCACAGGTTAAATTCCCAAAGGAAATGATTTTCTAATTAGATAACAGGTATATTGTTTTGATAGTATAATGATAATTTACAATCAAAAGAAGCATATAAAAATATAATAGAGCCCGTTTATCTGTACTGTGAATATCAGCACTTGAAAAGGGACAGAAAAGATCTCTCCAGATATCTCCCCAGGATCCTGTCCTCTATCGGAACCTTCAGGGCACCTGGGCAGCGGGTTTAGTCTTAGCTATGGCAGATTTTGATGCATTTCTGAGTTTTGAAGGATTCTGGTACTGCAAACTCCTCAGCGAGCTGTCCTACGTGGCTGGATTCCGGAAGCAGTCATCTGAGTATGAATCCATCTGTTGATTCATGAACGCATCTATCTTTAGCGTCGACTGTCTAATGGGTGGCAGTGCTTGGCATCTTCAATGCTTTCAATTCTGATGTCGTCATCAACCTCTAATACCACATTGGTATACCCTTGTGAACTGGGGGCATAAGTCTTGATGAAGCAGCTCTTAGAATACTGTTGGAAGTTTTTTACAGAGCTGTTTATTTAGCAAGTGAAGACAATCAGAGAAAAAATTCTCAAGTGTTTAGTCATTCAAAGGCATCATATGGATGCTGGTTCAAGATCTGCTGCTCCACTTTCGATCCAGTTCCCTGCAGGTGCACTTGGGAAAGCAGCAGAGGATGAGCCAGGTCCTTGGGCCCCTGTACCCATGTGGGAGACCCAGAGGAAGCTCCGGGCTTCAGCCTGGCTTACATCAAGCCGTTGTGGCCATTTGGGGAGTGAACCAGTAATGGAAGATCTCTCTGTGTCACTCTCTAACTACATTTCAAATAACTTAAAAACGTTTTATTTATTTTCACTTGTAAAGTTCAAGTCTTTGACTTACATTAAGATCCTAATCTGGACTAAAGAAAAATGTTTAATGTCTGAAAATCTACGAACTGCTTTCAACCACGTTTTCTTATTTAATCCTCCAAACAGCAGGTCAATGTGATGACTTGTTTTGAGAAACCTGAAGCTCAGAGACGCAGGAGATGCTGACCCACATCGCACAGCCAGCCCAGCAGCAGAACCGCAGCGATGGGCGGGGCAGCTGCCACCAGGCCCCACTATGAGAACACTCGTCGGCTTTTCTAAGCAGCTTTCATGTCATGCACTTCCTAAGGGAAAGGTTTCTTGCAGCCCCAATTCTGGAAACACTCAAGGAATGAGTCTGAAAATAGCTACAAAAATATATCTAACGATTTCTAAAGAAGCTTTTTTTTTCTATATGAGACGACATCTTGAGCAGGAAAAACTAAGACAAAATAAACATTTTAATATTGACCTATACATGTTTTACCAATATATCTATCATAAATGTATTATGATAGATGGAAGGATACTTTCAAAGGTCTATGGGGAAAAACGGAATTAAAAGACAAGTTTATTTTGGTGGGAATTTTTTTTTAATTCATACAGTCTTTTCAATAATATCCATTTTCATGCTTTTTAAAGATCCTTGTCTTCCTGGATTTCAAAGGTCTTGGCACCAGAATAAACTTATCTTTTAGATCCATCTTCCATGAACATTCTGAGGTACATTTGTATATTCTAAACATCATTACTGCACCAGGTAAGTAACTAAAGATAAAAATTAGTTTGGGCCCAGCACGATGGTTCAGCGCCGGGATCCCATATGGGTGCCGATTCCCGCTGCTCCACTTCCCATCCATCTCCCTGCTTGTGGCCTGGGAAAGCAGTCGAGGATGGCCCAAAGCCTTGGGACCCTGCACCTACGTGGAAGACCTGGAAGAAGTTCCTGGCTCCTGGCTTCAGATCAGCATAGCATCGGCCGTTGCACTCACTTGGGGAGTGAATCATCGGACAGAAGATCTTCCTCTGTCTCTCCTCCTCTCTGAATATCTGACTTTCCAATAAATAAATAAATCTTTAAAACAAAAAAAAAATGAAGCCTTTCCAAAACACTCGGCACTTATTCCCATGCCACCCAGACAGTGAAGGACTGCCAGTGCAGTGCAGTGCACCACTGCCATCCTCCCACAGAGGGCCAGTGTGAATCCTGGCTGTGCTCCCGGGCTTCCATGCCAGCTCCCTGCTAATAGCCTGGGAAAAGCAGTGGACAACAACTGAAGCAGCTGGCACCTGCCACCCATGTGGGAGGGCCAGAAGAAATTACTGGCTCCTGGCTTCAGACTGGCTCCGCCTCAGCCATTGTAGATTCTTCCTCTCTCTTCCCCTCTCTGTCACCCTTTCAAAGAAAGCAAGATATTGGAAGAACCCTGACCACAACACTGGTTTTCACCCTACAGAGACACTTTGGAGGGATTTATTACACCAGGGTCTACCACTTCTGAGGGATGAGACTGGCTGTGCAGCCCACATGTGGCCTTGGGCCTCTGGCTCACCTTGCACCTCCCCAGGGCTTTGCAACCACCTTGTTCCCAGGGGTTGCTCAGCAGCTCCTCAGAAGGTGGCCCATTCCGACACTTTAACTCGCCTGGAGCTCCAGGCATACAACAGCATTTGGGTGGGGAGCAGAAGGGTGGTTAGGAAATGTTACTTTATGATTTGTTAGAAAAAAAACTAGCATTGCTTTTACTTGTGCAATCCAAAACAACTTCCAAGGCTCAAAGCAAACAACTTACATTTCTCTCCTAAATTCTTCCATTTTTTGGTTCTCTACAGTCAGAAGTTCTTTTGACTTGTTGAGCTCTTCCATATTTTTCAGGTTGTTTTCTTTAAGTGTGTCCAACTTAAAAGACCAAGAGAAAAAAACTTAATGAAATCATTTCATTTTCCAGTGCCATGGCTGGGTAAATAATTCACAAAAATGTGTATTAAAAAGGTCAATGAAACCAGTCACTTGTGGGAAAACAAAGTTATCAGGATGAAGAAATTACAAAAGAAAGGCTATAATGAACTGTAACCCTCATGCTCACAGCTGTGTCACTTCCCGTGGACCTGGTGGAAGCATCAAACTAAACTGCTGTAAAAATGAAAACTAAGGCTCTTTTCTATCTTATGCACAATGTTCATTATTTATCACGGAAACTGTTCTCCAAGCATGAATCATCATAAAAACAAAGAATGAGCAAGTAATGACATCAGCAAAGCTCATTTGCAACAAAACAAAATTCCCTTTCCATCCTCAAAGATTAGTAATTTAGCAGAGAACATCAGTAAAGATCTGCATAAGTTTTATTTCAAAAGATGTTGACTTCAACCAGAGAATTTGTTGATTTGGAAAAGACTGAGTTATTTGAAGTATGAAGAGGGAAAAAAAAAAGCCCTGTATGTAAAGAGGTTAGAGGGTAGCCACACAGAATCCAATTACCTGCCCTGGGGTGAAAGCCAGGCACAGTGCATGAGTCTGCGGGGTTGTCCCTGGGACCCGGAGGGGCAGAGTTCCCACCGAGGTTGGAACCATGGGTGGGCGGACAGGAGTGGAGCGTAGGGGTGGGGAGCAGGGAGCCCTGGGCCAGTGCTCGCCTCTCTGCACCTCATGTACTTGTCTCCTGCAGCCAGAAAAGGGAGCACTGTCCTTCCTGTTGCTGGTTATCTGATCCTGCAAATTGTCCTGCTACCTCTGATGCTACCACTTTCTTTTTAATGGCTTTAACACGTCAGATGCACAGAACTAGTAAGCAGTCATAATAGGCTCAAGAAATGGCTAATTCTGTCTTGTCCTCTAGTTACAAAAAGATTTAGGGTCAGTGCCTGGCATGGTAGCACTGCCATGGCTACAGTGGCTGTAGTCCTTACCGAGCATGCACCAGCATCCCACAGGGGTGATGGTTCACATCCAGACTGCTCCACTCCCCTTCCAGCTCCCTGCTTGAGGCCTGGGAAAGCAGTAGAGGATGGCCCAAAGCCTTGGGATCCTGCACCCGTGTGGGAAACCCTGAAGAGTCTCCAGGCTCCTGGCATCAGATTAGGCAGCTTGGGCCATTGTGACCACCTTGGGAGTGAGTCATTGGATGGAAGAGCTTCCTGTCTCTCCTCTCTCTGCATATCTGACTTTCCAATAAAAATAAATAAATCTTTAAGAAACAACAAACAAGCAAACAAATACAGTTTCAAGGAGTAAGTTACTGTAAGACACAATTTTCCCTGAGTCTGTTCCAAAGGTTAGACATTTCTACACTCTTTGTTTGCTTTAGCTCCAATTTAGGTTAGGAACTGTGATTTTTTTAATACTTTCATGTTTTTAGGCATCTCTTGAACTTATCAGCTCCCATGAAATACTCTTTTCAAGATGTTATTTATATACCCAATAGTTACTCAAATACTCATGTCTTTCCTCTACATTTTGTTGACTGGCCTTCCGCACAAGGAGGCCTCCTTTTCAAGTGACTATTCAATTCGGCCATTCCTTCCCTTGTTTCAGGTCCTTGATGCCTGCCCTGCTTCTCACATTATGGTCTCACGGAACTGCACATGGCCATCTTGGCTACAGCTGTCCAAGGAGAGAGAGCGCTGGTGGGGCAAGACTGGGGTGCCCACACCCCAAATCCACTACCACTTCTAGCTCTGTGCTGCTGTGCACCTGGGAGGCAGCCAGCAGGTGACAGCAAGGACTGGGTCACCGTCACCCACTTGGGAAACATGGATTGAATTTTGGGCTCCTGGCTTCAGACTGGCCCAGCCCCAACTGTGGCAGGCATTTAGGCAGTGAATCAGCAGATGGAAGCTCTCTTTCTACCTCTCAACTAAAATAAAAATTTAAAAATACAGTATGACTTGGGAGGTGGGAACAACCAGGAGAAATCTACTTGTGGATGGAGTCATAACATCTTGATGCCGTAAATCTGTCTCCACTTCAAAAGAAAAAACAAAAGGGAACCGGCACTGAATTAGGCCAAGAAAACACGTGCAGCAGGCACAGGGCTAGCAAAGCCCTGGATCAGAGCAGGCAGACACGTGGTGGGGAGAAATGCGTGTGCACGACATGGAAGCCACCAGAGCTGGCAGCTGCCAGGAGGGCCCCCTTCTCTGTTGCTGTCAATGAAAGACCACCTCCGAGGGCCACGCTGGAGGACTCTCCCTCCGAGTGCAAAGGCTGCTCCTACCAAATCATTGATGAAGTAACAGGTTTTATTCAATATTATCACAGCTCTGGTGTACATTCAACTCTTACTAACAGATCAAACCTGTGGAAGGCCATGCTTCAATAATAATAATAATAATAATAATAATAATAATAATAATAACTCCTGAGTTAGTGATCAAGCATTCCATGGAGCTGATAAGCGGTTCTTTGTAAGAAAAGCCATTGAAATCTGATTACTTCATTCTGCAGTTTTGCATTTGTCTGCTTGGTGTCCTCCAGCGAGGCCAGTGTTTCCGTCTTCTCTTTGGTCATCTGTTCCATTATCTGTAGGGTGTCTTCTGTTGCCTGCGTCGCCTAAACATGAGAGAACACCGTGAGAGAGGCCGACCCCAACACACCCTGCTGGGCAGGGCTCAGCCCATGCCCGTCGGGCACCCTCCAGAATCTGTGTGGGTGAGGGAGGCACACGGAAGGACCACACACTCACCGGCCCGCTGAGGGCTTTCCTCTCCAGCAGGACACGGTCAGGCCCTTGCCATGCCAGCTTCCCACGAGCCATTGCAGCTGCTGTGCACCTATTTTCTAGGCCCTTCTAAGCCTGCGTCTTCCAGTCAAAGTCCCCCCTGCACTGACCATTCCTGCTTCCAGGGCCCAGAGACCCCATGAGGGGCTAAGGAGGAAATCCCATACTTGCCTATTCTCTCTTTCTTCTATTTATTCTGAGTTTAAAATGCTAGTCCTACTGCTTCAAAATTGGAACTTCTGGAACTATTTGGAATTTAGGCTGAGATTTAAAAAAAAAAGGAATAAAAACTGGGCAGTTATAACATACGGCTTGACTGCTTCAAGAGAAGTTGTGGAAAATGAAATGTAAACACAATTGTGAATAAAAATGATACATGCATCTGGAGACAAAATTTTAGGTGCTAAATAAAAAATAATCTAAAAAGTCAACTTCCATGTGGTCTAATGCTAATGGGAGCAGTTCTCAACCACACCTTCCCTAATTCCAGCCACGGGGGTGTCAGGGGAGCCACAGTACAACAGTGAAGAAGCCAAACAGAAAACACTGCAAGACTAAGCTACGTACCCGCTTCACTGCGGTCTCAAAGTCTTAAAAGCCACAGCAAACTTGTCCCAAAATGGTCCTCCTTAAATTAAAAACTAAATCCTTTTTTTATTCATAATTGGCAATTTTTTTTTTCAAAATGGGGAGGAGATTTCAGCAGCTAGATGCTTCGTAGAGAACCGCCTGTTCAGAGTGCCATGAGCAGCGGGAAGCTCACGAGCTGCTGACTTAAAGGGGTGGACTTTCCCGAGCGGAAGGGAAGACAAGCGCTCTGAAGCGGCAGTTAGTGGTTCCGGGGTTAGTGAGGAGTCGGGCGCTCGCAACTGAACCTCTCCCTTTACCGTGAACGGCTGCAGCATCTGGAGCTCTCTAAGCTTAAGGCTCAGCTTGCTCTTGTCCTTCCTCAAGGTGCGGTTCTCTGCCTGCGCCTCGAGGAGCTTGGCTGAGATGTGGCTGTTGGTCTTGGCCAGCTGGCTGAGCTCCTTCTGAAGAACGAAGTAGCTGTCTTCTAGCGTCTCCTTCTCCTTGAGGAGCTCGGCCTGCCTCAGCATCAGCTCCCTCTGCTCGGCCAGCAGGCTCTGGTTGTCTTGAGCCACCTGGGCTCTCTCTGCCACGGTCACCTCATGGTTCAGCCGCAGATCTTCCAGGATCTTGGTGAGGCAGCTGTGCAGTTCCTGGAGCTCCGACTTGGACTTGGACAAGGTGGTGAAGTCGCTTTTCAGCGTCTCTATGTTTGCGGCGAGCTGAGAGGTCTCGGCGCTCAGGAGCTCCTTCTCCTTGATGATCTCAGCCACCTTCTGCTCGGCCTGGGCCTTGTCTTGCAGCAGCACAAGCTTCTCAGCCTGCAGCTCCTCAGTGCACGCCCTCAGCCCTGCCGCCTCCTGCTCCAGCAGCACCAGGCGCCCGTGCAGTTTGTTGCTTTCGTACAGAGCCGTCTCGCTCTCCTTGGCCCTGGCCTCCTGCTCCAGCAGCAAGGACTGCTGCAGCGTGTGGATCTCCTCGGTGAGCTTCTGACACTCGTCCTGCAGGTTCAGGCCGTCCCGCAGCAGCATGCTCTTCTCGCAGCAGCACGTCTTCAGCTCCGCGTCCAGACGCTCCCTGGCCTGCAGCATGTCGCCGCGCTCCTTCTCCAGGCTCCTGGCGGCCTCCTGAGCCTCCTGCAGCAACAGGGAGAGGTCGCGCTTGCTCGACGCCAGCTCCTGGTTCTCCCTCTTCCTTTCAAGAAGCTCCTTCTTCAGCGCATCTATGCTACCCAGCAGCTTCATCTTCTCGTGCACCGCGAGCCTTCTATTGGCCGATTCCTGGTCGTATTTCCTCTTCAGGTCTCCGATGGCTTTGATGGAACTCTCTCTCTCTGCTAGTAGATCACCATTTTGCTTCTCCAGGGCCGATTTGTCCTTCAAGAGGCCTTCCTGCTGTTTCTTCAGCTTGGTCAACTTCTGGCACGCCAGCTCCTTCTCGGACACCAGGCTGGTGATCTTCTCGCTCAGGCTCAGCTCGGTGTGGGCGGCCTCTTCCGAGCGTCTGCTGAGCTGCTCGCTCATGACCTTGCTCTCGCTCAGGAGCTCCTCCTTCTCGGCCAGCAGCCGTCTCTCAGAGGCCGCCAGGGACTCCTTCTCGTGCAAGAGCTGGATGCACTCGGAGTCCGTGATGGCCCGGCTGGTCTTGATCTCCTCCAGGAGCTTGGTGAGGCTGGCGTTGCTGGCCTGCAGCTGCCGGGTCTCCAGCTCGGCCTTCCTCAGGGCTTTGCCGGCACAGTCTAGCTGGGCATGCAGCTCGGCAGCTTCAGCACTGAGCAGCTCCTTGACCTGGAGGGCGGCCTCCAGGCTGGCGCTGAGCTTCTCCCGGCCTTGAAGCAGCGCATCCTTCTCCACCTGCAGGTCCCTGTTGCTCTGCAGCAGGCTGTCCCGCTCCACCTGCAAGGTGAGGCACATGCTGTCGAGGCCTGACTGCTTCTCCAGGACTGACCTCTTCTCATTCGTGAGGTCTTCAATCTCCTGAACCAGGGCCTTCTGGTCCCTGGCCAGCTCCTCGTAGGAGCTCTGCAGTTTCTGAATCACGTCGTCCTTGTCTTTCGCCAAGGCCAGGTTCTCGGCCATCAGCTTTCGGATCTGCCCCTCCAGGCGGTCTGTCCCTTCCTGACCCCTCTTGGACTCGGCCAGCAGAGTGTCGTGGCTGAGCTGGAGCTCTTGCATGAGCACCTCAAGGCTCGCCTTGGCGGCCTGCAGAGTGTCATTCTCCACGCTCATCTTCAACACTTCTTCCTGGGCGATACTGATTTCTTTGAGCAATTTCTCTCGTTCCACAGCCAAAGCCTCTTTATCAAGACATTCCTGCTGGTAAGCCTTCTCGGCATCTTGCTTTTCTTCCAAGGCTTTTTCCTTCTTGGAGCTGAGAGCTTCGTTTGCTGACCACAGCTTCTGCTGATCTTCCTGTAGCAAAGCTATTTTGGCCTCCATTTCTACGAGCTTTGATAAAAGCGAGCCTTTTTCTAACTTTAAAGCATTGCCCTCCTGAGCAAGAAGCTGCTTCTCTGACTTCAGGCCCCTCAGCTCCTCTGACATTAGTTCAATTTCTTTTTTGGCTGATGTTAACAAATAAGTTAGCGACTACAGAGACAAAAGGTGGAAAGAATGGAAACGGAAAAATGAAATCAAGCAGACAAACACAAGCCCAGCCTAAATTGTAACACTTAGCATTTTCTACAGTAAACGTCGAAGAGCTGTCTGACAAACTAGATCTGAAGCAAGCAGCACAGTAGCAACTTAGCACTATAATTTGTGAGATTACTTTTTTAAAAAAATTATTACTTATTCTAAAGGCAGAGCTCCAGAGCTCCAGAGAGAGAGAGAAACATATGTTCCATCACTGGTTCATTCCCCAAAGGGTTTGCAATAGCCAGGACAGGGTGGTCTAGAAAACAGAAGCCCCTTCCAGATCTCCCAGATGGGTGCAAGAGCCCAGGGGTGGGAGGCATCTCCTGTTGCTTGCGAAAGCGTAATAGGGAATCTGGATCAGAACTGGCACTTATGGAAAATGCCAGCACTGCAGCTGGAAGCTTTACTTACTGTGCCACAGCACCAGCCCCAACATTACCTCTGATAGCTACTGAAAGTATGATTCTGATGTTAGGGTGTAAGACTCTCTGGCCACATCAATCACCCAGTCATTTAATTCACTGGTAGATTTCCAGAAAAAGTTTTAAAAGTATAATTCAAAAATCTGCAAGAGGACCCAGAGCAATTGCCTAGCAGCTCAGGTCCTCGCCTTGTACATACCAGGATCCCATATGGGTGCCAGTTCTAATCCCAGTGGCCCCGCTTCCCATCCAGCTCTCTGCTTGGGAACCTGGGAAGGCAGTAAAGGATGGCCCAAAGCCTTGGGACCGTGCACCCATGTTGGAGATCCACAAGAAGCTCCTGGCTCCTGGCTTCAGATCAGATCAGCTTTAGACATCGCAACCACTTGGGGAATGAACCAGTAGATGGAAGATCTTTCTCTCTGTTGCTCCTTCTCTGAATATATGATTTTCCAATAAAAATAAATAAATCTTATAGTAATAGTAATAGTAATATAATAGTAATAGTAATAATAATAATAATAATACGGGCCAGCATTTTGGCGCAGTGGCTTATGCTGTTGCCTGGAATGTCGGTGGTCCCCTGAGAACCCAGTCTGAGTCCCTCCTATCCCACTTGTGATCCAGCTCCCTGCAAATAGCCTGGGAAAAGCAACACAGGATGACCCAAGTGTCTGGACCCGTCACCCACAGGGGAGACCTGGATGGAGCTCCTGGCTCAGGTCTGGCCCAGTGCTGGCCACTGCAGCCATATGGAGTAAACCCGAGGATGGAAGATCCCTCTCTGCAACTCCAACTTTCAAAATAAGTAAGTAGATCTTAAAAAAAAAAATACCAAATACACACCAATTTCTAGGCTTTGTGGACTCAAGTGAATAATTATTTTAAACTAAGTAAGAATTTACAGACCTTGGTGCCTACACAAGGACTAGCGTGAGCTTTCTTCAATGATGTGAATGCCCCTCTGTGCTGCCCACTGAACCCCGAACATGTGAGAAGTGGTGAGTGCAGAATTTTAGCTTCATTCAAACTTTAGACTGAAATGGCCTCACGTGGCCAGCAACTACTGTACTGGACAGTACAGCTCTAGAACGTGGGCTCCTGAACTCAGAAGCTGGAGGTTCTGAGGGTCCCATGGGTCTCCTGAGACTGGGCATCAGCTCTGAGGGACACACAGGACAGTGCTGCTGGGCAAACAGCCCGAGGGTGCAGCAGACTCTTCAAAGAGCCAACAACACCTCAGACAGATCTGGACTGGCAGCAGACCTGATCTTCCGGCCAAATGACCACAGGACCATAGGTAAATGGAGACCTTCCACCAACTCTACAATGCTACTGTCTGGTCAGACTGCGACATCTTAAGGGAAATGCTACAGAACTGGCGCTTATTGGATATGGGGAAACACAGGGAGAAAAGATTGGGGAATTCTACCCAGTGCCTCACGGAGACAGGGCGCCCGGGCTGCCAGCAAGTACACATGGGAGACATGGCCTCGTCCATGGTCCAAAGTCCATTTGGTATTTTAACAGGGTTAAAGTTCTGTAACAACTGTTTCCAATTACACCCATGTAGAAGCACTTCTCTCAGAAACAAAGAAAAAGCCACTTAAAAAAATAAATGAATGAAACAGAAGAAAGACTGATCATTCAGTTACTGGAATCGAAAACTACACTGGGAAAATACAACCCAGCCCAACACAGACCAGGATCTCAGCTCTTTCCTGAGGCCCCCACCTCGAATAGCCCACGGATTTTTCTTCATTAAACTTTGCTACCTTATCACTAAAAATGAATGAACCAACCACCCAACAAGCACTATGCTGAGGCACAGATATGCTCCAACACAAGTAGATGAAGGGCTACTCCACTGAGTGACACGCTCTCTCAGCGCCCAGCGTCTAGCTGCCTTGTCCATCAGCTCACAGCACCTCCTGGGGACACTGAAAAGCCTGCTCTGGAAGCCTAGTGGCTGAAGTTCTCGTCTTGCATGTCACCAGTTCATGTCCCTGCTGTTCCACTGCCCATCTAGCTCCCTGCTAGTGGCCTGGAAAAGCAATCGTGGATGGTCCAAAACCTTGGGATCCTGTGCCCACATGGGAGACCCAGAAGAAGCTCCTGGATTCGGATCAGTCAGCTTTAGCTGTTGTAGCCACTTGGGTAGTAAATCAACAGACGAAAGATCTTTCTTTCTCTCCCCTTCTCTCTGTATATCTGCCTTTTCAATAAAAATAAATTTTATAAAAAAAAAAAAAAGAGAGAGGCCCGGCAATGTGGCCTAGCGACTAAAATCCTTGCCTTGAATGCCCCGGGATCCCCTATGGACACCGGTTCTAATTCCGGTGGCCCCACTTCCCATCCAGCTCCCTGCTTGTGGCCTGGGAAAGCAGTCGACTATGGCCCAAAGCCTTAGGACCCCACACCCGTGTGGGATACCTGGAAGTAGTTCCTGGATCCTGGCTTCGGATCGGCATAGCATCGGCCATTGCGCTCACTTGGGGAGTGAATCATCGGACGGAAGATCTTCCTCTCTGTCTCTCCTCCTCTCTGTATATCTGACTTTCCAAAACATAAAATAAATCTTTAAAAAAAAAAAAAAAAAAAAAGAGAGAGAGAGAAAGAAGAGAAAAAAGACCCTGACCCACAGAGCTCTGTCTTGGTTGCCCTGAGAGACTTCTGCAGCCAAGCTCTGCCCAGTCCTGGCTCCCTGGCTACAGCTGTGGCCTCTGCCTCCCACTGCTCTGCAGGCCTCTCCCCACTCCAGTTTCAGGTGGCATTAAGCTCGGCCAAGAGCAAGCCATGTGCTTTCCCACACCAGAGCCCACCACAAGCAGGTAGAGGATGCTAAGGCCACCTGAAAAGCTGTGACAGCTGTGTAGCAAACAGCATGGGGACAGGTGGTGATGGCTACACAGGACCCCCCCTTCGGGAAAACACCTGTAGCTGTCACCATTCCTGAAAAGCAGTAGCAAAGGGTAGAGGATGTGGAAGTCACAAGAAATGTGATCGCCACCCTGCCAGGAACCGCGGCCTGAGTCAGCGAGGCCAGAGGTCTGTGGCCCTAGAGCCCCCTACGGCCTCAGCACAGGGCGTGGCGAACTACCGGGCAGCGACCACTCCCTCCCGGGACGCACTTTGGCCTTGTCAGCTTGTGTCCTCAGCTCCTCCATCTCCTGCTGCAAGTCTCTGTTCTCCTGCTGGGCGGCCTTGAGCTTCTCCTCAGCGTCCAGCAGCATCTTCTGCAGGTTCTGCAGCGTTTCCTCATGCTGCGCTTTCATCTCCGAGCTGGCTTTCTCGTACCTGGCCTTCAGGTCCTGACACTGGTTGTGGCTTGTTTCCACCTGCTTTTCCTGCAGGAATCACAAGAGAAGAGGTGAGTTGCCCAGTCAGATTTAGACCGCCCCTGCCTTCCATGCCAGCAGGAAGTCCCACCTCTTCTCCCCTTACCAGGTCCAGCACTTTCTGCTGCATTTCTCTTTTCTCTTCTTCATGCTTTCCGGCTGCTTCTTGCTGGCTCTGCTCGGCCTTGAGAGCTGCTTCTCCAATGCTTTTCTGCAGAAAACTCGCATTTTCATTGGCTTTTGTCAGTTTCAGCTGTAATTCTTCTACACATCTACAGTAAGTTTTAATACAAACTGTGACTTCTCAGAAAAAAAATTAGAATTCTACTGAAAACATATTACTAATAATAATTATATTAATGATGACAAAAATCCACAAATACTTAATACTACCCAAAACAGGCTAACTAAACAACAGAGGTAAGCATTTAGCCTTGTACTTCAGACACTGGTTACACCGCCTGCCACCCACACAGGCGTTCACAGGGCTCAGTACTGGCTCTGGCTCGGGACTCGGGCTTCACACAGATGGCAGAGCTGGGGCTGAGGCGAGGTGACAGTAGGGATGGCTGCTGCCACTCCTGTGGGAGACCTGGATGGAGTTTCTGCATCCAGCCCGTGGCCCAGCCCAACCTCGGCCAGGTGCCAGGAACTCCACATGGCTCGCAGTAAGCCAAGTGGCTGGGCCATCTTCCTCTGCCTGCCCCAGTGCCATTCGCAGGCTGCTGGATTGGAAGCCAAGCTTCAAACCAGCATTTTAATATGGGATGCCAGCAGCTGCTGAACTCACTGTACCACAAGGCCGGCCGCATGCAGACACTCTGACATAGCCACACGCACCTCTCCTTCAGTCGCAGCTCATCGTTCATTCTGCTCAGCTGGGAGGAGTTGTCTCCTGACATCTTCATTATCTCTGCAATGTCTTTTTCCAGTTTTTCTTTCGCCTTGACCAACTGTTCTTCTCTTTCATCTCTCTCTCTGAACTTGGCCTCCATATCTGAGTGCAAATGGAAACAGGAGTAAACTGAGCACAACATCCTTGCTTGAGGAACATGTGCAAAAATATCACCTTCTAACAAAGACAACGGACAGTAAGACAGACCGCAAAAGGGAGAGAGGTGAGGGAAAGGAGGTGGGAGGCTCAGCACGGAGATGCTGACAGTTCAGCACAGACCTGAAGGACGTGAGGAAAGAGTGCCAAGGCTCTGGGACAGGAAGATGCTGGGAACGCACGCGTAGCAGCAAGGAGGCCCATACAGCTCGAGAGTAACAAGTGCAGGGAAGGAACACTGAGACGAGACCCCGGAGCTGGCGGGGCCTGACCACAGCAGCTCAAGTCCGGCAGGAGGAGGTGGGGCTGCTAGAGGGGCACGGGCAGAGAGGGGCAGGGCAAGAGCATAAGCAGGGACCAACGGTTGGGCTGGGATCAAGGACAGCAGTGGGAATGGCGAGACCACAAAACGAAGAGAACGTGCAGAAGCTTATAGGTCTCAGACAGGTGTCGCTCAACATGTGGCCACCCAGAGCGGAGGACACCGGTGTCAGTGTGATGAGCTGCGAGGATTTCAGCGCCCGAGAAGTCTACCACAGAGCCAGTGCTTAGCAACCAAAGACAACACCTTACCTGCTAAGTTTTCTCTCAGCTTCTCCACTTCTGAAGACAGTAGGTTAAACTCTTCTTCCTTTTGGTGTAACTTATTAATAGTTTCTATTTAGGATAAAATTAGAGAATTTTAATATATTTCATCTGTTCTTGGTTGCCTTATAATCCAACTAAATCATATAAGAGCTAAGAACACAGAAATACAAAGTCTCACTGTCCATGACCCTAAGATCCAGCACACAGCCCTCTCCTGTCACAGTGCAGCTGGACATCGGGGCTTCTGGGCACCCCTTCATATTCAGTTCTCCTCACTGAAGCAAGCCCAGTGAGATTCTTAATGATGGATGTTTAAGCAACCAGCACTGTGACACAGAGAATTAAGCTACTGCTTATGACACTGGCATCCTATATCAGAGGGCTGGTCCAGCTCCCTGCAAACGCGCCGGAAGAGGCAGCAGACGACAGCCCGCGTGCCAGGGCCCTGACACCAACACGGCAGTCGGGACAGATGACAGCCCGTGTGCTGGGGCCCTGACACTGACACGGCAGTTGGGACTGAAGTATCTGGCTCCCGTTTTCAGCCTGGGCCAGATACGCCTATTGTGGTTATTTGGGAAATGAACCAGCAGAAGGAAGCTTGCTTGCTCACTCTCTTCCAGAAAAACAAGAAATTATATAAACAAAACAATAATTTCCCTAAGAACACTCACATTTAAAAAAAAAAAACTACTTTTTATTGGAAAGTCAGATTATACGGAAAGAACAGAAAGATCTTCCATCTGCTGGTTCACTCCCCAAGTGGCAGCAACTGCCAGAGCTGAGCTGATCCAAAGCCAGGAGCCAGGAGCTTCTTGTGGGTCTCCAACATGGGTGCAGGGTCCCAAGGCTTTGGGCTGTCCTCAACTGCTTTCCCAGACCACAGGCAGGGAGCTGGATGGGAAGTGAAACAACCAGGACATGAACTGGTGCCCACATAAAATCCTGGGAGTAAAAGACAAGGGCTTTACCCACTAGGCTACCGTACTGGGCCCAGAATGCTTATGTTTTAATATAGAAGGAAGGGACAAACTGGGTTTGAGGCTTCAGGATGGCAATGCCTGTGCCCTGCAGGCACTTGCAGGGCTTTGGAATAAGACTGCCGGCAGCGCCTACTCTGTGCATTCAAGGCCAACTCCAGTGAGAGCAGGATGCACCCCAAGTGACACATCCACCCTCGAGAAAGACGCACCTTGCATACTTCTCTGAACAGAGACCGCCTCCTCGGAAGCATCAGCAAACTTTTCTTTCTAAAAAAAAAAAAAAATCGGTCCATCAGAATAGAAAGACTTCTAATAATGAAAGCTTCCATCAGGCACAACTATGATACCATTTACTTCTGCTACTAGTTTCACTTTATTAAAATAACACAAACCTGAAGGCAATAATTCTTTTTCTCCTTTTTTGGGGGGTGGGAGGAAGGATCATGATTTATTTTATTTTTATGTGAAAGGTAGAGTTCAAAGTGAGAGGGAAGACAGAGAGAGATCCATTGACTCACTCCCCAATAGACACAATGGCTAGAGCTGAGCTAATTTGAAGCCAGGAGCTTCTTCCGGGTCTCCCACACGGGTACAGGGTCCCAGGGTTTTAGACCGGCTTCTGCTGCTTTCTCGGGCCACAAGCAGGGAGCTGGATGGGAAGTGGAGCAGCCGGGACATGAATGGCGCCCATATGGAACATCAGTGGTGCAGGCAACAACTCTTAGACATGCACATTACAGTGAAGCCATGTGTGTGTGTGTGTGTGTGCGTGCACGTGTGCATACGTATCGGCAGCTTAACCCACTGTGCTAACATACAAGAGCAGCACCGAGGAACACTCATTAAGAATCCTCCTGGTGTGGTCAGCTCTGCCTTCATCTCAGGATGTGCAGAGGATTGTCCTTCCTCAAGCTTGGCCTTCTTGGGAGAGAACACTCTGAACAAAGGTGATCTGCACACCTGAGAATCGGCAGTGCACACGGGCTCGCGTGGGCTCGCGTGGGCTCGCACGGGCCTAGATCCCGTCCTCTCACGGAAGCAAGCCTGGGGCTCTGCTTACTCCTCCAGGCACCTTCCTTCCTTTCTCTCCCTCCATGTATGTGAAAGATGACATGAACTGAAAAGCAAATTCATACAGGAAACTAAATCACAAAACTGACTCTCAGGTCAACGCCTTCTCTCAAAATGCAGCAAAAGCATGTTGACACTGATGGAAGTGTTCCCTAGCACACCTGTCTACTGAGTATTTAAGAGAACATTTACACTGACAGAGGTGTTTTCCACGTACACGTGTCAACTGAGTATTTAAAAAATATATCTTATAACTACTGAACTATCAAAACCACTTGAGCAAGAACCTCGGAGCATAACCTACATCTGGGACCTGGGGAGGGTGGGAAATTGGGTGGGCCTTCTCCCTCAATTCCCCCCTTTAAACATGAAGGAAAGAATATGGAAATAGCAGTCTTACCCACTTTACTAAGGACCTTGAACCTTTTTACCCTAATTAACTACGTAAAGATTGTCAAAAATAAAAATTTTTTTTAATTAAAAACAAATTGTATCTTAAGGGGCCAACACCGTGGAATGGTGGGTTTGGCTGCCACTTGCAACATCAGCATCCTGTATGGACATTGGTTTGAGTCTTGGCTGCTCCACTTCCAATCCAGCTCCCTGCTAACGCGTGGAGAAAGCAGTGAGGGACTGCCCACATGGCAGACCTGGAGGAGGCTCGCGGCTCTGTCTGGCCCAGTTCAGTCATCCTGGCCACCTGAGGGCTGAACTGCTGAATGAGATCGACCTCTCTCCTTCACTAACAAGCAAGCAATCACGGCCTTGTGACAAAGGAACCCAATTTCAGGCTCGGCTTTAACTTGTCTTCACTTCTATAGTCACGTGCAGAGAGCAGGTTCACACCAGCAAGGACAAGTTGGTTCTGCCACATTCATACATTCACTTCGCGCAGCTGTGAGCTGCCTGCTGCGGTCTACAGGGACCGGGAGCACGCAGGGTGCTGGGAGGAGACCCAGCTCCTCCACCGCCCGACGCCTGGGGTCTGCAGGACTGATCATGAGAAAGATCAGGGGTTTGGTGCAACAGGCAAAGCAGGAAGGAAGAAAACTGAGGAACGATAAGGTAAAATAGGTCTAAGCTTGAAACTAAGGGGGAAAAAAGAACATAAACAAAAGGAAAAGTAATTTTATGAGATGCCATAAACTGCGTCATAAGAAAGAATTCCTGCAATTGTTTCAACTAGTGGGCTTGGGGAGGCAGCAGCTGCCCCGCAACAGAGGGCGCCGGTGGCCCAGGCCGCTCGTTGCCAGGGACCTGTGCAGGATGTGCTGAGCAACTGTCGGAGCATCCAAAGCAGCAGCTACCAAGGCAAGCGTACAGGTCGCAAAAAAAGAGGGAAAAGACAATACCTACCTTTGTGACTAGCTGGGGTTGGGGCCAGACCCCCCCCAGGTCATTACTTGCCCACAGCTAACAGTCCACCAGAACACGGCCTCAGGGGGCACAGGAGCCGCTCAGCAGCTCTGGCTTACTTCAGGGGCAACAGCTTTCTCTCTCAAACCAAAAGCAGCGCGCACCTTGAGCTTTGGCTTTCCGGCAGGGTACTTACCAAGACCTGGAGTTCTGCTTCCAAGGCCTCTTTCACGTGACTGACTTCACTCAAGTTCTCCTCGAGTTTAGTAAGTTTTAACTCCTTCCCCTGGAGCTCTTTGGTAACGCTACTAGCCTAACACACAGAATCACATGGTACAGAAGCCAATGAACAGAAGGAAACAAAAAATGGATGAGAATAAAACAAAACAAAATAAATGTATGAGAAACAAACGCATCAAAACAAAGCTGAACGGAATAAAACGTTGGGTTTTCTTAAATCCAAAGAAGCCCATGACTTATCAATCACATCTAGGTAGGAATGCCTAATGGCTTCTTCCGAATTGCCTGACTCCTGACTCTTCCCTAAGCCCGCTCTTGGAATGCCAGCACGAGGACAGCACGACTGCTCTCTAATATTTAAAATAAAAATTTAAAACCACTTCACAATAATCATTAAAAACTGGGCTTTTGGGCCGGGCACGATAGTGTAGTGGTTAAAGTCCTCGCCTTGAACATCCGAGATCCCATATGGGCGCCGGTTTTAATCCTGGCAGCTCTGCTTCCCATCCAGCTCCCTGTCTGTGGCCTGGGAAAGCAGTCAAATACGGCCCAAAGCCTTAGGACCCTGCACCCAGGTGGGAGAACCAGAAGAAGCTCCTGGCTCCTGGCTTCGGATTGGCTCAGTTTGGGCTCTTGCGGTCACTTGGAGACTGAACCATCGGATGGAAGATCTTCCTCTCTGTCTCTCCTCCTCTCTGTATATCTGCTTTTCCAATAAAAATAAATAAATCTTTTAAGAAAAAAAAAAACTGGGCTTTCACTATTTCTCAAGGTGAGAGACCCAGCTGGAGCGAGCATCAGCCTCCTGTCTGATCAGGATTCTGGAAGCATAGGAGGAGACTTGAGGAAAATGTTGTATAGCCTGTTCGTGACCCTCATTTAACCATCACAACTCTTCCTTCTCCTGCAGACAGCTCCAGGAATTCAGCTAGCACCTCCACAGGGAAGGGACGACTTCAAGATGGACAACCCATCAAGATCAAATTGACATATGTGACAAGGCTCTTGGTGAAGACACGGAGCTGCTGTTGCTTCCTGTGGCTTCCCAGGCTCTGGCCAAAGGCACACCTGTCTAGTCTCCTGTGATCAGGACAGAGCCAGGGCTGTGGCCACCCCCCAGCCAACACACAAGGTGACAGTGCAGCTGGGAAGCAAGGGAGCTATTATCAGCCTCTCACTTGTTCTTTCACTCGTTTATCTGAACACCATCACTTTGGGGGAACTCTCTGTTCTAAACAGAGGTTACAGATGAGAGCTAAGCTTCCACAGTACAGCCCAATGATAAAGTGAAGGAATTCCTAGATAACAGGAAATTAACACAAATCCACACATTTGGGCCACAGGTTCTCTAGTCTCCTCAGATGGGCCAAGTCCCAGATTCTTGGAAGATGTTATGCCACACCCAACGGGGGGGCATGGGGCAAGGCACCTCGTTCTAATCAAATCAGGGATGAAGGCTTGGGCTGTCACAACTCAAAAGTAACACATGATCCAAACTAAGAACGCCCAGTGGAGAAAAACAGAAGATGACATGGATACAAACCTTGCCGCTTTCGGCGTCCCTCTCCATCTCTAAAGCTTCTACCTGCTTCCTGGCCGCCTGGAGCTGCTGCCTAAGCGTCTCCATTTGCGATTTACCTTCGGAACTGGCCTTCTCAAGGGCGTCCAGATCCAAGAGCTTCTCTTTGGCGGCCGCGAGCTGTGATGTAAAATCATCAATGACCTTGGTTTGCTCAGTGCATCTGGCTTGCAGTACCTCTAGCTCCTTTACCTTGGTCTCGGCCTCCTGCAGTCTGTTTAGCGTGTCTTCCATCTCTACGAGGTGCTGGTCTTCTGCCCTGTCCAGCTTGGACTTGAGGGCTTCCAAACTGTCCTCCTTTTCCTTGACGACCTTCAGCAGCTTCGTCCTCAGGGCGTCCAGCTCTTTAGCGTGAGCAGACCGCTCAGAGTCTTGTCTGCTCTGCAGACTGTCTATCTCGTGCTGGTAATCCAGTCTCATTTGCTCTATTTGCGTTTTTAACTCGGCAAACTCTGCCGTCTCTGTCCCGACACCCTTGCTGAAGGACACCTGGAGCTCCTCCATGGCCTGCTGGTGGGACGCGATAGCAGTCTCCAGCTTCGACTTCCACAGCGCGATCACGTCCGAGTTCTCTTTGTTGGCGTGATCAAGCTTGCTTTTCAAGGACTCATTCTCCTTGCAGAGCTTCTCGGTGGTGGCCTGAAGACTTCTCACCTCCTTCTGAAAGGTTTCTTCCTGGGTTCCCAAATGCTCCTTCAGAGAAGCCACTTCTTTCTGGTGGTCAGCCTGGGTGACTTCCAATTTCTCTTGCAAAGAACTTATCTCTTGCAAAAGGGAGAGCGACATGTCCACATCGCCGGCAGGTTTGCTGGACTCCAGGCGTCTTCGGAGCTCTGCTACTTCCTGTACCCTTAATGCTAGGTCTTTCTCCAGTTCCATTATACGTGACTTTTCTGACACCGTGGCCACCTAGTAACAGCAGTCCAAAGAAGAAGGGATCATTTAAACAGCAAATCATGGATGATTTTATTTTCTTAAACACCCCGGCCCCCGGATCTTAAATCACTCCCCCATCTCCCACAGCAGTCAAGCTCTTACCAGTGTTTACAGCCAGTAAGTTCTCTGACCCTACCAGTGATGTAAGCCTGATTCTGGTAGCTCCAATCCAAGACTATGAATCTTGGGTACGCTTCCATACGTCTGAGATGCTTCAGAAATGTAAAACTGATGTTGAGTTTAACTCTAACATATACTTTTCTCTCTAAAGAAGCAGGGACCAAGGAAGCACCAACCAACCAATCGTTACATTAGCAGCAACAGAAACTCCCAGAGCTCTTTGATGCATCTTGCTGCTTGGAAAAAGGATGCTCCTCGTCCTACCAGTCTCTTCCCCGCCACCTCACCCTTGCTGTACAGAAGCTGAGCTTCTCTTGGTGGGGAGGGGATCTCACAGAACTGCGTGTCCCGGCCAGCAGCTGTCAGCCACACGTGGCTTCCGAGCATTGAAAAGGGGCTCAGCTGAAGGGAGATGTGCTAGAAGCATACAACACACATCATAGCTTGAAAACATAGAAGAGAAAGGAACATAAAGTATTTTGCTAATACTTCTTTGTATTGAGGACACGGGAAAATGGTAATATTGTGTGAATTGGCTTAAATATATTAGTAAACTTAATTTCACCCGTAACTTACTAAAAAGTGAAGTGTAGTACCAAAAAATCATGAGCTGCGCTTCCGTATAAAAGGTCTAAAATCACCTGTTGAATGTTTCAATGAATATCACGTCACCTGTAGAATAAAAACCTCCACTGGACAATGTAGGGTTAATTTACTAACCTGTTCTCTTGAAGACAAAGAAGGATAAGTACTTACCTGCAATCATAGGTAAGAATCAGACCCCGAGTCCCCTTTCGGATTTTAGTTCTACAATTCTATCAGCATTGTGATGTCCAAATCTCATTCCCCCAACCCAGTGGTTCGCAGGTGTAACTGTACACACATGAACTACCTGGAATGTGAGTCTGAAATGCAACTTCCCAGCTGCCCCACATACTTTGATTCCGTTTGAGCTCTGGAGTTTAAAAAAGTAAACACCCCAGGGCTAGGAAAAACACTAACTTTTATCTTTCGGTCTTAGAAAATCATTTCCAGCTATCACCTGTTAAAATAATTTACCCCACTGAACACATGGAAAATAGTATCTTTAGGTATAAAAATTCATTTGACTAATCTGGGAAATAGAAGAAAACATAAATACTTCTAAAACTTCAATGAGTCCTGTATTTCTAAAATCCCAAACTTAATCTCCCATTTGGCTTTTACTGGGACAAAAAGCAACCAGCCTGCTTCTTTCCTTTCTTCTTTTTACCTTCAAGGTGTGATATCAGTAAAATATCCACAAGGGAAAAGGAAAAAAAGGTCCTGGCACGATGGCTCAGTGCCTAAATCCTCGCCTTGCACACACCAGGATCCCATATGGATATTGTTTTGAATTCTAGCTGCTCCACTTCCCATTCAGCTCCCTGCCTGTGGCCTGGGAAAACAGTAGAACATGGCCCAAAGCCTTGGGACCCTGCACCCACATGGCAGACCCAGAGGAAGCTCCTGGCTCCTGGCTTTAGGTTGGCTCAGCTCCAACCACTGCGGCCACTTGCAGAGTGAACCAATGGGTGGAGGATCTTCCTGTCTTTCTCTCCTCTTCTCTTTAACTCTGCTTTTCCAATAAAAACAAGCAAATACTTAAAAAGAAAAAGAGGAAAAGAAAACATTTAGGCCTCTAAAATTGCACAATCAAGTCCTAGAACAGTTTAAGAGCTAACCAGAACTGCTGTGCTTCATGGTTATGCAAAGATATTCCAAGCCTGCAGAAGATGGATTTAAGAGAGAGGTGCAGGGCTGGGGTAGGTGTACAGAGCAGCTATGAAGATGGTGCTGCAGACACCTGCACTGCATATCACAGTGCTTGGGTCTGAGCTTGGTCTCTTCCCGAGACCAGCTTCCTGCTGGTGCACAGCTTTGGAACAGCAGAGGGTAACCCGGGGCCCACCTCGAAGACCAGGACTGAGTTCCAGGCTCTTGGCTTTTCTGCCTGACTCAGCTCTGGCTATTCCAAAACTTACTTGGAAAGCAGAGAGAAAGAGAAAAAAAACCCCTTCCATCTGCTGGCTCACTCCCCCAGATACCTGCCACACTCAAGGTTGAGCCAGCCAAAGACAGGACTTACACCCTGGTCTCCCACATGAACAGTAAGGGTCCCAGGATTCATGCTTCCTCTGCTGCCTCCCAAAATGCCCACGAAGAAGCTAAGCAGCTAGGATGTAAACTGGCATTCCAACATGAAAAGTTCTCAGCCATGGCTTGATTCACTGTGCCACACACCACTCCCAGTTAACTGGCTTATTTCAGAAGCAGGGTAATAAAGGAGCAAGTGAGGGAAGGAGGTAGGGGAAGAGAGAGGGAGGGAGACAGATCGTCCAGCCACTGTTCCACTCCTCAAATGGCTGTGACAGCTGGGGCTGAGCCAGGCACCAACAAAGAGCAGAGAATACCACCTTTGTTTCCCATGTGGGTGGCAAGGGCCCAAGAACTGGGGTGACCCTTCACTGCCTTCCCAGGAGCATGATCTGGTGGAGCAGCTGAGAATCAAACAAGTCCTCCTAAGGTGTGCTAGGGTTGCAGGTGGCCCCTCAACCCACTGTACCACCACATCCACATCCAGTTTTTTCATAATCTGCATTTTCCATGATTTTTTTTTTTTGAGGGCAGAGTCATCAGCATGAATTTTGGAAAGTTTAGCATTGACTTTTAATTTTATTGTCCACAAACTTCCTGAAGTATCCTTGTCATTCTTATCCAAGAATAGAGGCTAAGAAAATGTCATAGAAAAAACTGAAAAAAGAAAAAAAAGTGTGATTTTTCTTTCTGTGGACTTTCGTAAAACCTTTAGCATTTCTACTTGTAATTTTACTTCCCAGAGCGTAAACCACCTGTGCATCTGCCTCTCCCAACTGCTGGAGGCCATGCAATGTGGGAGTCACTTCTTGTCCCCAACTAGCATCACCACAGCACTGGGCGTGCCTGCTGACATCCCATGGTGAGCTGACTTAGCAGCTGACAGGAGCTGTAAAGGGCTTGCTCAGAGGGACGTGGTGGCTGTTCCCATGCTTGACAACACAAGTGTGAAGGGCCAGCAGCTACCTCTGTCATGAGAAGAGACAGGCTCTCCTCGGTGGGCTCAGAACCCTGTGCTGTGAGTGCAGAAAGCAAGCGTGAGAGCTGCTTGCCAACAAAACTAAGACACAGGAGATGAGGTCAGAGTTTAAAGAAACACACATCCTTACATTGCCAGCAGGCCACACAAAGGGCTGGGCCCACCTGCGCCTTCTAGTTCCCACATTGAGTCTTTGCCTCTCAGGAAACAGACAGCAGAGCTGTCATTCACCACCCTATCCCCTCTTTCATTCTTAAATACCTAGGAGAAATGTTTAACTATAAGGCAAATGAGACAAAAACACAATGTAGGAAAGAAAAATGAACTCACTGGATTATTAGATAAGTCAGTGATTTCTTGTTAAGAGAAATTGCTACAATCAGGATCTCAAATTTGTTCAGATACAAGGTGATTTTTCAAAGTTTAAAGTTTAGATCTAGGCAGTTTAGGCAATCAGTTAAATTCATGATTTAAAAGTGTGTGTGGACACTTATTTTATATGAATATGAGTGCCACATAACTCTTCAAGGACAAAACAAACACAGGTACAAATCAAGCTCCCCATTCCCCAGCCGCGTGCTGTGACCCTGGACACACTGCTTCACGTCCGCGCGGCGGTGTTCTCATGGGAAGCAGGAACAATACCTCCGGCTTCCCAGGGAGATGGTGAGAATGAATAATTCTTTTCTTGTATAGTAATTAGTATAGAGTTGATAGTGTGGTGCAGTGGGCCGAGTGCGGCCTGGCTGTTGCACTTCTAATTTAGCTGCTGGAAAACGCAGCAGATGGTCCAAGAGTTTGGGTTCCTGCGCTCATATGGAGACCAGGCGATGCTCCAGGCTCTGGCTTCAGCCTGGCCCAGTATAGGCCTTTACATCCATGTGGGAGAATAAATCAGCAGATGGAGGGGTCTTTCTCTCTGTGACTTTGCCTTTCAAATAAACAAATCTTAAAAAAAAAAAAAAGCACTTAGGATAATGCAGTAAACACTTCATACATGTTTTAATAATCAACATGCTGAAACATGACTGTCTTTCTGGCTCTGAAAACCAAGCACACATCCCTCCTGACCACTGAGATGTCCATCTTCTCGGTATCAGAAAGGAGAGAGATCCGCTAGCCAGGAAAAAATAAATAAAGAAAAAATAGAAAGAGCTGAGGTCACCATGTCCTTCTCCTTGACATTCAGAGAGAAAGGCAGGAAAAGGGGCCTAAGTAACAAAAATTATTAAGAAAATCCAGCAGCCAGGTGTAAGAGAACAAGAGGACAATTGACTGCTTGTAGCAACTGCAGGAATGCATTTTGAGGTTCTAATATGAAGAATCTCGAATTACTTAGCTGTGTCATTTCTGATTTTGAATTGAAGGAATCAGTCTTCACTTTGACAAGAGGTCTGACAGAACACATCTGGGCATCCCTCTTAGTCTAGGCTCAGGAACACCTGCCTGCATGGTCCCAAGACTGAAGGGTGAACCACTGGGTCAAGGCTCAGGCAGACTGCAGGGCCAGCCTCCCGAGGCGTCCGCCACTCACACACATGGGACTGCTTCGGTAAATAGCGAAAACCATTACCCTAGTGTCTTCTAACTCCCTCTGGAGTTTGTCAGCTTTGGTCTTTTCAAAGAGCAGGCTCTGTTCAAGCTCCTTAATGCGGGCATGCTCCAGTTTGGTCTGCGTCTGTTAGTGGAGAGGAAGAGGAAGAGAACACCACAGTGCTGCCGTGACGTGCCAGCACCAGAGAGGAGAGCGCGGCATGCAAGGCTGAGCCACGGGCACCTTCCGCCAGAGGACGCACAGAGGGGGTGGGTACAGGAAGAGGATGGCGCTGCACTGAGGGGCTGGGGTGAGGACACACTATGGACAGGGAGACGGTGGGCGGGGCACATGAGCTAGGCTATCGAGAAAGGAAAACGGAGAACACACAAGGCGAGATGAGGTGTCAGATGCATGCAGCCAAATATCAGTTATATTGATAAGTGAAGTTTATCAGCACCAATTAGCACAGTTAATACCCCTCTGAACTATCACTTGCCCTTGTGCCCAGTGGTCAGTGGCTACCCGTCCCTCTCGTGTGTCTAAGTGGCCAGCCCATGGGACGATCTGTACTGTCACCTAACCATGAGGACGGTAACATCCTAGACCTTCAAGTGTCCTTGGTGCCCAGGGAGTGAATCTCTTGCTCTGACCCACCACCTGACACCAACAGTGGTCAAGTACCAACTCTTAGGCCGGGACTCCAGGGAGCAGAACGCAGGACGGCGCAGCTCGCCCTTGGCCTTTGCGGCCATTCTTAGCAGCGTCTTCCCTGAGTCGGGGCAAGGCCCAGGAGAGCTCTCATTTCCTCCCAAGGCTGACTGACTCCAAGGGGTGACAAAATGCACTTAGAATGATGAAGGCAAGACGCAGAGCAGGAGAAGGGCTTCACGCCGACCGTCCGGGACTTGACATTTTCATCCTGAGGTGCCGTAACTTCCATCAGCTCAGAGGTTAGAAAGGCAAGCAATGGTCACGCAACGCAGAAACGTGAGGCTTGTTGGTTGGCACAAAAACAGCTGGTCAGACCTAATGTGGCCTCCCAGATACCTCGCACTCCCTCTCAATGTGTCTTAATCTGATGGAGCACAGAAGGGTAACTTCTGGGAGGACCAAGTGCAGTGGAACTGCAACTGACCAAAGTGATCTGCGCCTCGGGCCGCCCTTCCTCTGCCCCAAGAGGGGAACTCAGGGGTCGGCAGGGAGAAGCTGGCGGGGCTCTCAGCAGCTCAAGGCCGCGTGCCAGCCCGAGCATCTGCTTGTGCTCACCAGTCTCATCTATCAGGCTGCACCATGACGGATGATGGGGAAATGGCAACAGATTCCAAAGCGGCCCAGAGCAGTGCAGAGCGTGGGTCCAGGGTGGACAGGTGACAACCACTGTCACGCCCTCTAGGCGTCTCCTGGGGCCCTCAGTGCATTCGAGAGGTCAGTGTGCTTGGGAAACAGAAAAACCATCATGGAATGCTTAAAAATAACCAACAGAAAAAAACTTTAAATTCTTTTCTTCAGCTCTTTAAACTCCAAGAAAATAATGAACTAAAATTCAGAGCTAATTGGATAGTTCCCTGGCTCCTCAGGCGCTGTAGGCAGAAGCACTTCAACATGCCTGCTCTTGGCAGGGGCCAGGCCACAGCCTTTGGGAGTGAAACGCAAAAACGAGAGGAAAAGGCCAAGGGCTCCCAGGGCTCTGGCGCCTTTCTTCCAATGGCCATTGGGTCAGGAATCCGGTCCCCACGTCTCCCGCCACCTTGTCCCCAGCAGTGCAGCCAAGCCTCGTGACCGCCGTGCACATGCGTGCCATGGACTCCATGGCGGCCACGGCACCCCCAATCCGCAGGCTGGAACGTACTGCACAACAGAACAGCCCTCCTCTGGACCTCACTTCTTTCTCAAAATACAACACAGAGTCTCAAGAGGCAAGGCCTGACACAGGAGCTGAGAAGAAAAGCGCAGGCTTTGCGAGAAGCGCACGGGCAGGCGGGAGGAAGGTCCCATGCAGACTGACACCGGGTGCAGCGGAGCCTGGTTTGGGAGGAGAGGAGAGACCCAGATCACGGAAGGAGCTGCACAGAAAGGAACCCTCCAGAACAAAGGCCTCTTGAAAAGTCCAGTCTTGAGCTGTCTAGGTAGGCGGCCAGGAGGTGGGAGCGGGGGTCAGGGGGAGAAGGTTGTTCCTCAACCTAACTGCGTCCCCTGGTGTCTTCGGGACTTCCTGGTCAGCAGGGGAACTGGCCATGTGCAACAAGAGCCCCGCTCTGGCTGGAGAGTTTTCTGTCAGGCGTCTGCTCCTCACCAGGAGGAGGAAGTCAAGAATATGACACTCCGGTTAGGGGAGTCTCTCCTCAGTAACAACACATTCACCACACAGCGTCTTCACACGTCTGCCACTGGTCCTGCTACCTCGGGGGAACCCTGGAGCAACCACCACCTGTGCTCCCGACCTGGTGCACTGGCGGAGACTGGCCAGCAGGGCGGCGCACAACGGTCCTGGCTCTCAAGGGGCATCAACTGGGCAGGGCGAGAGACTGCCCTGGGGAATAGTCACTATTTCTTCATTTCCAGTGTTTTATGCTTTAGTCAGCTGCCGTCTCTTTCAGAATACTTATATCAAAATTAGAAGATGCTAGAAAATGGGGGATGGGAGTCAGCCAGGTTCCCCAAAAAGGTAAAGTTTTTTTTTTTTTCAAAATTCTTTATAAAGTAAAAATTTGCCTATTTATTCTTTAAATAACTGTATTTATGAAGTCTAGCCATTACATACGATTTCTTCAGGACACTAATGGAACTGCTTTGAAAGCCACATGCACAAAAGTATTAAAGTCAATGTCCCACAGTCAGATAACGCAGTTAGTGTTTGAGTCATCAGTATGCATTTTAATCCGTAATCAATCTGTGTTAACAAGGACGTATCCACAGTTAAGTGACCTCTTACATTCTCAGGATCTTCAGAAATCTGGCTGTTTTGCTATCAGCAAAAAAAGTAAAAAAAAAAAATTTAAACAACAAAATAACAAATTCAACTAAAGTTTCAATATGTGTTAGGATTTCAAGGTAACTATTTGATTAATTTCAAGTGAGTTTATCAGACAGACTATACTAATCTAGTGCTAATGTAACTATTTTAACTCAACCCTTCCCAAAACATCACAGGCTGTAATTCATACAAATTAGATGATGATATGGAATTTCTAATGAGGCTTTGGGGGGGCAGTTTTAAATGGATGAGAACAACACAAAAGTCAGCTAGAGGAATGTGACTGAGTATGAAATGAGCGAAGAAGATATCATTATTGATAAACCATTTAACTTTGAGCCCTAAGTGACCAGAAAGGAGAGAGTTCAACTGGGAAGGATGCAAGGAAACCCAAGGGCCCGCTGGAGCACAGAGCCCCATCACAGCATACTGTGCGCTCATTCTGAGAATCGCACAGGCCACGCCTTTCACTAAAATCAAAGACATCTGCAAAATCTGAAAAGCCTAATCTACATCGTCATATATCTAGCAGTGTTATTTAATACAAAAACTAACAGGAATAGTAATAAAGAAAAAATCTCTGAGTAGTGTTTTTTTTTTTTTACTGTGCCAATATTTTTAGAAATCAACCATTAGAACAAACACTTTATTCCTTCTACAGGGTTAGAATGGATTCACACTGCCTGACTGAAAAAAAGCCGAGATAAAGCACAAGGCTTTACTATGGACTACTACGACTTTTAAAACCGCTCTTTAAGATGCCATTTCTAATCCTCAGAGAATCAAAGCCAGCCTCTCTTAGGGCTGTTTCATACTGAAGACACTGCCAGGTTTATGACTTGACGAAGCGAAGTCCATGGTTCCGAACAAAGACTCAAGAGAAGAGGAGACAGCACTGGGCCTACCCCAGGCACCAGGACGCCAGAGCCACAGCTCAAGGCCGGGCACTGCCACCGCAGCCACAGAGCTGCGCTCCAATGCCCCTTGACCAGAGGGGACCGGATGTTCTGGGCACACCAGGCAGCTGGCACATGATGTCACCCATGTTCCCCCACACCAGAACACACAAAAGTTCCAGAGAACTGGAGGGGTTTACCTCAAGATCGCCTTTGGTGATCGATTCTTCCTCGACACGGAACTGAAGATCCTCAACCTTCCTGTGGAATAAACGCAGACCGAACACGTGAGAAAGAAGCCAAGGAGACACAGGCCTAATGCCCAGCCCACCCCACGCCCAGAGAGAATCCTGCGGAAGGTAGATGTCTCTGCGATGCAGGAGTAAAGACCTGCGCTCGGCAGCCTCCAGCTCTCAGCAGCTGTGCTGTCAGGAGGCCCCAAAACACAGATTCTGGAAGGCATGTGCTGAGGGCAAAAGGTCACTGTTCCATGGGTCATGAACACCAAACAAGACAAGCCTCAAAGGAAAAGGCCTGATCACCCCAGAAAGGTGTAACTTGCACTTCCGACAGCAGAACACAGAAGCGCAACTCAGCAGGTGTCTCGGGGAGAGGTGACAGGCTCCCCATGCAGAGACCCCTTCCAGAGCAACAAGAGCTGCTGCTTCAAGTCCGGGTGGTGAGTCGCTTGGAGAGAGAGCAATCAAAGATCCTATTTCTTTAATTCTGACATTCACGTTTTCTCACATTTCATCCTCTCTGATACTGGGTATGGATTTTAATGAATGAACTAGAAGAACACTCTGATGAGTGACAAAAATCCCAGTGTAAGAGAAGGAGGAGAAGGGGGACAATGTTTGTAACCTATATTCAAAACAACACAAAAACCTTTATTCTCACTAGCACTTAGAGCAAAGTGGGTGTGGGAGCCCCGGAATCCAGTTTCTGCTGCCTTCCCAGGTGCATCAGGGAGCTGGCTGGGAAGCAGAGCAGCTGGGACCTCCACCGGCACCCATGCAGGATGGGACTTAACGGATTATGCCATGGCGCCAGCTCCCACTACTCCACTGTGACCCAGCTCCCTACTAATGAACCTATGAAAGCCAAGCAGGAGACCAGGGTGGAGTCCTAGGCCCCTGACTTCAGCCTGGCCTAGCTCCAGCGGCTGCAGCCATTTGGAAGTGTACTGGGGGGTGGAAGATCTCTCTGTCACTGCTCCTTCCAAATAATGGGCCCAGGTACTTGGATCATCCACTGCTGCTTTTCCCAGGCTATTAACAGGGCGCTGGCTCCAAAGTGGAACAACTGGGACTCAAATCGGCACCCATATGGGAATGCCAGCGCCACAGGAGGCTGCTTCACCTGCTACCCCATGATATCAGCCACCAGTTTTCTCAACTAAGTCCCGCATCTCTAACACAGAGACCTTCTGTCACCCACCAGATGCGATTCACCCTCACAAGCACAGGAGACGGGGACTGCAGGAAATGAGATGTGAGCAGTCTCTCCACAGGGCTGGCCAGGGTGTTCTTACAGGGCACTTGGCATGTGGTAGATTAGTAAACTAATCAGGCAAACTAAAATATCCCAAATTTTTTGGGAAAAGGCAAATCAAGGCAACCTGTGTTAGCACACCCCACAGTTCAATTTCTGCTGAACCCACAAGTCGTTCCTTTGGTTCTAAGGATTACCATGAACAGGTCATTAATAGGAAATTTTTTGTGAGCTTTTTAAAAGGTAAAGGCCGGGGTAGGTACGTGCACTGTGGTTTTGACTCTGTGGGGGAAGGGGGTTGTGGGCACTGTTATCATTTGGCAGGTTAAGCCATATCCTCTGATGCTAGTATCCCATATGAGTGCTGGTTCAAGTCCCAGCTGCTCCACTTCTGATCCAGCTTCTTCCTGATACCCTTGGGAAGGAAGTGGAGTCTAGCCTGAGGGCTTGGACTCCCGACACCCAACACCCACGTGGGAGACTTAGAAATCTAGGGTCCCAGCTTCAGCCTCGCCCACCTCCAGCCAGTGGGGCTATTTGGAGAGTAAACCAGTGGATGAAAGATCTTGACCTTTCTCTCCTTCTCAAATAAAGTAACTCTCCCTTTAAATAAACAGATAAATCTCCATAGCAGACTCCACTTGGGACGCCCACAGCCCACACTGGAGTAGCTGGGTGGGAGTCCTTGCTCTGCTTTTCAGTCCAGCTTCCCGCTAATGTGACACGCCCCTGGGAGGCTCAGCTGGAGCTCCATTCTGGACTGTGCCCTGACCCAGGCCCTGGCTATTGTGGGCATTTGGGAAGTAAATTGGGAGTCTGCAAACATAACCCGCTCACTCTCCGCGCTGTGAAGCAGACAAGAAAGGAAAAGGCAGCCTTGAGCACAGAATGGTCTAGAATCACCTCTTCTCTTCTTCCAGTTGGTTGAGAAGCTCCACCTTCTCCCGGTCAGCTGCCTCCACCATGGTGCGCAGCTGGTCCATCTTGGCCTCGAGCTCCAGGACATGCTGGGGAAGCAAGGATGCCGTGAGCAGCCTCCTTGTGAGGCAGATTCAGGCCCTGGACACCCAAAGAGCTCCAGGTGTGGGATACCATGGCGGGAGCCTTACTCTTAACTCCTGTCAGGTTAGTGCCCTTTCCTGGAAGGTGACCACCAAAGCCAGAGAGGGCAAGGGGAGAACAACTCGCACCTTCTGTGCCGCACACACATGCACACATACACACACGATGAGGAACCTGCCGGCAGGAGCTGCACCCACGGGTGAGATGGGGGCCCAGCAAAGGAGCGGGCTGCCACCCAGACACGGGGGTGGGGGGGTGAACCAGGCACAACAGAACTTCATCTCCGTGACAACAGAAACCAGCACTCAGGTTGGCCCCAGCTTGCAAACACGCTCAAGGCCAGCTCCCCGGCCTCCTTGCTGCACTCAGACACTGCATGGAGGCCAGTAGCAGACTTCACCTGGTCGTGTCCATCCCGGGCCAAGGCTAGTTCCTGCTCTATCTCCCCCGCGTGGCTCGTGGCCTTGGCCACCTCCGCCCTCTCCAGATCCCGTTCAGCCAGCAGCTGCTCAATGTGCTGCTGCTTCTCCTTCAGGGCCTCCTGGAGGGCAGTGGTGCCGGAGATCTTCCTCGCGTACCGGGAGGAGGTCTCAGTCAGCTGCAAAGGAAAAGTCAGACACATGAAAGGCGACGATGCGACCAGGGCAGCGAGGCATGCATGGCAGCGGCTCCTCGGCTAAGCACAGACGCTGCCCGGCCCGCGGGCTGCCAGCGAACAAACAAGACAGCAGAGTTCAGCAACGACACGCTGACGCTGGGAGCGCGCAACCTGAGCAAAGTTTGCAAGGACAAGTGGCTTAACTCACAGCTGCTCGGGCCCAAGTGTCCAGGCCATGGGGGAATCCAGAAAAACCCCAGGGACCCACTTAAGTATTTCCTCAGAGCTCTATTTCTCTAAGCATTCTCCTCACGTGACAAGATTTTGGTCAGAGTTTCACCTCAGGCTTGGACTTTCCTAAGCTTTTACACACAAGAAACGAAGAAGACATCGCTTCCGCTGTCACAAATCTCCCTTCCACTGAATGAGCCGCTGGATCTTTATGTTAGGATTGCCTTTGACTTTCTCTCAGAACCAAAAGTCTGGGAGATCTCACCCAGGAACCCAGCCTCTGGGACTTGAACTTCAATTGCCCAAGATTTGTAAGAGGGAGACTCTGCCTTTAAAAGCAGGAGTGGGTGAACAGTGTGGGCGTGGACATCTAGCAGGTCCACACACCACAGCCAGCAAGGAGAAGGAACTAGACCAAGAAGACAGAAGAACAGAGAAACAAGTGGGGAGAATAGGAAGCAGGAAGGCAAAAGGGAAATGAAAAGAGGGAGGAGAAAGAGAAACAGGAAGGGAGAGACAGGACAGAGGGCAGGTCCTGGCCAGGGTGTGCTCCAGGCTGCCATCCACGACTGCCGCTTCAAACACCCAGTTTCTCTGGCTCCATGCCTGCATAAAACCCCAAGAAGCAACTGCTGCTAAGTGTTAGCAGGGCCCTGGGCAAGGCAAGAGCCTCCTATGCTGGGAGCAGAGGCTGGGAGGCGGGCAGCAAACGGCCTCGTCCCTTGGCAAGCACATCACTGCCTCCTTTCGTTCACCGTCCACGGTCAGAGCTCCAGTCACCACCTGCAGGAGTCCACCCGAGCCCTGTGCACGGGCCGCGGGCTGACGCTGGAGACCTCGCACTGAGCAACCTTCGGCAATGTGAGAACCATGACAGTAAAGGGATGCAACCGAGATGGGAGTGTTTATTTGAAAGGTAGAGTGACTGAGAGAAGGGGAGGATAGAGATACAGAAATGAGGAAGCATCCGCTGTCCCTTCCACAGATGCCCACCACAGGTGGACTGGGCCACGTGGACACCCAGAGCCTAGAACTCCATCAAGATCTCCCACGCGGTCCTCACCTTGAACAAGCCAGGATCCCATAGGGACACTGGTCTAATCCGGGCAGCTAAGCTTCCCATCCAGCTCCCTGCTTGTGCCCTGGGATAGTAGCAGAGAATGGCCTAAAGCCTTAGGACCCTGCACCTACGTGGAAGACCCGGAAGAAGCACCTAGCTCCTGACTTCAGACTGGCTCAACTCCAGCCACTGTGGCCACCTGGGGAATGAATCGGCAGACAGAAGATCTTTCCTCTCCTCTCTGTCTCGCCTCCTATATGTATATCTGGCTTTCCAATAAAAATTTTAAAAAATCTTTAAAACAGTCTTGAGTGGAACTTACACCACCTGATCCCAAGCTTTGGGACAAAAGCCCCACCAGTTGACAGGCCAACACCCTCCCTTTGGAATCCCACTTTCCCTTCCCTGTCCAACAACCGAGAGGCAGCAAAGCCAGGCGAGCAGCCAGCAGCCCTGCTGCGCAGTCCCAGCCCCGACAGTCTGACTCCAGCCGCCGCTCTCTCCTGCGGCAGAGATCCCGAACTCAACTCGGAGCAGGACCTGCTTTGTGCTGCCGAAGGACGGGGCGTGAGGCAGTGACAGCCACTGCCTCTGACACCAGCAGAACACCACGGCAACAAACAAAGAAGCACAAGCACTGTGTAATTCAGATGATTCTATTTTCACTGCTCTAAGGAGGGAAAGGAGAAGGAGAGGTAAAGATGGGAGGAAACAAAACGGCTTTTTCCCAACATCCTTTCAGGTTTCCAGAACCTTCTACATCATCTGACCCACATCAAGGACACTCCATATACATTAACTACTTTCTCTGAGTTAGGCTACATTAATATAACACTAGACTTCTAGGTTCATGATTTTTCTTATAATACTTTCTAAGACTGTCTGAAGTTCAGCAGAAAAAGACTTATGTACTTGAAGAAGAAGATTCCTCCAATTTCTCTGTCATTTTCACGTCCAAGACACCATCCCACACGCTGGACTAAGAAGTACTTACTACAGATTCAGCCAAAGCTGGTACATGCTTAACACTTCTGCGTTTGGAAACATCTACTAAAAGCGCTTTGCTATTTCAACCATTGCATTCCTGTAGGAGATACATTTTCTTAAACTCACTTGCCAGCATTTTCACAGCAAGCTACAGGCAGCAAGCAGCACGAGGACAAGCAAAGCACAGTCAGGCTGGCAAAGCATGGGGCGGGCCGGGGCGGGGAGGCTTACTAATCCGGTGCGGCTCGGCTTGCTGCTCACGGACGAGGCCACCGAGCTCAGGGAGCTGAGGGACGAGGCGGAAGGGCTGCGCTTCAGGCTGGCAGGTGTGGTGGCCATCACTCGCCGTACCGCGGCGGCCTTGGCCTTGGCTGGTGTGGTGGAAGGAAAGCCAATCTTGGTCACTTTGTGGACGGGAGCGAACAAGCCGTATTTGGCTTGACACTGAAAGTACCTGTGGGAAACAGCAAGAACAATAACCAAGAATAAGTAAACTTCATTGTAACAAACGAAAATAACCAAAAGTTCTCCTGGCTCTGACCTTGCGACTGGCTGGCTGAGTTCCCACACTGGCAGGAGGCAGCACTGGCAAGTGTGCAGGCTGACAGCCCGCGGCTGTGGTGTTTGAGAAAGGACACCAGTGGCAGCATGATGCAAGACACACAGCTGCCGTGGAGTCCTGCGCTCAGGGGAAGAGCACCTCCACTCCCGCCAAACACGGACGGAGGATCCCACAGCACGCCACGCAGATCCCACTGCATAAACCCACATCACCACATGCCGGTGCAGAAGTCAGGGAAGCACGTTAAGCCCCCAGCTGCACTGCTGGCACTCCACATGCGCGCTGAGATCTGGCTGCGGCACTCCCTACTGATGACCTGCAGCAGCAGCAGAGGACAGCCACGTGCACGGGCCCCAGACCCCATGCTGGACCAAGAGGATGCTCCTAGCTCCCGGCTGCAGACCAGTCCAGCTCTCGTCATTGCAGTCACCTGGGCAGGGAGCCTATGCACAGAAGCTCTCTGTCTCTCTGTAACTCTGCCTTCCAAAAAAAAAAAAAATTTTTTTTAAATAATCACACTTTAATCCAAAACTACATATTTGCTACATATTAATAAAAACGCAAAAAAAATCCTTGTAGAATGTTTAAAAATAAATGTCTTTAAATATTCCTTGGACCGTCCTTGACTGGTTTCCCACACCACAAGCAGGGGGCTAGAAGGGAAGTGGAGCAGCCAGGGTACGAACCGGTACCTAAATGGGACCCTGGCGGATGAAAAGCAAAGATTTAGCCACTAGGCTATTGCGCTGGGCAATAAGCATTTTTTTTTTTTTTAAAGATTTATTTTTATTATTTTTTCATTGGAAAGGCGGATATACAGAGAGGAGAGACAGAGAGGAAGATCTTCCGTCCGATGATTCACTCCCCAAATGAGCGCAACGGGCCGATACTATGCCAATCCGAAGCCAGGAGCCTCTTCCGGGTCTCCCACGCGGGTGCAGGTTCCCAAAGCTTTGGGCCATCCTCGACTGCTTTCCCAGGCCACAGGCAGGGAGCTGGAAGGGAAGCAGGGCTGCCGGGATTAGAACCGGCGCCCATATAGGATCCCGGGCGTGCAAGGTGAGGACCTTTAACCACTTGCGCCACTGTGCCGGGCCCAGCAATAAGCATTTTAAACATTTATTTAATAGGACCCTGCATCCACATGACAGACCCAGAAGAAGCTCCTGGCTTTAGATCGGCGCAGCTCCAGTCACTGCAGCTGCTTGGGGAATGAATCATCGGACGGAAGATCTTCCTCTCTGTCTCTCCTCCTCTCTGCATATCTGACTTTCCAATAAAAATAAAAAGGCCTTTAAAAAAAGAGAGAGACTGTTTAAAAAGAAAAAAGCTACTCCTCACTCTAGCCCCACCCTGGGCCACCCAGAGACTCTCAGGGATTGACTGGGACCAAGAGGGACAGAAACCTCTCTCCTATGAAAAGCCGGAAGCGTGCTGCGTGTAATATTTTTAAGCAGATGTTTGCATGTCTTGCTGCGGACACAGGATGGTCTTAAGAAATCACAGGGCAGCACTGGGCATACTGGCTTCGATCCTGCCACTCCTGAGCCCTGCAGGAGGCAGGATGGACACAGCGCAGGTGCAGCCTCACCTCGTCCCGGCCACCGCGCCATCGTTCTTCCCGAGGGGCTCGTCCAGCTCCACGCCACACCATTCCCCCTTGGCAAAGTCTGTCTCCCCAAGAAACCGGACTACGCCAGCCTTGGTGCCTCCGACCTGGAGGAAGAGAAGGTCAGAATGAAGAAATGAAGTCACTTCCTCAGCTCACTCCTTGTCATCCCGACCAGCCCCTCCATCAGCCCCGGCAACGTCTTACTCCCTGTTGAAGGAGTGGAAAAGCTACCTGGACAACGCACATTCTCTATGGTTTGACAATAACGAAAGGCCTTCATGCCTTCCAGGCACCTGTCAAACTAAACATTGCTCTCCTAAGAAAAGCACTTTACTACTCCACAGCAATTCTGTTATTTCAAAACATTATCTGTGGGGCTATATCATTGGTGTAGCAAGTAAAGCTGCTGTCTGCTGTGCCACCACAGGGGTGCCAATACAAGTCTCGGTGGCTCCACTTCCAACCCAGCTATCTGCTTATGACCTGGGAACGCAAGGGAAGATGACTCAGGCCCGTGGGCCCCTGAGGTCAAGTGGGAGTCTGAGGAAGCTCCTGGCTCCCAGCTTCAGACTCCTTGGGGGAGTGAATCAGCAGATGGAAGACCTCTCTCTGTTCTCTCAGTAACTCTTTCAAATAAAAATAAATCTTTAAAAAAAGAAAAAGAAGGTAACCAAGTTGAGAGGTTTCCACAGAAACCACGGGAGCAGAGACAGACTTCCCTACCGTAAGCTCTCATGAGACAGAGACACTGATGCCGCCCGCTGGGTCAGGGGACCAGCCACACACAGCGGCCCCTGGGCGCCCTCCCAGCAACTCACTGTCAAGTCCTCTACGAGCCATTCAATCTCACAGCTTGGTTTATAAGGCCCTAAAGTGGCCAATGAGTGTTAATGAGGGATGGCTTCCCAAGAATTTTAAGAACAACACCTGCCAAGCTCTAAGCTAACCGGCTTCCTTATGAAAATAAACATGGTTAATGGACACTTTCCAACAACAAACTGAGCCCTCACTTAGGGCTCAACCTCCTGTAAGAGCAGCCTTGACTGCCTTCCCAGGCCACAAGCAGGGAGCTGGACGGGAGATGGAATAGCCAGGATACAGAACAGTGCCCATGTGGGATTCCAGTGTAGGCAGGGTGAGATTTTAGCCATTAGGCTATTGTGCCGGGCCCTGGAAATCTATAATCCTAACTTGTAAAGGCATTCAAGTCTCAGCACCCAGGGGCCCCGATGCTAAGCCACAGGGAACAGGAGGGAGGACAGCAAGCTCGGTTACCTCAGCACGTGAGCTGGGCTGCTGCAGTGTGAGCTTATGAGCACCAACAGTTCCGTTGTAAACAGTGAGCCCAAATCCCTTCAACAAAATGTGGAGTATGTCCACCAAATGCAACATAGCCAATACACAAAGCAGTAACACGTTTTACAGCACGATGGCACGAGACGTAAACCACTACATGCTGTGAGCCCAGGAGCTATCCAGGGGAGGCAGGGCAGTCGCCACAGGCACGGCGCAGGGTGAAGAAAGCCTGCAGACCGGCATGGGGAACCGTGCACTGCTGGAAATATTCCCAAGCTGCACTGCGAGGCTCTGGACATGCACCTCTAACCAGCATTCAGCACATTCCTGGCCTGAACTCCTGGAAACAACAATGCAGCAGAAAAAGGCAAGCGACCGCACGCTCTGAAGTCGGCCCTCAAAGAAGGCAGGTCAGGAACACGCATGTCTAGGGTTCTGTAAGTGCCCATGTAAGTTACTTTTAAATTGTATATACTTCAGTGAAAAACTACTGAGCCACCTTTTGTCCCTCTAGGGTCAATGGGCATCTAAGCTCACACTGCACTAAGATCAAAGCCTGGCTTGTCTGCTTTCCTAATCAAGATGAGATCAGAAGCTACAAAGTGTCTCAGATCCAGATGTTTACCCAATGGTGGGGAAGGAATTCGCAGGATCAGAGTTGTTGGAAGTTAGCAGATATAGGCTCCCACTCAGCATGGAGGCCCGGGAAGTGGTCAAACCTGCCTGGCCCAAGTCCCGGAGCAGGAATGCCCATGCCACAGGCTGGCAAGGCACCAGGCTGTGGCACCGTCGGAATCAAGATTGTGGCTTGGGAATGCAGAAGGAAACCGGCATGCAATTACAGGGCCTGACAGCAAACTCCAAAGAGGACATCAACCCAGTCACTGCCCCACAGCCTGGGCACTCAGAGCTGTTACACAGGGCAATGCCATCCCCGGGAGGACACCTCATTTTAAAATTTTGATTCATTTATTTCAGAAACACACAGAGGGAGCACTAGCCCACTGTCTCCCTCTCCCACATGCACTGCAGAGTCGGGGATCCACGCTGCATCCTCCTACAATTAACTCCTCCTACATCCAGCAGGAAGCGGAACTGGCACAGAACCCAGGCGCCTCAACGCACAAAACAGGCCATTCAACCTAAAGAGATTACCTTTCAGTTTCACTTCTCTGTGAACTTTCTGAATTACTCTTGTATAATTAAAAAAAAAGAAAAAAAAGAAAAAAAAAAGTGAACAGGGCCTGGCGCAGTAGCCCAGAGGCTAAAGTCCTTGTCCTGCATGCGCCAAGATCCCGTATGGGCGCCGGTTCTAACCCCGGCAGCCCCACTTCCCATCCAGCTCCCTGCCTGTGGCCTTGGAGAGCAGTCGAGGACGGCCACTGTGCGTAGGGAGCTGGCAGGGTTGGGAGAAGGGTGAAGCTGGGGTCTAGGAATTTCACCCAAGTCTTGCACGTGGCGGGCAGGCTGTGTTAACAGGAAGCTGAGATCGGATGCCCTGAGGAGGGCGGGGTATCCTACCCAAGCTCTTAATCTTATTAACTGTCTTGCTGTATTAACAAAGGCTTTGGGCCGTGCTCCACTGCTTCCCAAGCCACAAGCAGGAGCTGGAAGGGAAGTGGAGCAGCCGGGATTAGAAAGGGCGCCCATGTGGGACCCTCATACGGGATGAAAGGCGAGCTCCAGTTTTAGCCACTTGGCTACTGCGCTGGCCCCATAAATTTTTGAAAAAAAAAACAAAGAAAAGCCAAAAGAAAGAAAGCCCATAAACATTTATAAAATGATATTTTTTTTGGTTGAAGTGGTAGAAAAAACTAGCATATCACTGCAAACCTAGGCTAAACCCTACATAAATGACAGCCAGGTGTAAATTTGTTTATTTACACATGAACTGGACAAACAGAAAAGTAATTTTCGTGAGAAAGTGAATGGCTATGCCTCCAGAGCACCTTGTGGGCCAGCTGTGCACTTAACCCGCTCCCGGGGACTCACCAACACTCGGTCTCCGATTCTGAGCTCTCTCTCTCCCTTCTTGATTGACCCAGCTTCTGAGAGGTTGGAGATGGACTCGCTGGCGGTTTTTGTAAGGTTGCTGACCTGGGACGTGGCCTGGGACGTGGCTGCAGGTTCCTTTGCTGTTGGCTGGGGTGACTTATGGGAGCCATTTGCAGGTGTGGCCAGGGAGGACGCCGCCACGCAGGCTGCAGGGGTGGACATGGGTGACGTGGCTCTGGGGGCCGATGGCGGCTGCAGGCCGTTGGCTTCATCTTCTGCTTGCACTTTCCTTGTTAACTTCGACGGTCGGGTAAAAATGCCCTTGAGTGGTTCACACTGGAAATAACGCACTCCAGCTACTGAACCATCGTTCTTGCCTATGGGTTCATCTAAAACAATCCCCGCCCACTGGCCTGGTGCAAACTGGGTCTCTCCAAGAAACTGAATAAATCCAGGCTTATTGCCATTCACCCAAACACGCTCGCCAACACGGAAGTCATCGATAAATTCCTCCTGGGCCTCAGAGGGTGGGACACTTGATGCTTTTTCAGTAGATACTGTTTTTTCCGTTGGAGCTGCAACTGAAAATAGGAGACAGAAAAGGTGCCATTTCAGAACTGAGCACACAATCTCGTCACCTGAAGGAAAGCAAGCAAGGGGAAACCCACAGCCAGGGAAGCCACCCACGACTCTCATAAATGTGTCCAGGTGGGGCTGCTGCTGTGGCGTAGTGCGCAGGGCTGTCCTCTGCGATGCTTGCACCCCTCATGGGTGCTGATGTGAGTCCGGGCTGCTCCACTTTCCTTCCAGCTTTCTGCTAATGTGTCTGGGAATGCAGCGGAGGATGACCCAAGCACTAGGCCCCAGCACCTGCCTAGGAAACCCGGAAGAAGCTCCTGGCTACTGGCTGCCGTCTGGCCTGCCCTAGCCATGGCAGACACTTAGCAACGTGACCTCGCATGCAGGTTCGTGCTAATATGTACGGGCAGCAGCGGATGAGAGTCCAGCGGGCGGCACGTGGGGGAGGAGGAGGAAGAGAGACACAAAGCCTCACCAGCGGCAGGGGCCTTCAGGGCTGTGCTCCCCGGCTTGAGGATCTTGGAAGGGGCCTTCAGCCCGCTCGGCTTCAGCACGCTCATTTCCCGGGGTGTCGGAGCTACTTCGGAGCTACTTCTCTCTGCTTCCGGTCACTATCTTTCCCCAACCATCAAGGCAGCTGTGGGTGTTTCTAAAGCAAAGCCAGCCTCTGGGTGAAATCTGCAAAGACAAACACAAAATTATAGACATTAAGGACAAAGGGAGCACGAGCGACAGCTACAACTAAAGCAACCCGCACAGCTTAAACTCCTACACGTGTCTTTCTTTGGTCATAAATCATCTCCACATGCTATCCAGCAAACTGAATACTAAAAAATGCCACAAAAATGCTGAATGCACTTAAAGGCAATTGTCCCAAATGCAGTAATACGCTCGCATTGTGTTACCTGATACTACCAGACCAGTACAAACAACCTGGACAAAGGGGTTCAGAAAAGTTCACATCAAACTTAACGGAGGAAGGGGAAGAGAACTTTGAGCTGTCTTCACTCACCTGTACTACGCATGTGTCAGTGTCACAGGCATCACCTGAGTAGTTCTTAGGTCCATGTGCACAAGTTAAACTAAAGGAAAATTCCCAACTCTCACAGGGAAGGGCCCAGCTGGGAAGAGGCAGGAAAGTTGTCTGTGTTCTGTCTAGAGACACGGCCCGGTTTCGGTTTCCTGCAGCTGAGGCATGTGTCCTGGGCACAGGCACGCCATCTAGTCACCTGCTCCTCTGCACAGGAAGAGGAGGTGAGCGGGAAACGGAAGCAAGGGACATGAGGAAGAGTCTGGGACTGTGTAATCAGACGTGACACTCAAACACAGAACAATTCAGTCGAAGACAAAAAATGCTGCATCAAAAAAGAAAAGTGTCACCCAGGCAATGCCAAAGATTATGCAGAGTCGGGCCCAGGCGACAAGGCGGCCTGCTTGGCCACTGTGCTGAGACGTGTGGCTCCCTCACCCTGCCCTGTCCAGCAAAGGGCATGTCACCCACACCCTAGGAATGCAACTTCACCTGGAAAACCGTTTCTGCCAGGGCGACTGAGCTCACATCTGGAAACTAAGTTTAAATCTCTTGCAACACCTGAGCAGCCCTAAGTCCAATAATAAGTGTTCTTTTGCTTGCTTGTTTTTTCATTTACTTGAAAGGCAGAATTCAGAGAGAGGTTTTCCATCCACTGGCTCACTCCCTAATGGCCAAGACTGGGCCAGGAGCTTCTTCCAGGTCTCTCACAGGGGTGTCGGAGGTTCCTGGATCTGGGCAATTTTTCACTGCATTTCCAGGCCCATCAGCAGAGAGGTGGTACCGCTGGGAAGTGAAGCAGCCAGGACTCAAACTGTCACTCAAATGGGATGCAAATGCTGCAGGTGTTGGGCTTAACTTACTGTCCCCAACAGGTGTTCTTCTAAGATGAAGATCTGCAACACTGACATTGCACACTGGAACCCTGGTCAAGTCCTGACTGTTACGCTTCTAATCCAGCTCCCTGCCAACATGCCTGGGAAAGCAGCATGGGGGCGCTGCAGTCCCCGTTTCCTGCTGACGCAGACCCAGAGAGGCTTGGGCTCCTGATACCCACAGGGGAACACTTGAAGCCCGACCCAACCCTGGCTGTGGAAGCCACACGGGAGGTGAGCCAGCACATGGCAGCTCTGTGTCTCTCCGCCTCTCAAACACTAACAACAGTGCATGTATACGAAGCACAGTACCGAACTCAGGCAAAGCATGAGCTCTTGGGTTCTGACCAAACACTCCCTGGAGAGAAATTCTGAAATCTGCCCCAGTGAGCAGCTAGGGCAAGCCGCAGACAAACTTTGCAGCTCAAAACCATAAACTCACAAAACTCTGACTCCCTCCAGGCCTCAGCCTGAGACACAGAACCAAGCAATGATGAGAAACACAGTGTGGGACCCGGCTGTCCCCTCCCAGGCCAGCCAGGGGACACAAGCCCCGAAGCAGGGAACTGTGCCCGACATGGAACAGAGGAGAAAAATCTCGTCTGTTTCAGTGAGAGCAGGGAGCAGAAATAACAACGCTAGTTTTTAAACTCTTCCAGTTTCTTTTGCACGTCCTGTCAATGTCAGGCTGGGTTCAAAACACCACTTCACCAAGAGACCAGAGAGAGGCCCTGGCCACAGCACCCTCTAAGCAGAAAGACCGAGAGGAGGCGTCTCCACACCACACTTCACAGGCAGCAAAGCCTGGCAGACATGCGTTCACAGACGGCCTCCTTCTGGGTCGCGCTGTGCCACGTGGCACAGCAGCTCCCCAGCTGTGACCCACTGAGCGTCAGCCCTGACACAAGGGCGGGACCTGGCGCTGAGTCAAAGGCAGCAAAGACCATATGGAAACGCAGCAATTCCGAGAAGCACGGAAAACAGAACAGTCGCGGAAGCCTCACTCAGGAGCCGGGCATATTTGAATTGCTGACGTGTGTTCACTGAATCCTTGCAAGAACCCTAACAGAGCACTGCAATTTAGACATAGTGTTTGTGCATCCTTATCCCAATTAAGCTTCACTATAGATTCTATCACTACGCCTTCTTCACAAACGAAGAAATACCTCAGTCACCAGCAGGTGTATTTCGCCACCTGCTCATTGGCTGCCATTTTCAGGCATTCTGCTCGGAAACAGGGATGTAAACACAGGTACTGTGACCCCAAGACCCAGTGACTTTCCACTAAGTCTAACATTCATGCCAAGAGACAGACACCACATATTAAGAGTCAAAACAGTACACGAACAGGCATTTGGCACGGCAGTGAACTCGCCACGCGGGGTGCCAGAATCCCAGCGGAGAGGGCCTGCTTCAGACCCCCCCCCCACACACACACAGAGCTGATGGGCTCTCAGATGGCTTCCTGCCAATGCACGCCCACCCACCGCCCAGCAGAGAGCTCTAGGGTCTTGGTAATTACTGCAGTGTCCCTTGGCACAGTGTGGACTGGAGCTGAGTGTGTCAGACTAGGTTAGACCCCAGCACCCACTGGTGCTCGTGAGGACCAGGGTAGCTGTAGGATGCACTAGGCTAAGTTTTTGCCCCTGCTGAGCCAGGTGTGAGCTGTGTCTGGGAGTAAACCAGCTTAGACTGGGCTGTAACACCCAACAATGATTACAGGAATAGGCTGAAGGCCAGTCAGGAAAGGCCACTGAGCAGTGCCCCCCATCGGGACCTGGGATGCTTGGGAGGCTGGGCGGGGCTTCTCCCTTTGTCTCTTCCCTTCTCCCAGATACAGGAAGGAAAAAAGAGAATGTGAAAACAAGGGTCTTACCCACTTTTCTGTAGCCCTTGACCCTTCGAACCTTAATCAACTATGTAAAGATTTAAAACAAAATTAAGCCCTAATAATAAATAAATAAATGAATGGAAAGGGGCCAGCAGCATGGTGTAGCAAGCTAAGCCTCGGCCTGCGGCACCAGCACCCCAATGGGTGCCAGTTTGTCACCTGGCTGCTCTATGTCTAGTCCAGCTCTGCCATCGTGCCTGGGGAGGCAACGGAGGACGGCCTGAGTCCTTGGGTCCCGTCCTCACGTCAGAAACCTGGCAGAAGCTCCAGGCTTCCGGCCCCATGCTGGCTCAGCTCCGGCCACTGCGGCCACTGGAGGAGTGACCAGGCAGACGGGGACCTGTTCCTCCTTCTCACTCTGTTAACTCTTGGCCGTCCAATAAAAAGAAATAAAAACATTTTTTAAATTTTAAGATGTATTTACTTGAAAAGCAGAGCGACCGAGACAGTAAAAGATGAAGATAAAGGTACCTTCCATCTGTTTGCTCAATCCCCAAATGGCTGGAAAGGCTGGGCTGTGTTCGACTGAAGTCAGGAGCCAGGAGCTCCATCCAGGTCTCGAACACAGGAAGCAGAGCAGCTGGGACTGGAGCCCGGGCTGGGCCATGGTCAGGAGCCAGGAACTCCACCAGCAGTGAGGCAGCTGGGACTCACCCTGCTGCCCACATGGAACACTGTCAGCACTGCAGGCACTGGCTTAGCGCACTGCACCACAACACTGGCCCCTGGAGCCCACATTCAAAAGGAGTGCAAGTGGGTGTCGGCATTACAGGCCACAGCTTAGCTGGCTTCCTATTCCAGAGCTCCAGCTCAGGTCCTGGCTGCTCCCTGTAAATATGCCTGGCACGTGGGCCCTGCCACCAACGTGGACGTTCATTTGGGGAAGAACCCATCGAGTGGAAAGTCTCTTTCCTTCTTTCACTATTCCTGTCACATAAATACATCTTTTTATTTAAAAATTTATTTATTTTTTGCCCTGGCACAGTAGCCTAGTGGCTAAAGTCCTTGCCTTGCGTGTGCCAGGATCCTATTTGGATGCCAGTTCTAATCCCGGCAGCCCTGCTTCCCATCCAGCTCCTTGCTTGTGGCCTGGGAAAGCAGTGGAGGACGGCCCAAGGCTTTGGGAGCCTGCACCCGTGTGGGAGACCTGGAAGAGTTCCTGGCTCCTGGTTTCAGATTGGCACAGCTCTAGCCATTGCAGCCACTTGCAGAGTGGATCGGTGGACAGAAGATCTTCCTCTCTGTCTTTCCTCCTCTCTGTATAATTTGCCTTTCCAATAAAAATAAACCCTTTTAAAAATTAAATCTTAAATCTGTTGACAGGCAGAGTGACAGAAAGAAGGTCAGAGACCTTCACCTGCTGTTTCACTCCCCAAATGGTCGAGAACAAGGGCTGAGTCAGGAGTCTGAAGCGCAGAATCTCACGTGTGGTAAACCCAGGCACTCGGACCATCTGCCACTGCTTTTCCAGGTGCGTCCACTGCCTGAAATGCCAGCATCCCACACGAACACCACTTCAAGTGCCCGCTGCTTCACTTCTGATCCAGCTTCCTGCTTGTCTGCCTGGGACGGAGTGGAAGACGGGACCTTGCACCTGTGTACAAGACCCAGGGGAAGCTTCTGGCTCTGGCCTTGCCCAGCTCCAACCACTGCAGCTACTTGGGGAGTGACGGAGGGTCTGTCTCTCCCCACCCCGCCCTTTCTCCCTCTCCCGATCTGGTTCAGCCCTAACATGCATGTCTCTTTCACTGACACCAGAGAAACAAACCAACCACGAGACTCTCTGGCAGAGGCTCAGGGAGTGTGCGGAGCAGGCGCGGTGCTATGTGGAAAAGCAGCGTCACCGCTCACGAGGCTGGGTAAGCACAGGCATCACGACATCCGAGACAATGTTCCAGAAATGCACGCTCACATTACTGGGTGAGTTTACAACAGTGCCCCAGGGAACAGGGCCCTGGCATCTCGCCCATGCACACACAGATTAATACTTTATAAACTGCAGCCCCTGAATTAACAAGCTATGATTCTGAGTCTAATTTCTGATGTCTGGAAATGAGTTCGGGAGTGGAAAAGGCAAGGGTAGCTGTGGAAGGCAGCCGTGACCAGTCACCCCCTGCTGACCCTGCCTTTCCCTTCCACCATGCAGCAGCTCTCAAAGACCCTCGCAGGAACCAAAACTAGTTTCCTGCTAACCCTGAGACACGAGCTGCACCTCACTGTGCCGCACTCCGCACCCAGAGCACAAAGCCAGTGTGGCTGAGCGCCACGCGGCTGGATCGGCACACAGCACAGAGCCGCACCCCACTTTGCTGCACCTTCAGCCCACAGTGCTGCTTCACCTACAGATGTCAGGAGTGCCCAGAGCTGTGTGCAGCACGGCAGCCACCAGCTGTGACCTCACTGCTTCACATAAAGTGCCAGTTAAAGTCCCCGCTGTCCTCCTTCCTGCCAACATGCCAGAGAAGACATCAGATGATGACCAAGTTGGGCCCCTGACACCACGTGGGAGACCAGGATGTTCTTGGCTCCTAGGGCCAGGCCCAGACCTGGATGTTGTGGCAATCTGTGGCATGTATAAGCAAACTTAAGATCTCTCTCTCTCTCCCACTCTTTTAAATATAAATAGATACACACAAGTGTAGATATACATATATCTTTTAAATAAAGAATGTGATAAAGCATTTGAGAGAGGAAAAAAATAAACGTATTAAATTTCAACATTTGGGAGCAGGTGTTGTGGCAAATCAAGGTAAGCTGCCACATGCTGGTATGCTACACCCAAGTGGATCAAGTCCTGGCTATTCTGTATTATTTCCATTTCTTTTTTAAAGACACTTATTTACCTGAAAGAGTTACAAGAAGAAAGAGGAAAAACAGAGTGTGTGTGTGAGAGCTCTTCCACTCACTGCTTCCATCCCCAAGTGACAACAGCCAGGTCTGGACCAGGCCCAAACCAGGAGCCAGGAGTATAATGTACATCTTCCACAGGATGGTGGGGCCCACACAGACCATCGCCCACCGGGAGGGGAGCAGCCAAGCCATGAGCCCACCGACAGGGGGTGCCGGCACTGTGGGGAGTGGCTTTACCAGCTACACCATCACACCGGCCCCTGCACTGTACTTCTGATCCAGCTTCCCGCTCATGCCCATGAGAAGGCAGGCAAAGATGCCCCATGTGGCGGACAGGACGAAGCCCTTGGCTCCTGGCTTCAGCCTGGCCCAGTCCAAGACATTAGGGCTGTCCAGGAAGTAAATCAGCAGTGTCTCCTTTGAAGGATCCCGTTCGGGCACTGGTGTGTCCCGGTGGCCCAGCTTCCCATCCAGCTCCCTGCTTGTGGCCTGGGAAAGCAGTCGAGGACGACCCAAAGCCGTGGGACCCTGCACCCACATGGGAGACCAAGAAGAGGTTCCTGCCTCCTCGCTTCAGATCAGCTCAGTGCCAAAAGTTGCAGCCACTTGGGGAGTGAATCAGTGGAAGATCTTCCTCTCTGTATATCTGACTTCCCAATAAAAAAAAAATAATCTTTTTTTTTAAAAGAAAAAAATTATACCACTGATAATCAAGTCCAATCACCTGAAATTACCAGGTATATTTTCATAAAGCAAAAAAATGTCTTGTCCGTGTGAAGGGTGTGTTGACAGCAAACTGCACGGCCAAGAGTACATCCACTCACAGGGAAAATATTTTTGTTGCTCAATCACAAGGTTTCCTCCTTCTAAATGTCCCGCCAGAAGATGTTTACAAACAATGATTTTTCCATCATTATAAAATTTCTTTCCACAAAATACAAAGTGTCTGATATCAGTGTATTTATTTTTGATCTACAGAAGTCAGCAATGAGCACACAAATTTAACAAGACAACCGGGTACCTCGGGTGTCTGCAGAATCGGGCCAGGCCTCAGCTCACGTCCTGCCAGACGCTGGGTGAACATTTTGAACTACTTGGCTATGATGTCATGACGATGACTTCATAAAGAGGAATTCGGATGCTGTCTGCCTCTAGGCTACGACCTGACCATTTTAAAGAAAAACTCAAACTTCCATGTCCCTGAATAAAGAGCTGATGGCTTCGCACCTGTTGTTCCCATGGAAATGGCCCTCCCACCTGAGATGAGCAGCATGTTCAATTACAGCCCAGTCAGCAAGGTACCCAGGGCCTCGCCACGTTCACAAACAGGCCGGTGTTACGTCTCAGTTGGTTAGCAGTGATTTCTGATGCTAGGATCCCTGACGAGGAGTCCCAGCTTTTACTGTGACTCCTGAGAAGCTACAACTTCTGGAATTTGAGCGGCTGGTACCGTGGCTCAGTGGTGCTGGCATCCCATATCGACTCCAGCTTGGGTCCAGGCTGCTCCACTTCCGCTTCAGCTCCCTGTTAATGTGCCTGCGAAGGCAGCAGAGGACGGCCCAAGGCTTATCTTCTATTTACTTATTCATTTGAAAGGTAGAGAGAGAGGTTGAGGGCTAACGAAAGATCTTCCAGCTGCTGGATTGCTGCAACATCTGAGACTGGTCCAGCCTAAAGTCAGGAACCCAGAACTTTCCCTCTGAGTCTCCCAGGCACATCAGCAGGGAGCTGGGCAGGAGGCACAACAGCCAGGATGTGAAACAGCACTGACAGCAGCTACAGCTGCGAGCAGCAGTTTAATGCACTGCACCACAGGCTGGCACCAACCTCTGTATTCTAAAGACATGATTAAGCAACTTACAGGAAAAAAAAAAAAAAAGGAAACTCTCCAAAACAACCATGGTATACATTATGTTCAGTTAAAAGGAACAATATTCTTCATGACTGCTATCTGACTGCTATCTATGTATATTATATATATATGGCATGGCTCCAAACATTATAGAAAGAGTTAAACTGGTAAATGATTCTGGATTCTGCCCCAGCTCCACATTTATAACCTAATAACACTAATTAAACTCCATCCTTCCAAGGAGGATTGCTTTGACTTTCAAATTCAAACTCATCAAAGTTCAAGGACTCAAACATGAAGGAAAGCCACCTTGGCTCTGTTTGCCAAAGTAAAGCATCCTGCCACTCTGATAAGATCAGCTCGACAAGCCAGCCTCTGCTGGCACTCTCAGCTGGCCCGGGAAGGCCCCCAGCTATCACAGCTGCACATGCCACACACTAAGCTTTCCTAGTCCACTTCGCCCCAACAGCAAAGGGAAAACATCCCTAGGTTTACCAAACCCTTCCTTTCTGCCGGCAGGTAGAAAGCACAAAGGTCTGCAGTGACTTCAACCTGCCAGGAGAGGGAGCTCCTGTGCGCGGCAGGCAGAGCCCGGGGTTCAGCCAGCCCAGCTGGAGCAGCACCACCAGCCAAGGGACTTACCTGGGGACCACAGCCCCTTCTCTTCTAGAACAACCTGCAGCGTGTGTGAGCCGGGGAAGCAAGTTCTGAGAGCAATCCAGAGAGAATGCTGGAGCTGACTTCCAAGTCCAGCTTCAGAAGAGAAACATCCAAAGCCGGTGCTCTCCGCTTGCATTCGCCGGGCAGCGTGGTCCTGTGAAGTCATGGTTATGTAAGCCTCTGCTGCCGCTGTGTCACCGGCTGTCCCCACCCCCAACAAGGCAGACACGCTGTGAAACCAGAGCCACTGAAAGCCCTTACTCAACACCCAATGACTGCACTTTCCTTTTTTGATTGCATCCACTATTTCAGCAAAGAGAGGAAAAAAGGGGCGGGGGGGGTGGAGAGGCATGGTCACAGTTCCTTCAACTCTTGAACAAAAACACAGGAAGCTTAAGTATTTCTACCTCCCCCAGACCCACAGCACTGAAGCTGTGCCCTGAGCGCTCTGCCAGTGGGCAGCTCAGAGCCCGGCCTGGGCTCCCGGGCTCCAGGGCTCCCGGCACGCTCCAGCAGAACCCCAGAGCCACACAGCTGTGTTCCTGACCAGTCCCCCTGCTCCATCTCTTCTGGACTGTGGTCCCTGAGGGATGAATCCCACCTGCTGAGTCCCTCCCTCCCGGACAGCGCTGACACGCAGTTTGTTTTCTCAACCAAAGGACCCTGGCACACAGAGTTGAGAAGTTCCCAGAAAAACAAGAACCCAGACAAGTGCAGCACCCAGTAAGCGCGTCTTACCCTCCAGCACAGTGCTGTGGAGGGACCCCAACCCTGGGGGCTGCTCGGCAAGCAGGCCAGGGAAGTGCTGGACAACCTGCGCGGTCACCACTCTGATGGACCCACATCGCAAGTAATCACACTCCAACAGAAACAGAGAGACAAATGTGTAACTTTAAATTTCCTGAGAACTGGGCCCGGCGTGGTGGCGCAGTGGTTAAAGGTCCTCACCTTGCACGCCCGGGATCCCATATGGGCGCCGGTTCTAATCCCGGCAGCCCCACTTTCCATCCAGCTCCCTGCCTGTGGCCTGGGAAAGCAGTCGAGGACGGCCCAAAGCTTTGGGAACCTGCACCCGCGTGGGAGACCCGCAAGAGGCTCCTGGCTTCGGATTGGCATAGTATCGGCCCGTTGCGCTCACTTGGGGAGTGAATCATCGGACGGAAGATCTTCCTCTCTGTCTATCCTCTCTGTATATCTGCCTTTCCAATGAAAAAATAATAAAAATAAATCTTAAAAAAAAAAAAAGAAAATATGTTGCCAGCTTTTAAAAAAAAAAAATTTCCTGAGAACTGCATTTTAGAAAACTTTAAAATACAGGTAAAATTAGTCAATAATAATTCAATTCAATGTACCCAAAATCTTATTTCCAGATGCAATCCACAAAATTAGACATTCTACAACCACTGTCGGCACATCTCACCTCTGCCTGTCCAACACGTGGCACACACCTGTGGCGTGGGTGGCAGACGGCCGAGCCCACAGCTCCTCTGGCACCAGACACCCCAATCCCATTGGCCATGCAACCACCACCTTCCAAACTCCATGAAGAAACACCCATGGCGGACAGGGTGGACAAGCGCTTCCACATCAGACTCTGAATAATGTAAATGTTCTTTGGAGTAAAAAAAGAAAAACAAGCCCTTCCAGAAGGCGGGACTAGAATATAAGAGCTGCTCACGGAATCAGGAAGCCCTGCCCGCAGTGAAAGGTCTGCCCAGCAGACCTGGCGGCTTGGCCTCACTGGGAGCCCAAACACGACCCAGCCACTCCCCAGAGAAAGGGGAAGTGGGGGCTTAACACGTGGGATGTGTGTCAGGGTAAAGGATGGGCCCCAGGGCTCAGCAGCCAACAGAGCAGGGGAAGGGAGCAATGCAAGATCAAGACCAAGGGTGAGCACTGCCGCACCGCAGACCTGCTGAGATTTCCCGGCCTCTGCCCACAGGAAGCCAACACGGTAGCCTAGTGGCTAAAGCCCTCATCTTATAGGCACCAAGATCCCATACGGGCACCAGTTCTAATTCTGACGGCCCCGCTTCCCATGAACTCCCTGCCTGTGGCCTGGGAAAGCAGTGGAGGACGGCCCAAAGCCTTGGGACCCTGCACCCACAAGGGAGGCCCAGAGGAAGCTTCGGGTTCCTGGCTTTAGATTGGCTCAGTTCTGACCGTTGTGGCTGCTTGGGGAGTGAATCATTGGATGAAAGATCTTCCTCTCTCTATATCTGGATTCCCAATAATTAATAAATAAATATTGAAGGAAAAAGAGTATGCAGTGGGAGAAGGCTTGGGGACTGGTGGATCCAACCACAGGACACAACTGCTGTCAGTTGTTCATCCCTTACTAATTGATCATTTCCATCCAAACTGATAAATTACCTTTGCTTTAGAAATAACCTAACAGTCATAATTTTAGATGCAGAGACCCAGGGAACAAAACCCTGACCTCGCACTCGTCACTGTCTCAGCCAGCCAGTCTCAGAGAAGCAACGTGGAGAACACGGGCACATTTACACAACGCAGTCAAGTGACGTGACAACAATCAACAGCTGATCGGAAAGTGTGCCTGACAACCACGCCGACCCTGGATGGAGAATCTTCTCCGAGGCACAGCACCTGGAAGGCTCACGCGCGTCATTCAAGGCCACCGAGTGACATGGAGCCACCTGAGGTCATCGCTGGCGCTGGGCCCCAGCAGCCTCGCCCTCAAACCAAGGAAAGTGCGTGTGACGTCACCCCAACAACAAGAGCCGCTGCACAGTAGCTGAACTGAGCGAGGAAGATGAGGCCACCGGCTTCAGCAGCGATCCACAGGGCTGACTCAGGAGAGCTGTCGGGGCAGGCCCAGAGCAGCTGTGCTGGTCAGGGCAGGAAGGGACGCCCCACAGCCCCTCAGTCCTTTATCTCTGGCAGGACATTTCAGGAATGAAGAACAACACATTTAGACAGGGCAAAGGTCACACAGCTCTGTCAGGAACAAATATACCCAAAGGAAGGAAAAACATTTACCAAGTGGGAAGAGAGAAGTCTTCCAGAGGGCCAGCCACCCAAAGGGGGAGAGCCACGGAGGAGAGCAGGGCCCCAGCCACAGAAGAGCCACGGGGGAGAGCAGGGCCCCAGCCATGGGAGGGCCACGGGGGAAAGCAGGGCCCCAGCCACAGGAGAGCCACAGGGGATAGCAAGGCCCCAGCCACGGGAGAGCCACGGGGGAGAGCAGGGCCCCAGCCATGGGAGGGCCACGGGGGAAAGCAGGGACCCAGCCACGGGAGAGCCACAGGGGAGAGCAGGGCCCCAGCCACGGGAGAGCCACGGGGGAGAGCAGGGCCCCAGCCACGGGGGACAGCAAGGCCCCAGCCACGGGAGGGCCACGGGGAGACCAGGGCCCCAGCCATGGGGGACAGCAAGGCCCCAGCCACGGGAGAGCCACGGGGGGCAGCAGGGCCCCAGCCACGGGAGGGCCAGAGCCCTGGCCGCGCACAGCAGCATTCTAAAAGGAGAATCCCAGAACACTGAGTGCAGTTTCGGGTTTCCACATACACAGTGTCAAGTTCCTAGGACGTTAACTAGACAAAAGCAAACACCAACGCTGGGACTGGGCAGGAAAAGCAGCAAATGCAGCGTTGGCATCCCCACGTGGGTGTATTCAAGTCCTAGCTCCACTTCAACTCCCTGCTAACGCATCTGGGAAAGCAGTGGAGGACAGCCCAAAGCCTTGGGACCCTGCACGCACGTGGGAGACCTGGAAGAGGCCCTGGCTCCTGGCTTCAGAATGGCTCAGCTCTGACCCTTGTGGCCATTTGGGGAGTGATTCAGCAGATGGAAGATCATTCTCTCTGTCTCTCTGACTTTCCACTAAAAATAAATAAATAAAATCTTAAAACAAAAACAAAAACAGGGGCCCTGAGCAGTAGCTTAGTGGCTTGCAATTGCTGAGATCTCATCTGGATGCCAGTTCATGTCCAGGATGCTCCACTTCCCATCCAGCTCCCTGCTTGAGGCCTGGGAAAGCAGTCGAGGACGGCCCAAAGCCTTGGGACTCTGCACGCACGTGGGAGACCTGGAAGAAGTTCCTGGTCCTGGCTTTGGATCGACTCAGCTCTGGCTGTTGCAGCCACTTGGGAAGTGAACCAGTGAATGGAGGACCTTTCTCTCTCTCTTTCTCTCTGTAAGTCTGCCTTTCCAAATCAAATCAAATCAAATCAAATAAATCTTTAAAAATATCTTGAAAAAAATTAAACTCAAACTCAAAACCTCTATACAAGGCAAAAAGTAAAATTAAGAAAATCATTTCTCATTATTTATTGTTTCAGATAAAATAAAAAGCATCTTCGTTGAACTTTTAAAATGGCCACCAAAAACCACTTGGCTAAAAAAAAAAAAAGCCAGCTCCTTACAAGGGAGAGGCCGAGAGCTGCCTGCCTCTCTCACAGCTCACGCTGGCTATTTTTGTACCATTATTTTTATAAACTTAGTTTAATCACAAGCCAAAGGCAGAGCTGATAATTTATATGTTGTAATGCTAAATTTATACATTTCAGAAACCGTTACACAGCCATATAGAACAATCCAAGGAAAGGAAAAGGAAGTGCAGAAGAGGCCACCTTTACCCTCACGTGGCATGTCCATGCCTCCATCCCGTCCCTCATCCCACGCACGTCACCTCCTTTACGGGACAGCCCACGCCCACTGAAGACCACCCTGGCCCGCGTGAAAGCACACACAGCTCACCTCAAGGCCTCCCCGAGCAGCAGGTTCTCTGCTGGGTCACTGGGGATCACAGAGCCCTCCGGGGCGGGTCACTGCCGAGCTCATTCACATGCCAGTGCTGATGCCATGGAGCCCCACCTCCTCTGGAGCCCCCATCACTGTGCCATGAAGCCCCCTGCTGTCAGCAACCCTGGCTTCCTGGAGGCGCTCACTGGATACTGCGATGTAGCAGGTCGAGCCGCTGCCTGAGATGCCCAAGGAAGTTCGAACGGCAATTCCTAAATGACAGAGCAATTTCTAAACCAGCCTATCACCTCACCCGCTGGCCAGAATGCCACACGGTCAGAGCCGCCAGCACACGGGAAGCTTTATAACATGTTTCCATCAAAGTCAGAAGCAGGAAAAGCCCTTTGGAAATTACTGTGTGCTTGGAAATATGTTTTTAAAAGCGGG